GAAAATCGAGTAAAAACAAACGGCGGTTCATCTGTATGATGTGTGGTTGTACCTGGGTGATGCCTATCCTGACAAGTAGGCGTATCACTTTGTAGTCATCACACACACGACTGACTATCAAATTCTCAGGCTTCATTGCGCTCGGGAAAGGTTACTATACGGCCGTCACTGGTAATTGGTGGTATGAAAATACTTCGCTGCAATTGTAATTCTTATTGATAGATCCTCTTAGCTGGCTGACACCCGAACCGTCTATGTGCGGTATGTACTGACTCACGGGTGGCGTTCCTGTTCATATTCATCGAGATCGGTAAGTCCAAATGATCGTGTCTCTCGAAAAGTTATTCCTGACATATACGCGACGCAGGCCTGTACACATACTTATACATCTATCTACGAAGGCGAATCACACTCTTCAGCCTAACTTCAGCACAGAATACCTCTCATTTCAGAACGGACCTCCATGACGGATTCCAAGATCTCAGTAAACAATCCTCCCGATCGATCCAGACGTACGAGTACCCTATCAAGATTCCCTGCGATCAATCTTCAACGCTCCATGTTGAAACAAAACCGTCTTCACCTCGAACGGTCTTTGCAAGTATTTCCCTTCATTGTCATGACCAGCAGAAGCACATCTCGAAGATGTTGCTTTTGAACGCGTACCCGATTGCATATATTGTTCTGTGGATACCCGGGATCTGTAACCGGCTCGTCGAAGCATCGGGTCACTCATCTAGGGTTCTACAGATCATGCAGGCGTCAACACAGTTTGTAGGGTTTGCAAACGCGTGTGACCTATGGGTGGAATGAAAATGTGGCAAGAAACATAACAGAGAAAGTACGGAGAAGGTCGCCGTGACTTCGAATGGTCATGACGTTGGTGGTGGGTGGTATATCTGGCGTTCTTCATCGGTTTTGCCGATATGTATGTCTTATTTCGAGAATGATATCCTATTTCGAGCCTGGTCCTTTAAATTAGTCTCAGTGACTTAGTTAACGGGCAGGCTGAACCGAGGGTCCCACGATCCACATACCATTTAGTACAGGAAAATTCGACGGAGTAACACACGTAAACAAATACCATACATATCCACCCCAACCAGCCTTCTTATCGAACCGTCATCATCGATAGTCAACGCCAGACTTCCCTCAGTGCTCAGGTGAGTACACTACTACACAAAATGACTTCATTTCAAGTAACCCATTCGCACTAGGCTGCACCTGATGGATCCATCAACCGTTCTTCCGGTGGAAGTCCTCCAAAAAATCTTCAAGCACTACCTATCAGATCGAAAGAGCCCCGTACAGTCTTTCGATCTCTCCGATGGTCTTTGGGTCCTTGGGAGAGTAAACAGCGCATGGAGAAGCATCACCATATCCTCAAAGTTCTTATGGTCCACCATAGTCATCCTCGACATACCATGGCTCGTGTCCCCCTCTGATACCGCCAACATAATCCTCACCGAGATCCTCCGTCGCTCCGGAGACGCACCTCTCAGTATCACCCTTTCCGTGCACATTAAAATCGCACATCATCGGCGATTATCTGATTCCGCGTCGAGATCCTTATTCTTACTGCTCTCTACGCAAAGCCATCGCTGGCAATCAGTGGATCTAAAAGCCCCCACCACAATCTGGGAAGATTTCATGCAGATATCTCATTCTCGCCTCCATAGCCTTCGTGCGATAGTTCCCAATGATTCCATCCTACTGCAGATTCCCAGAATCTGCTCAAATGTCGTAGACCTCACATTACGCGTCTCCAAGCTGGTTAACTACCGAGCCCTCACAGTTTCTCCCGCTCACGTTGAGATGCCTTTCCTACAGCATCTCGACATAAAGTCACACCATATCGATTTTCTGGAGGCAATAACCGCTCCTCGTCTCCGATCATTGCGGTTTGAAAATTTCGCCGGTCAATCTAGGTCTTGCTCACCTCTCCTCGGTTTCATTGAGCGGTCACAGTGTTCAAACTCCTTAACTGAACTGGACTTGTCTTGGAGCTGCGACTGTCGTGACCTCGTCGCAATGCTTTCCCGTGCATCGTCTCCTCCTTACACCAACTCTGACCAGCGAATCGTCCCTTCTGTGTTGCCGAATCTGCGTACACTTTCATTCCTGAACCCGGAAATTTTGAGCGACACGGACGTTAATCTCATACTCGACATGGTCGAGTCCAGGATTGTCGGACAGCTGAGGCACGTGTGTCTTGGTCTGGTTGATTGGGATGTTATGAGGAAGCTGAAGGGGCGCCTGTCCTTCCTGAATGCCTTTCCGGATGTTGATGTTGAGCTGAGACCGGCGCTATTAGCGGGGGGCGATTACGACGGGGGCAAGGTAGTCCTGATTTGGTCCTGATATACCTTTTCATCGTGGCTCGGCTTTTGACGAACTATGGCATGCTCAATCTACACTATGCGTATATATTCTGATACCTTGACGGTAAAAATATTAGTCTTCTTGATCAATTCTTGATATATTTAAACGATAATTCGCTCCATGTTACTCACGTAGATTATAGTACAAAACATTCCAAGTAAATGATAGCTCTGAGTGCTACATTGTACGGGGATAGTTAGCCCCTAAATCCATGACGCCTTTTGATTTTTTCATTTGTAGGTGATTAATTAACGATGATTAAACACGGCTGTTGCTCTTGTACATCACGCGATAATGTGCCCAGCGGCACTGTATTCTTGTGGAGATTGCACATACTTCGATGAATCAAAAGAAAATTAGATACGGCGCTTAAAAGACATGACATGGTCATCGTCGAAAACGGAGGAGATATCCAGGACTAACGGAGAGGAAACATGTCTGCGGGTAGGCACTGTCATCCTCCTCCCTTGGCTGCTAGCTTACGAGTTGAGCCACGTCTCAATTTTTTGACTTTGAGTCAAGTTCACATTCTTAGTAAAGTTATGGTGATTGCGTGATTGCCTTTGAGATTTTCCTTTCTTCAGCAGTAAAGCTTCTCCGACTGATCGATCTCACTCAGCATCCACTTGTCCAACTTCGTTTTTGTATGATCCCAGTCGTAGAAAGTAGGGGAAACCAGTATTGATCTTTTTCCCAGGTCGTCGGAATCCATGTTAGAAGCTTCACAGGTAGCATAACGTGATTTTGAGACGAAGGGTGAAGGTGGAATCCGCCAGTAGACTTGCATCATGGGTTCTCCTCAGTGCGTTGACGCGAGCAACCGGTACCGGCGCAAGACCTAACCATTTCAATCTGTGGTTTATCCAAGATTCGTCACACTCAGGGTAATATTACGATATATTGACAGCAAACCCTTTCCTCTTCTGCGGCACCGTGCGGCCTTCATTTTACTTAGATTTTTGTACGGAAAATTAATTGTGTTCTTGTATCTGCGATGCCCTGCGTTTGTAGGCAGCAAATGATGGTTAAATAAGAATGACATTACTGTTCCTATGCATGCACGGAATAATGATCAAGACGCTCTCGTACAGAGTACAGACACTGGGCCTGTCGTGACTCTTTCCTTGCCCCAAACTCAAGCGTATTGCGAAAGAAAGAAGGAAGGAAATATTCGGTTAGATTAACAACTGCGCCCGCCATTCAAAGAAACTCCCTTTTGCGGAACAATGTGGCGAAAAAATAATAACACCCGGGGGACAAAGTAAACACCCTTTCACGTGTGTGCGCGCGCGTTGAAATTCAAACGGTCACGCCTCCGGGTCGAGAACAGAGTCTTTGTTTATCTTCACACTTGTCTCTCTTATTTTCGACTTGTCTTCCAATAGCTTGTCTGACTATGGCGAGGACAAAAAAGGCCTACCACCCCCCACTTCCTCATATCCCAGAGCTCATCCGTTTCGGCCACTCTCACGATACCGAGTACCCCACCCTCGGGGAGCTCACCGGGGAGGACCTCCTCATGCTAGATGAGTTCGAGAGAATCCGCAAGGAGGCGGAGGATAAGGTTCGGATGCGCGTTACGGAGATGTTGACGGAGGAGGAAACCTTCTCGAGACGCGAGTTGTTGGAATTCGCGAAGAGGCGGGGGATTGATGTTAATGCGGGAGGGGGGACGAGGAGGACGAAGGCGATTAGGGAGAGGGAGAGAGAAAGGTGAGTGGATTAGGGAGGCTTTTTTGGGGGTGGCTGATTTTTGTGTTGCGGTAGGGAGCAACGCGAGGCTTTGGAGAGGGAATTGAGGGAGGAAGAGGTGCCTAAGAGGGTGGTGAAGAAGAAGAAAGGCAGGGCTAGGTCTTCGGGACCGCGATGGGTTACCTCGAGGTATGTCTGTAGAATGTTCATATATTAAGGTTGACTGACGTTCTGGGATAGGGACGAATCAGAGCCTGACGACGAAGAACATGACGCCTGGCAGCGAGGGCAGAATATCGAGTGGGTTTTTCGTTCTTGACTTTCTGACAAGGATTAAAATTTTCCCACTAGAGCACAAGAGCTGCATCAGAAACGAGGAAGGAAAATCGAGGTCTCGCCATTGACCGAGACGATCGGTGATAATTCAGTCACGGAAAAGCCCTCGACCCGAACAAGCGAAGTTGCTCCCGATGAAGAAGAGCATCAAACCTGGCAAGAAGAGCAGAATATCGAGTGGGTTCTTTTTTCTGGACGTCTTTCTGACAAGGGTTAACGTTCCCCTATTAGAGTCAACGAGCCACCGCAGAAACGAGCAAAGAGGTTCGAGGCCCTGCGACGAACCGAGGAAATCAATGAAACCGTCGTGGAGAAGCCCTTGAAACGATCTAGCACGAAAAACAAAGAAACAGCAGATCTTATCAAACCTGTTGTAGTTTCGTACGTTCGAATTTCGTTGACGCGTTAAAACAATACCTGATAACCCGTTTAATAGAAAACCGGCTATCGATGAGCAACCTCCGAAACGCGCAAAGAGATATGACGTCTTATTGACTCAAAAGATAGCTGAGAGTTCCATCAGGGGGACCCTCACGACTCGGTCCAGCACCGAGGAGGAAGCAGAAGGTGCCGAGGTCGTTGGGTATGTTCCCAGTCCGTCGACGATTCAAAATGACCACTGACAGATAACCCATAACACAGCACACCATCCCCAGGTCCGAGTCGGCCGGTGAAGCCCCTCCCTAAACGCGCCAAACTCGTACCTATCGATAACGAACCGGAGGACTCCATCCGAGTCGATGGGAACATAAACATCAAGGAAACACCCCAGCGAAAACGCTTCATCGCCTCCCTCTCCCAAAAACCCATCCTTTACAAACCGGATGGTACGAAACGCAATTTGAATGCGGATCAGAGGCAGCGGTTCCTCGAGGAAGATGAATGGACAGGGGAGGTGAAGAAATATTCCGTAGAGTGTAAGGCGTGTGGGTGTTTCCCTGTCATGGATTCGAGAACTCCGTATGGGTACGATCCGAGTATATGGATGAGGCATAGAACGCGATGTCATGAAATGTATGCTGCTTGGCTAAAGAGAAACGGGGAGCGGGATGAGGTTTTTGAGAGGAGTTTTAGGATGTGAGGGAGATCTGGGGAGGCGGAGTATAATAATAATGGTATACGCTAGACTGAATGCCCTAAAATCGCATTTGCTGGCCATTGTCGGAAAGAAGCGGGACTCGGAGTTGCCATATCGAGAGTGATAGGATTTGGTGTTGTTAGGTTCAGAAGACGCCCCGTCATCAACCCGTCATCTTCACCATTGCCTGGCGCCATCAGGCTGCTTACTGCTCTCTTCCGCCAACACCGGTCTGACAAGACAATGTCTGAGCTATCGTTCTTCGTGCTTTCCTCACGCCCGGTGTGTTGAGATAAGCGGTAATTCTCCAGCCGCTCACCCGGATATATCATGTAGCAGGGAACCCTCGCAAACAGGCGAGGGTTATCGTTGTTCGTCTAGCTATTTATCTACACTGTACACCTAATAGAAGTAATACTATGTAGTAAACAAGGCCGAGGAGAAGAACAAGCTTCCTTGCCTGACAACCGAAGATCCCGACGGCAACTGCACTGCGATGGGCGACACTTGATACTCCAACACGATGTACCTTGAAATCCATACCGCTAGGATCGACCGCATTCTGCCAGAAGGTACCTGTTCTATGCGCTAGCCTGTACTGAGAACATATGTTCCGATGTGTTAATAGTTAGTTGAATCGTGTGACTAAACTTCCATTAAATCCGTACTTGAAAGTCTCTCACAAGATAAAAGAACAAATAACGCGTTCACTGGACAGATTCACAGGAATGACTTCCCGTCAGTAGGCTGATGCCCGTCTGCAGCAGATATCGCTACTCTGGCCTCGCTGTGATATCCTGTACTGCCTTCAAATTGTATTCATATTCTTTAGTTCGTTTACGTCGGAAGATATAGGAAGGCTTACGGAGAAGTGAACGGGAGCTGGTATTAACAGGAGAGGGGGACCCTGGTGTATACCTCTTCACCGTAAGCTTGGATTTTGAATAAATGGGGGCTTCTCCACCGTAAACCCCGAGTACATACCGAAAGCTGTCAATGCCGGAGACGAGGAATCAAGAATAACGTCACCAATGGCTTCAAGATAGAATATGCACTCGCTAAATAAAGCAGGAGGATTCAAAGGAGGTGATTTAATAACGAAGGAAATCGCCAGGACCTGACATACGGAAAGCGCAAAGTAACCGAAACCGAAACTATATATGAGGTATGTAAGTGGTCCATTGTACTGTATGAAAAGCTAGCTGTGGCAGCGAACGTAGCTGTGTAAAAGCGAGGACGATAAGTATAATCCGCCCAACGATGTATGCGAGGATGCCACCAAAAAATAATGCAGTGAAACAGAGCTCCCAAATAGAATCGCCCATCAACCAATATGGAAGTAGTCGTGGTAGCTTCGATATCCACTTGGGACAATACCCCTCAACAATGAAAATAACAACAACTGCTGCAAGGAGTCCAATCATGACTGACACAGATGAAAATCGCCACAGTAGCATTTCCGTGTGGGATGGAAAGTAGAATGACCAAGCCATGCAATGGAATGCCCCGAATAATGATCCTACACAAACCCCTATCACAAAGGGTATCAGCGTCTGTTCAGGGCAACCCGAGGACAATAGCAGGGCACCATCTCCAATGTTGTTACGGCCTTCTATCGGTGCGAAAATGAAAGTCCGTGCCACATTGTAAACCCAGACCAACGCGTCCTTTACCCCGCCTATCGAAAAGTCGGCGGAGGAAGCCATTGGGGAAGCAGATTCTTTGTGACTTTTAGTTGCCAACGTTCGCATGAATTCGCTTGAATTCAACGGATCCAAAGATATATGGTAGTTAACGTTGAGTGGTTTGTGCCACCACAAGCAGTAAGTCATGATGCTGAGGCCGGCAAATGCGAGTGCTGCCATTTCAAGGAGTGTGATCGGGAGATGCTGAACGGATCGAGCGAGGCATTGCATCATGAACCAGGATATTTGGAGGATAGATATAATTTTGGACAGTGCATCTCGTTTGCTTTTGTCCTCGATGGTCTCTGCACTGATCGCCGCTAGGGTTCTGGCTAGCCTTGGTTCCGATTCAAGCGCACGGACATCAACAAGTATTCCTTTGATGTTCTCAGTTTCAAGACTACTGTCGGATAGGAGTGGAGTGTCAGAGTCGGTGGTACATTCCAACAAGTCTTCGTAAACTGGTGTAGGCATGTCGGTGTAGTAGAACCCCCCCATGCTGAGAAAAAAACCATGAGAGAGTGTCGGCTTTGATTTGTTTGTTTTCTCTCTCCAAGCATGGATAATAGATGCAATAGAGATTTTCTCTCCTGTTGATCTCCACTGTAAGTTCAGACAGTTCCTGATAATATGAAGTACCCACCGTGACGCACCCTCCAAGCAACCATAAACTGCTCTGCAGCCCATCCAACGATGATCTCTGGTGCAAGAATTGCGATAATCATGAGCCTCGCGCGTTCAATACTGCAGGAAATTGCTCCCTTGGTCGTGGTGTTACGACCTGGGACGTTGGGATGTATGGCAAGCCAAGTGCATGTGAATATTGTTGCGAGGCAGCTCCATACAATATTCGACACTGTTCGTCGATCTTCAGAAGATACAGGTAGGTCTTGGTTGTCCTCTGGAGATATGGGTGCTCCAAAGGCATGAGAGGTGAGAAGGACAATTTGAAGGACAAATATTAAAATTCGGTTCATGGTAGTAATTCGAAACACCTGGGGAAATCATTAAACCAAAAGACGACATCTGAAAGATTGGGACGAACCCACTTTATATTGACAGAAGGAACAGAGCCCGAGAAATTAGTTGTCCCTACTTGAGTTCTGCACACATGTTAGATTACTGATCGGCGAATATATTACTCAAAAATACATACCAAAAATCCAGGTGGATGATTACTTTCATGAGCTTGAGAATGCGAGGTCCTTTGTCGAACGTTAGCTGAATCAATAAATGATATGGAAAGATGCACATACAATGAATGTAATAAATGTGTCACGGAGACAGCTCAAGGGAAATATCGTGGAGAATCGGACGGTGGTTGTTATACTATGGGAGAGCAAGCCGTAATGCCCTTTTATCACATGTGCATACCGCAGCAATTACAGCCGGCCATGACTTTGCATCTTTCCTGGATTATCGCTATACCGATCTAATCAGTGTCTTAAAATTAAAGGCTGTTTGTGTCGACCGCAGAACAGAGATTAGCGCCTGGTTTACAGATCAACTCGTCTACTGGTGGACCGAGATCCTCACGGGGATTTGATGCACAGCCTGTTCAAAGACCCGTTTCAGTGATAGAATCATCACATCCTTTGAATCTATAGTCTAAGAGTTTCATAATGCAAAAAGAACCGAGTCATGGTTGTTGGTCACCCAACACCGTCATTGCGTCATTACGTGGGAGGCATATACTGAAGCTATGATCTTTTCTTTCCTTTCATGGAAGCATGAACCCGACAACAAGCCATTTTGGCAACAAGTGTCGTCGCGTCCGCACATTTGATTTGCCGAGACTCAAAACATGTGATCACCAATAGGAAACGGCAAACGATCCACTTGAACACTTTGTTAAAGTGAGCTCGCGAGTCTTAGCCTCAGGCTATAAACGCACGGTCATTACCACTTTAGTGGCTCTGAGACACGACGAGCCAAATCGATGTTTGAGGGTCCCCTGAAGATGCGTCCTGGAGGCCGCTTGTGATTCCCATCGGAATTCTAAAGTGCGCGACGCAAAAATGTGTGTATTCATGTTCCGTTTGTATTAGATACATCTCGATACATTACTATCTACAGGAAAAACGGCGGTATATACTACGCTAAGCCAGTATTAGAATTGTATCTGGCTCGCAGCAGCACAAACCAGTACATATCAACGCCTTCCCTTAATTATCACCCCTGCGCCACCGCCATACCCACTATGTGTTGGGGCCTCGGGTTCGGCTATCGAGTACATAGCCGTTCCGATCTGCTTTGTCGGCATAGGTCGATACCACGCCGAGATGGTAATCGCAGACGTATTTTCCTCGTATCTACCGACATCCAACTTCGTCAAGCAATACCACCTAAAGAACAAAGAAAGAGAACTCACAACCGGAGCCCTGCTGCCTTCTGGTCAGGATTCAAGATGGCATAGAGGAGAAGGAAGCGATATATAACCTTTCGCGGGCCATCGTCAATGTTAAGATGTAAAGAAGCGCAGGAGCTGTGTGTTGAAGATGATTATGGAGAAGAAAGAACGCGCTTGTTTCAGGAGGTGATAAAACGCCTTGATCTTCTTCAGGGTAGGCGTTTGCTGAGAGAGGATTGCCGCCGTTGCGCCATCTAAGAATAACGTCCCTGAAAGCTAGGCCGAATACATTTCACACGGAAGTGACGGAACGTACAAGTTTTGACGAACTGATTCATGGCAAGTATCCATCCACAGGCTGGAGGAGATCAGATCTATGAGGTGAATGAAACGAAGTGCTTATTGAATGCTTACCGGCAATCTATTGATCTCCAGCCTCCAGGGAGGGCCTGGGAGGCATTACAAAGATCTACAACAATCAGAAGAATGGACTTATGCAGGATCGCCATCGAGATTAAAAAAAAAACAGAGTTTCAGCTACGGTGGAAAACTCCGTAATGCTATATTGCCCTGGCCTACACCAGAATGCTGGATGTACATTTCCACGGTTGATGTCATTGATAATCAATAGAGGAAAGGTGTTTTTTTCACTTAAGAATCATTAGCTTGGTGATTCGTGATCCCCGGGTCTAAGATGAGATGAGTATCAAAGCAGCCGTATGACTATATCCGTCCATTTGTGCTTCAGGAAGACATCAGCACCGGCCTGTCGGGCAGATAAGCCTCCTATAACAAGATTTGGTATTTGAAGAGGTACAAAAAACAAAGCCCATAGCATTTGTTCCACGTACCCTTGCGTATCAGTCCCTTTCGAACTGTTTCCTGGTACTAAGTCTGAAGAGAGTTGAATCAAGAACATCGCATTGGCAACGCAAAGTTATTGGAAGAATAAGAAAGCCTCATGACGAGTTTCAGTCCCGCGACGTGGACTCTAGCCTATTTCTTCTGTGGACATTGAGCCAGTACGACCGGGAGAGACGTAAGAACACCTGCAATATCCTTTGTAAATGAATGAAAAAATACAGATACAGCGAAAAAGACGCGTACTGGATATCACATCGAGGCCAGGATAATGATGTCCGCTCCAGACGGACAAGAATGTTCTGATAAGAAGATAACCACTGCGAAGTTGTCTGTGTTGTCTGTGTTATGGACTACCATGAACCTATGAGAGACTTTTCAAGGACGGATTCAACGGAAATTCACTCACCCGAGCCAAACCTGCAAGCTTCAGCCTGCAGTTTGAACGTCTTCATTTCGGGAAGTGCGAATAGTAAGACAGATGGCGACAACAAGGTTGATAGGAATATCATGAATTGTAAAGGTAGATCGTGTATCGAGAAAGGGAAATGAACGACATGGTGGCCGTTGGATGAAAATATTGCAGATGTTTGTCATTAGCCGCCCGGCGCAGCGGCCCTCATGATCCGCACAGCCACCACCGGGTTTCTTAAGACTACGTGCTCATTGACGCGACGATGATGCTAAACAACGCTTCTTCCAAGCATGATGGTGAGCTGAAATATTCATATTTATTTTAATCAGTTGCAGAAATAATGAAACCCTGCCCGCCACGTTCTCATCCACTATTATTTGTATTACTTCCCCAGTTGGCTGCTCCTCTCTGCTGTCAACCTGCGGCAATACTATTTTTCTCTAGTAGACACGAGAAATTTCGTGCCTCTTTCATATGTCTGTCACAATGTACTTTTTTTTGAGCTCTCTTGGGCTCATTAGCTCCACTCCTCTTGTCGCAATCATGCTAGTGAACGTTCAATTCTCAGGTCCCTCACACTTCCGGAAATGAATGGAACCATGGAAGTGCGTACCTCCGTTGTGCATAATAATTTCTTCGAATGCATGGATACAAACTGAAACGTAAATATTCGTGATCATCTTTTCCTTTTCCAGCTCTCCTTCTAATGTTTCAAAGGCGTAGTCTCTCCGAGAGGGCAGACAAAAGGAGCGGCAACAAACGAAAGTAAGTTGAAAGAGTACACCGTGACAGCCTTATTAAAGAGCTGCGAGATTTCTGCGAAAGCAGTCACATACACCAAAGAAATCCCGTATAATCGCAGCTCGACAGCAGTGTGAGAAGAAGCTGTGAGGAGGGAATAATAGAAAAAATAGTGGTCCAGAATGTGACGGGCGAAGGTTCAGCACTGCGGCAATGGCGTAAACGAAATATTGATAGTCCAGTCAGTTTTTACGCTCAAATGACGCGTCTTTTAGCATCATCGGGCCGTCGCGTCAATGAACGCAATCCTAATGCAACTGACAGTGGCTGTGCAATTCACGCCGCGTCGGTGCCGGCCAATGGCAAACATCAACAATCTTTCATCCAACAGCCATCACGTTGCCCGTCTCCCGTCCTCGACTCATGATCGACGCCTCCAATTCACGATACTCTTTTTGGCATTGTTTTCATGGCACATTTTGAGCGGCAAGAGCCTGGCCATTCGTGCGGGCTGGGACGAAGGATGGTGGGAAGAGACACGAAGATTGGCGGCCGTGTCAGATAGCGACGGAGAATACATTGGAAGGCTCAAGGTACGACCCGCTATCCAATTATGCTGAGCCTCTAACTGAGTAAGCTCTCTTAGGCGTATAGCGATGTTGAGAGTCACTCTGATGGAAGGGTGCATACGGGTCCAAGAATGGTGTGGCACTCGTATTTCCGTCCAAGTTCGAAATTTTTCACTTTACTGAACTTGCATAGTATTATGACGCGTCGCGTAATCGTCGTGTGAACGGGCGCATAGTGCTAAGTAACCCGTCGGTTGCTGTGCAATTCACCAGGCGCGCCGGTGCCGGCCAGTGACAAACATCCGCAGTCCCTTCAACGATCCTCATGCCGTTCATTTCCCTTCCTCGAATCCCGTCTACTTTTCTGATTCGTGATATTCTTCTCGACCTTGTCATCGTGGCCTACCTTGAACAGCAAGAGCACGGCTACTCTCGGACGGATTCAGTTGGAGGGGACACGGCCAGAGCTGAAGGCGGGCGGTTATGTCAGATAGCGACGGAGAATCGTGCTCTTCCTCGATGCCCTACGATTGGAAGGCTCAAGGTACGACACACAAATAAGCTATGCTGTGCCTGCAACTTGGTAATTGGCCTTGGGTGCATACCAATGACGTGAGTCGGTTGAGCGCAATTTGGATCAAGGATGTAGACAAGTCCGAGCAGCAGTACGTCTGTTACCCCAAAGGATCGTTTCTTTCTATTGACATCCATGCAGTGTTGTCTGTCAGTCAGATCTTGTATCTCTACCACAAAGGCGGAACATGTTGGGACTGCAAGTCATGGCACACGTTATGAAGATTCAGCTCGCAATCCATGTCGCCACGCCGCGTTTATGCTCATCGACCTCATTCCGCTGAAAAGCACCCTGCTTGTACGGATAAAGAAAACAAAAGGAGGAATACTTACTCTAATGTGTTGCTAGCTAGTTCTGGTGAGTACATTTCCGTTGAATCTGTACTTGAAAAGTCTCCCATATGGTGACAGTATCAAATACTACGGAAAGCGTCACGGTTTCCCTCTTCCTATCAGAACGTTCTTGTCCGTCCACAGCGGATATCGTTATTCTGACCTTGACGTGATATCCGATACGCATCTTCCCCGTTATATTCATATTCTTTGGTTCATTTACAAAGGACAATACAGGTGCTCTTACGTCTCTCTTGATTGTATTGTCACTGGATCTACGGAAGACCACGCCTGGGAACGCTCAGTTCTCACCTGCTGGTGACACACAGGCAAAGGGCTTTCGAAAGTCCCGGAGGCCCTAGAAGGATTTCATTTAGTGATCAGTGCGTGTGCTTCTAGGTCCTGATTGTGATATTCTGAAACCGTAACAGGTGAATTACCATCGTCCGCATCGAGCGCTGAGCACTCCGGTTTCATCGTGATGGATAACGAGGATTGGGTATCCTGGTCGCGTTATCATGGCCACGCGCCTTTTCAAGGTATCGTTTTCTTTCATTATGCCGGGTCGTCCGCTGAGTGGTTTATCTAGGATCGTGGTATGTACTAGTGCAACGAGTGTCTTGAATACCAGGGAGATCGTTAGAATGAAACCAAGTACGCCTGTCGTGTAAAGATGTCTCTTGCTTACCAAAATTAATCCAGAATTCTGTCGCTTCCATCTCATTGGTAGAATGTGCAAATATACACTGCATTGCCATCAGCTATGTGCATTTCTCCTGTCATTTCGGCAAGCGCAAAATGAAGATAGGCGCAATCCAAGAGGCCGCAAGCTGGTGTCGTGTCTTGAATGCTACGTCCAAGGCAACGCTGCAGCTGAAGACAACTCAACGGGAAGGTATCAAGAAAACGAAACATGACACACCTAAGCGCCCAAGGCTGTCATCCTGAAGATAACCTTCCGATAGCGTATCCTTCACGTCTGATTGGGATGCCGAAGTGCCATCCTGTGATGAACTTGTAACTAGAAGATAAACGAGCGACGAGAGAATGTAAGCTCACGGTGCTCAGTTGACTGGCATGACAGGTAAGTAGAAACGAAGCTCATGGTAAGAGAAAGAAAAGTATTCGGGGACCGGCAGCTATCGGAACCAACAAATGCCGACAACCGAGTCGGGAATCCGGCGGCCCGGGCCGCAGGCTAATCGTGCTCTTTGTCTTGACTGTCATGGCTTCGTGAACTCTGGGACTATTTTCTCCGCCATATATTCGTTCTACCTTCTATTTCTCCGTTCCTGAAGAAGTCTCTCATAGCAGTTGCGTCAATAGTCACTGTGTAATCAATGGTACGCCCATCTTTAGGATGTAAAGCGTTGTAATTCTAACAGCCCTGTAGCAGTTCTTCAGCGGCGCACCGATACTCTACCATACATTTAGCACCAATATTTAATCGTGCTGTTATCTGGGTTTGGAGATCTGAGTGCGTTATCTCAATCATACAGCGTTTGACCAATTACTAAGGAGCGGTACGAATGCCCTCTCACGCTTTCTGCCATCGACATACCAATCTTTAGAACTTCGAAACCCACCCAAGGAGAAGCATTGAGGAAGCCAGAACACGATCAAAGTTGGACTTGAGCGCTTGCTCCGGCCGGCAACATAGAATCAAACTCTGACACATCTTTCTGCATGTATTCTCCCTTTCCGTTGAGAGGTTAAGTCGCTCTCGTATTCGTTTGCCATGCATGCATTTCTCCAGTTTTAAACCCCTTTTGTCGTATAGTTGTGTGACGTAAGAATCAGGAAAGGGGGGGGGGGAGGGGTAAGATTATTAGGTCCAGAGGGTATGACGTTCCGAGTGTGACGTTGAGCTTCTCCAATAATCCCACGACACCGAGGTCGATTCAGGGAGTGTCGGCAAGACTCGATGGTACGACAAGCATTCTGCCAGTGTACGATCGTTTCTCAAGTACTGGAATACTTGATTCGTCGATACCAGTCTCAGCGAGGCAGGAGAGTGACCTCCGGGAGCTTCTCATAATTAGGGTCTACCAGCTCACACTGCGACGAGTCAATCCTTGTGTTTCTGTTTACATGCTGCGAACTTACATAGTTCTGGTGCTCCATCTGTGCTGCATATATTAAGATTTGATTTGGAGACCCTTGTCATGGCAGACTGAGTGTATGAAGCAATGAGGCAACACAATAATACATACAAAACATCATGTCTATTCCACGTACTTCCTCAATCTTAGGAGGGTGATGGGGTTTCAGAGGTATTCACATGGTGGGAAGAAGCAAGGATTGCGGACGAGTGGTACAATGTGCTACACTTACTCGTACCAACAACGCATTCTTAATACCGCATAGCCGCTCACTCAAGAATAACCTTGCTCGTTGAGTCAATCTGGACAGTTACACCTGAAGCGTATAGGAAGGCTAACACGTGGCTCAATACCTTTATACCGAATAGTTTTGATACTGAAAAATCGCGACATATGGATTATTCCAAAATTATAGCTGTCTGTTAGGCATGCGAAACAAGGCTGCCATACGTTAGGAACCTGACGCACGCGTACATCGAGACCACGTCCTACAATGCTGTTATCCCAGTGTATTGATAGGCGCCAGGCGCCATCGTGACAACCCCAAACATGGCCGTGAAAAGATGGTCAGAATAACATCCAAAAATCCCGAGTCGGCACAAGTGAGGAGGCGAGATGTCGTATACTCCCAGGCCATAAAAGTGCTTCTCGCAAAATGTTTCTGAACTAGACCAAGAATGGACTATAATTAGATTGACGCCAGACACATTATACAAAACTTCTAATTGATGTGTTTCCAGGGTGATGAAAAATTCCACATGACACGTTCATTTCATGCCTGTATTTGCCGATAACGACTCCTTGTGTGGCTTCAAAGTACTTGCCGTATAACAGAAGTCGACTTTGCATCTTTAATATTCTGCCTTCAACTGCTTCGACGTATTCCGTGTCCGTGCTGACGTACGGGATAATTCACTACGCTCTGTATCCATCGGGACCATGTCAACCTTCAGATGTAATTATAGGATGTCACCGTCCTACCCTTGACAGAAATTAAGACGGATATGTCCGACACCTAGTAATACGGCATGGGAATCAATGAAGACACGAATAATGTACATGGCAGACAGTTCCACATGAAAGTAGTGCACAAAACGACTCCTTCGTTATCAATTGCACCATATAGACCGGTTAGTACCGAGGTGGAGCTTTACAAGGCGCCTACTGGTTCAGTTCTGTCTGCGGTCAAGCTTATTGGAATTTGAGCAGGTAGCTAATCTTCCAAGACGAAAATCCACTTCTTGCGAACCCGAAGCTCTGGAGCATTCAATTGCTGCATCAAGAGGTGGATTATTCGACAAGAAAGTGGTCCGAGGTTGAAGGACGGCGCGATCACCATTATGACTGCCTCGTTGAATTCTGGATCAACGGAGGTAATCCACACAATCGTAATAAGGCAAGAGGTGCCGATGAAACGTTCAGAACCAGGTTTGAAGCTGCCAGTGCTGCTGATGGATCGAGCAACGGCTAGGGTTTACAAGATCTTAGATCCTGTCGGACGTTCCCAACTTCTCATGCGTAACTGCGTCTACGAGTTTAGCACGTACGACCACATCGGATACAGACCTCATATTCCCCTGGATTTATTGAGAAATACTCAATCGCAGGATATTTCACATGAGTGACCTGTAAAGAGGATTCGTTGGAATACTGGAATGTCGATGTCAGGGGGAAAAAAAGTAAGGTAAGGGACTCTGCATACTCATGACGACAACGAGGCCCAATAGATTCATCTCCCTGAAGTTCCAGGAGAGCTTTATCAAGGCGCGGCAGTAATCGATGCGACTCCAACTGTAAACATGTAACACATTGTGAAACCAAGTTCTAGATTTGAATCCGAACCTATCAGAAATGAGATCCATGTTATCATTCAAACGGAGGAGACGACGTTGAAGAACAAGCTGCGAAGAAGGGATACGGAAATGCTTTGTCATTCATTGGAACAGATCACAATGAGCAAATTATTTATTCTTGTATCGCATCACGGTGACACAGAAATTAACATGCCGGAAGGTTGTGTTTGATTACAGTGTATGGCTGGAACTCGGAGTGAGCGAGGTAACACGACGTTGGGCCGTAGAAGTATGCACTATTCATGATTCCGGATGTCAGACGGCGAGATATAGGATACTGCAACGCAACAAGGGGCTCACCAGAGAGGACGCATGCACGCCCTGTGAATAAATGGTGGCCGAGAACGTGACGGGGGGAGTTTCAGCATTTCGGCAGGTGCTAAGCAAAATTTTAATATGGATAGTTTATTTAGTCTTCACATTCAAATGACGCGTCGTTCAGCGTCATCGTCGCGTCAATGAGCACGTAGTCCCAAAACAACCAAGGGTGGCTGTGCAATTCACGAGGGCCGCCAAGCCGGTGCCGGCGAAGGACTTTTCATCTAACAGCCACCATATTGCCCATCTCCTGTCCTCGGCTCACGATCTACCTTCCCGATTCATGATAATCTTCTCGACCTTGTAGTCGTGGTCCATCTTGAGCACGAGGAGCCTGGCTATTCGCGCTGCCCAGGATGAGGATGGTTGGCTTGCCGAGCCAAGGATGGATGTAGAATTATCTTGCTCATCGACGGCCTAACCCTGGAGGTTCAAGGTACGATGCGCAAATCAGATAAGCTGAGTCTTGAAATGAGTAAATGTTCCTAGGTGTATACCAATAATGCGAGTCGCCTGAGCGCAGTATTGGAGTTACTGTGGCTGTACGAGCCGACGGAATCAACCGGCTCCCTACCCGTTACTTACTGTACCTGTAGTCTTCCTTTCTTTACCGTTTACCTCCACGTCGACGTATATAGGCTAAACGAGTTGTTCTTTTCGTTCCCTCCCGTCCTCGAATCTCAACACGCAGTCTGGTGGAAGGATGTATAGAAGAGTAAGCAGTCTGCGGTGCGTCGGATGCCCCAGAAGATTTTTATATTTCAACTGATGTCCATACAACGTTGTCTATCACGGTCAGACCTTTACTTCGACCTCAAAGGCAGAAGATGGCTGAACCGCCATCATGGCCGCCCACAACCGTTTCCCGGTGCTATGGCAATTCGCGAAGATTCTGCTCACAATCCATGCCGATAGGCTACCCATTGTTAGATGGAACGAGGTACGCCTGTCATTCAGGAAGACGTCTATCCTTTACTGACGTTATCCAGGATTCTTTCGTTTTCGTCTCATCGGCAGAATTTCAAGGTACTAATATTAATAGTCAATAATGCGAACGCTTGATTGGGAGAGAGTTGAAGAAAGTGCCTGTTTTCTTTGCCCGAGCTAGTGGGAGGCGATTATGATTGGAACCTGATTTCCCAGCGTAAGCTCGGATTTGACGAACTTGAGGATTCTCAGGCTATTCTACGCGCATATCAATTTTGCTGTTGGCGGGAAGTCATCGATCATCCCGGAAAGAACCGATATCCGTGATAGGTTTTGGTGTTGTTAGTTTTGGAATTTGGAAGGCTCGTCTGCCCTACGTCATCAATGCGTCAGGCTTTCTTCTTTTCCCATCACCGTTGCGTTGCTAATGCGATGTCCTTGACTGCTGACTCTGAGTCACGGGATAGCACCAAAGTAACTGAGGCGCTAAGGCTCATTAATGTGCTGATGTCTTTCTGATGCAAATGAAACCGGTAACACGCTCAAACGGTTGCTTCGACACTCGTCTTATCTTAAATGCAGACATGCACGGATCACGAGGCTGATGGTTCTCAAGTGTTGGATAATGCTTGCTGTATCCTTAGTTTCCAAGGGAGAAATTGAAGTTCCGACGTGACTCATCTCTCTTTCTTTTATTGTCATCCCGATGTTCCGTTTTCTAAATCAAAACTGAGTTATTTCCACCACCCTCCGCAGCTTCCTCTAGGGATCAGGGAAGGCATGGTATAACTTTGAGCTTTACCTTAGCACACTGAATTTCCACTGCCAGAAAATTAAAAGGGGTTTTCTTTTTCTCAATGGCGACCCTGAGGTAAGTTACATTGCCCCCGATTGTTGGGAATCTTTCAATTTCTAACGTCTCCCCAATGATCAACAGGTCCCGTATCTATGTAAGCGCTCCTTTTCATTCAAATCACACATCTGATCCCCTCCAGCCTGCGGATCGATACTTACCATGAAGAAGCTCAGTAAGACTCGTATGCTGTGCGATATTCCGCACAAACTCATTCAGCCTGGCTTGGAGCGATATTGTTCTGAGAGAGTGACAATCCTTTCCCAATAAACGTTCTTTGCCCGAAAGAAGATCATGGCGTCTATCAGCTCCCAAAACAAGTGTGGACCACGGAATGCTATGCCTATACGAGTTCCGTCTTCTCAATGACCATCTTCGATAGGCAGTGCTCTCCCGCGCTGCCTTAAATCTGAACATCGACAATAGCCCTCAAAAAGTTGTATCTTGCTTCACTTCCCCTCGATCCCAATGTACAGGATACGGGATATCACAGGTAAGGCCCTCTCATGCGATCCTAGAAAATCATTACGCTAATCTGACTTTCATGCAGCACTTCGAAGCGAGGGCCTCCACGCACTTTGTTCAGAAAAATCTTGGAGGCATGGTATCACTATCGAGGATAGCTGGTCGTCGAACATACATGAAGTACGGCTTGGGACGGGTGGACAGAATCCTGACCAGAAGGTGTCAGGGTTCCGAATGTGAGTAGTCTTTCGTTGTTCCGTTGGAATGAATTGCCATTGATTGTCGGTAGATACGATAAAAGGCATCTTCGATTACGATAAAGGCGTGGTATCGACCCATGGCAAGAAAGAGCAAGAAGAAGCTCCTTGGAAGTGCTACGTACTCCCTAGTCTAGTTCGATGCTCAGACGCATAGTACGTACCAATTGCATTCTTACCACTCACTCCTAATCACACACCTCTAGAAACTGAAGTCTTACTCGTCCCTCAGCGTAACAACATCAACACCAAGTCATCCTCATCACCTATCATATTCATCCGCTTTAAAGCCCGTCACCAGCACCTCCACAACACACAACCTCCAACTCTCCCCAGCAGCAGATGCCATGCAATCCCTACCTCCTTCGCCTGATTCGAACCACCTCAGCCCAAACATCCTCGGCCCCTCGATGACCCCCAGCAGCGGTAGCAGACGCAGCACTCCCCGTGGAGCGTACGACGATATCTTCGAACTTCTTCTTGTCTCACCATCCATCTCCCTCCTCAGCAAACTGACGGTTCCCAGTCTCCTCCCCTAGCACAGAGATATAGACGACCCTCTCCCAGAGTTCAATCCTGCGAACGTCTCGTATCGGCTTTTACGATCTACAGGGAACTCAAGTGTGCGAGACTCGACAAGGATGTCGAGCTAGTTTTTAGAAAGAAGCAGGAGGAATGGACTTATGTTGCTGGTTTAGTGTGTCTTTTCTTTTGCTCTGATCTGATTATGGAATTGACACACGTTCTGTGATGTAGCTACTAGCACGCAGTATTCATCGCGTATGTCCATATTCGGCTTTCTTTCTTTCTATCCCTAACGTCTCACCTCTCACAGCATAAACACCGCCGTCTTGGATATCACCCCCGATTCCCAATTCGCCATGTCTTCCCCCGTCCGACTAGCCATAGCACGACCCCTGGCCTCGGCCTGGTCTGTGATGTCTGGTTCATCAGTCGATACCACTTCACCCCTACCTCGACGCTCACCCTATGGCTGCTGGATTTTTTCGGGACCTATTTCTTTGCATTCTCCGCGAGGACACCGATGATTTGCCTATTGGTGTCATCGGTGTGGTTGGTGGTGTTTCTGGGGAATATGGCGTGTGTGGTGAGCATAGATGTGGTACTGGTGGAGGTGTTTGTTGGGCTAGGGATGGCAATGGAGGTGTCGGTTTGGGTGGTGTATTGGTGTGCGAAAAGGGTGAGGGTTGTGTTTGGGGGAGGAAGGTGAAATACAGGTGCATATTTCGCATAGTGGTGGATATACTTATTTCTTGTAGATAGTAATTTATCGAGATATATCTAATACAAATGGATCCCAGAATACGCCCTTTTTTTGCATTCTATGACGAATGCTATTGTGTGACTGCATTGGAGAGTAAGCAGGATATAGAACCTCTCCTTTTCTAATGCCTCATATAGCTTTGCGCTAGAGTCAATTTCCACCGCTACAAAGCTAGACACATAAATATTTACTGTACAAGTCGTCGACACTCGGCCCCTGCCTGGAGACTCCATCCTGTTTGTGCAAGAATGTTTGATCGTCGACGTGGTATTTGAGGGTCTTCGAGCCAGTTTCGGGTTCAAATCGCAGTCACTGCGGCAGTGATACCGTATTTTGGCTAAGGCGATCTTAAGAACACGTAAAGTTGTGAAAAAAAGTCCAATACTAAAACCTCATCATAATACCTGTACAATAATATAAATATTCAATATCATGCATTCTGAGATTACACAGCTCAGATGTTTCAATTTAATCCAAGATAAGCTCTTTCAAAAGCAGGCCAAGAACACTAGATTGATTTTTTAAAAAGAACTATAGCTCTTCCCTCAAGTCCTTTGCGAGACATTTCTGAATGCACTTTCAAAATACTCCCTCTGCGAATTCAAATCGTGGCCTCCGGTTAAACCGACCGCGAATATTTAAATATTGCCCTGCCAAGAAAGTCTTGGCCATTGATTGGGTGTCTGGGGGGCAGACGGGCTTTTCCGCTTCCAAGAATGGTAATAATGGACGGCTGAGTCGATGCCGAGTACAGGTGGGTGGACTTCGGATTTAATGCTAGAGCTGGGCAGCGAGAGAACGAGAATTGCTTCTCGTTAGGCGGTGAGTCAGTGGCCTACGGATTCTTTTGCCAGTCGTAGGTTACTATCTGAGAAGACCTTGATATCGTAGCGGTAATGAATCTTGCGAGTGCCGAGGCAGCGTCCTGGGCATGAATGGGACGAGAACGCTCTACTAAGAGATAAACTAGGAGGCTACGTGGTGGAGTGGTATTATGCGATGGGATCGTGTATCTGGGGATCGTCCGCCGTCTCGCCTATCATTTTTAGCGATGTCAATTTTCAAGTTACGGCGCTGCCGGAAAATAATGAGAATAGCGGGAAATGACTTCGTCGTGTTTGTTGTACCAAATCAGCTCTGTCATTCCCATTTCCAAAAGCACTGTAACTTGAAGGGATTATCTGTTGGCCATGGTACGCGCTGACTACCTAATCAAGCATCTCGATACCCCAATATGGTAAGTGCTCTTAAGGTCTGGGTAAGCGCCTCCGGGAACGAATGAGCTGGAAAGAACTACCGTCTTTGTTAGTTGTACTCAAATGCTTGCCGAATGCGTGTGGAACTTTAAGACTAAATATTATTGAAAAAGAAATCTTGCAATCTATTCAGCAGATTTGAATTTCTGTAGTCTGGGTGTCACTGTAATATTCCTTCCAAGATTGAGACCAAGTTCCTTCACTGAGTTTCATTTGTATGTGCATATCAAAGCCATTAACATGTCTTACCTGATCTCACCACACACACAGCTTCCTCTTACCATTACTTTCTTTACTTTTCTTCGCTCTATTTCGTCCTTTTCTCGCTCCTCCTCGAGTATTTTTCTGTCAGTTGCTTTATATGGGTCGAGTACTAGGTCCTACCACGGGGAGTGGCTCACGCCACTTCCTTCGTCAATCGTGCCGTGAGAGGGCGGCGTCTTCTGAACTCTCCGACTCGACACTCGACGATAGGTGAGTCTGGGAGATTTAGTCGGTCTCCGCCTGCACAATTAATCGATTCCATACGTACAGTAACCCATTTGTTGGGACACACGCACACGTCGAAGCAAGCAATTTCAACGCTGCAAAAACTGGCGTGCACACCCCCGCCTCTCGGAACGACATTAACGCCATTAAATTGCCGGAAAATGGCACGGAAAATACGCGGTTGTTGGGCTCAGCTTCCATACCTGGGGGTCAGGTCAATCGCAAGCTGGGTATGGTGCTCAAGGCCTTTTCCTGGATACTAATCAAGAGGCGCCGCAACGTCGCAAGACAGTAGGCGCAAGCAGCTAATTATAAATCACCACTACTACACCACTGTACGTACACGTCCCTCAAATGTCAAACGTTCCACCAGTATACTCATTCGTCTCTCAGCTGCCCCTTGGGGTGTCCCCTCGTTTCTTGATAGTCATCGTTGACGTCACATAGTTGTTCTGTATCATCATTCATGGACCTGAGCGAGCTTTTCTTGTATCAAATATTTTACTCACAATGTACTGTACATATACATCGAGTTTCTGGTGCTAACATGGTGCCGGACCGACGTACGACTAGCTCCGATAGTCCTTTTTGCGCCCAATAACACATGATCATTCGAGCTCTGGAAGGATTGAATTTAGTTTGAACATTCCCTTACCGTCCTGCGGTAGCAACGGCGCCACCAACATTCATTCTGTATCCTCATGGCAGGTCTCGGAGAGCCTATCGCTGACTCTTCCTCCATAGCTTCTCTTGGATACGAAGGCAAGAACACAGGTGAGCAGCGAGAAGGACAGGTGCAAGTGCCAATTTTCAATTTCGGACGTGTCACGTTGTCCGGTTACTAAAATCACTGTCCCTATCTCCAACAAGAGCTCAGTACTTCCTATGTCCTATGTCGACTATTGGTGGGGGTTTGGAGCAATTGTTCTTCGCAAATTTAGGCTGGCGTAGAAAACCGCTCGCTTGGACGTTCCCATCCGCATTGGATATTCTTTAAAATGTTCAATGAAAGTTCCAGCGGTAAGGGAAAAGATCTCACTCACTCATCATTATGCTCTTTGCGTCCCTTCTCACTCTCCTCCACCGCTCTGGCGTCCCCTCTCGAGAGTCATCAGGCTAACACCAACACCAACGCTAACATCAACCAAATCGGTGATGCTCTCGACCAGAGTGTCCACATCAACATTCCCAACATCGGTAAAAACCAATATCTCCCTAGAGACACATTTTAACTAACTCGGGAAATTTAGTAACCCTCCAAGCATGGCATCAAGCCAACGATAGCACCATCGGGGAACAGATCGACGAGCCCACCACCATCTTCCGGGTTACAGCCCAGGACCTGAGCGACATCCCATCAGTGCGGGCTCTACCACAGTCAGGCCTACGAACGATTATATCAGTATTACTTTCGCGACCGTCCTGTCATACATCCACCTTTGGTTCCGGTATTTAGACATTTATTCATCTCAATGTGTAGACTCGTCGCGTCGGGCTTGTCAGGCCTGACAGCTGAGGTAGTCCCATCCACGGCTGTCGATGTTCCAGGACCTCGATTCCCAGGTCGCTGCAGCCACTACGACATTGAACACGACACTTGCGAATTTAGTTAAACATGTTCACACCATGTAAGTGCTGCTGCATTGTAACGATGGGAGGGGGGAACTCATCGGGCCCGATTTGTCACCATTCAGGATGCTGGATGCGCGACAGTTCTTCATCGCAGAAGGTTTTATGGTGTGGGTATGGAGACAGAAATACGTGATACCCCATATTTGCCCTAGAATCACGGTATTCACCAGTAATCACCGGTAATACCTGGTAATACCTGGTAATACCCGGTTTTCCCAGGTATTCCCCAGTATTTGCCAGTAAATTGCAGTTGATACCGGACAATATGGACCTCCAGCATTACCCAGTATCCCGCCTAGACACCCAAATATTCCTTTTTGCTCGAACCGGAAAAAACCTTCTCAGACCGAACGTCCCGAGTAGAGTCAATGAACCCTACGTGGCAAGGTAAGTAAATGAACGGGCAGACAATAAACAGTGCTCACCCTTACTTACAGTCCTTCATCCCAAGAACTGGAACCTCAACGTCGAGCACCCATTTGTTAACCAAAATCTGTCAGACTAGAGGGAAAGAAACAATGCCTAGTCTGGACGGTGGACAAAGAGGACAACGATAAGAAAACAGATATTCACAGGACAGACAGGTCCTCCTGCACCTTTAATCTGTATCTGACATCGAGCCAGGCGTTTAAATTTGAGGTGACGTGGCCCTAAAAGCAATAGTAAGCACCATGAACGCGTCAACAACAACAAAAAAAAACCTGACGTATACTTTTGGATAATAAATCCGTGGCAATCCTTGCTTCATATCAAATGTGGATGTCATTTAAACAGTGAAAAGTGAGTTCAAATGAAGCAATGGAAAGAGGAAAAGGCCCACTCACCGTGGTCATTGATATCGATGATGATGGTGAGAGGGAGACGATGCCTGTCACACCTATCATAGGAAATCAACGAACATAATGGTGAGCACGGGACATAATGACGGGAGAGAAGAAAGGGAGGAAATGGGATAGGGGACGAGATGAACGATAACTAGGAATGCATACCTCATTTTATATCCCTCCAGTCTACCCTTGGCACCAAGAAATTTCCCCACTGAGCTGTCGTTCAACATTAAACACGGAGCCCTCCATGCCAAAAATTCGAAGACTCTCCCCAACAGACAGTGGAAGTCTGTTGGATTTCGAGTCTGGAGCAATGTCAATAAGCCGAGGATGAGATTCCAGCATTGAATGAAGTTGGACATACCTGTTCTGTGTCTACGGAATAATCCCTGGGTCACTGCGGAACACTATCGAGCCTAAAAACTCATAAATCGACCGGGAGGATGTTGTATCCCCTCCATAGAATCGATATTTCAGGCAGTAGTTCATCCGGGCGAACATCGCACGTGCTGACAGGTATGTACAGGTCTTGGTATGCCACATAGGTCCCCGCGTCGTTTGAATTTCGGAGGATGTCGAGGGTAAGGGATATAGATATTGGAGTCAGAGGTGGTTCCTGAGTCTGCTCTGTGCTTGGATTCCCACTGGGGAGAAGAACGAAGACCTATAACAAGCATGTTAGTCGAAATGCAATCATGGAACACTTACCAAAGTCATGATACCGTCGTTGAACCACATGTTGCCCTCACTGACAAGGCCGCAAGGCGTGTCAGCAAGGAAACAGAAAGATGACGACATACTCATTTTGACCCACTGAAAAGCAACACAGTGATTCTTTATACACTTATACACGTAAAAATAATAATCTCACGTCCCAAACCGACACGATAAGAAATGAAAGAGATGTGATGCGGCGAAAGGACGGAGACGATACAAAAAAAATTATCGGGGACCGTAACATTTGCACTTGTTTAGCACACTGCACCGGACAGGTCCCTCACATGTCGGCCAAAAGTTCTCCTCGCTGCGTTCGCAACTAATCGATTGCATTTTAGGATTTTCCTCTGCACGCCTGATCACACCTGATCACTCTGGGGTGTAGGTTGATATGGGACCCCAACAAACAGTCGCTGTCAGTGCAACGTCGGTGCACGGTCGCCGTGGTAACCTACCAAACAGAGTATCAGTCTAAAGAAAGATAATTAACTTGGAACAGCATACCTAGTTCAATACCAACGAAGCCCTCGAATAAGGAAGGTGGTTGAAAGACCCGTAGCCGTCAGCTTGCTCAACAGGTATAGTAGGCGCTGCAGCATGCAACGAGTGGGGTTTGGCATAGCATGAGGGATGTTCTCAATGAGGGTGGCCACTACGTGGTTCTATATCTTGAAGTCATAACCATAGCTGCGCCGTTAATAAATCCTACAGAGCAAGGAGAGCGCCGTTAGCTGCAGAAAGGCAAGATAGAGAGTAGAATACATACGTGGTGTATCACTGTCCCTAACATTGAAACGAGAGCCTTTTCCAGGCAACTGAGCATTGATGGAAGTACAATATCTCGTAATCTCGGAAAGAATTCAAATTTACAATGGTCATACATCCTCCTTAGCGAAAGAAGGCGTATTTCTTCGACGGTCCCCTTAGCTCTCGCGATGAGAAGCTGTTCCAAGACTCCATCAACGACGAAAGGATGAAGGAAAACAAGGCTACGTACCATGCTACCTGTCCGAGTTCGTTGACAGCTTATCGAAGCCATGGTAGACTGAACAGACTTGTGTTAGCGTAACGACAAGTAGCGTGGGTGGAAGGACTTACCAGGTCAAACAGCCGTCTCCCGAGAGCCAGCAGCCAAGCGTTCTCGACAAGTTCAGTGCAGAACCTTATGGCCTACGCATGAGTTACCACCATGTTAGAAGAACACGGTCTACATACCTGCAATTTCGCTGCACGGTTCGTACATTCTTGAGTTAAGAAGCTTTGAGCTTGCCAAACAGTAGAGTAGAGTAGATTACGCACCCATGCAGTCGTCCACATATCATTCGAACAAGATCCGTTAGATACCATCGACTGACCTGATGACAGTGTTAGCTGTCCCTTGTAAACTCAAAGGACTTTGGGCTTGCCATATTATATTCAAAGCAATGCTATGTGAAGAAACATGTAAGAGATAAAGTAAACAAGAGTCGTGGGGCGGCTTACCTGTTGCTACTAACCTTTGGCTTGCTTGGTCGAGGTGCACAATACATCACTAGCCCAGTTCAGAAAACGAGAGAGTAAGTCCCTACACAAGGTTAGGCAAAGAACATCCGCAGGCTTAACTCACGTGTGACTGTTAATAGACGGCCGGGACCCCGGAACACCCTAGAGACATGGATTGAGGATCGCGATCGGGATGGAGGTATTGGCAAGTATGGACAAGTATTTACAGGTATGGGTGGAATACCATTTGTCAGGCGGTACCGATAGATACCAGTCAGGAAATCCCGATGAATACCGGTGAATACCCGGTATTACTGAGGAATACCCGGTAATACTGGTAAATACCGGGGTTTCCCGATTGAAATGGTCGAAAATGGTCGATTTCTGACTTTTGTCTCTAAATCACCATCATAAGGTTTCACCCATGGACGATAGCTGCTCTTGGATTCTAGCGTCTTGGCTCTTTGCATTCGTATGAGTAGCAGGATGGTGCCCTTGACTTCAGTACTTGATTGACGGAATGTAATGCCAATTTGACACTGTTATTAATGCGAACATCAAAGAGTCTGATGAAGACGCTGTATATCCATCAGGCCTCCTTGTACCATGGCCAGAAATTAAAACAGGAACAGAACTAGCCGAGATGAATTAGACACCAAAATCAACAGATTGAGTACAAGATTTAAGTACTTCTTGTACTCTTTCCACCGAGGATCGTCTCCCTAACGCGTCTCAGCTTGGTGTTCAAGGCCTAGGGGCGGAACACCTGAAAGCGGACGACTTACATCATGTAATTTCCTTGCCCGAATAGCCTCCGGTGCACAGAGCGTCCCATTGATGGGTTTGAATGGCATGAAATGTCAGCATACCGCGACGCACTACTCATGTATATGTCAATTTTGTTGATTGAAACCGATGGAAATTATACTGACGCTGTTCTGCTTTCCATGCTATCAGGACTGCATGCAAAACAGAGTTCGAGAAAAGAGACGCTGCCGTTCTAAGCAATCTGAAAGTCGGAGGAGTGGCGAATTTTGTGGCAGGAGACGTTGTGCGGGTAACGGCGATGATCAACCGAGAAGTGATCGTAATATGGAGACGTAGAGCTACCTTGGAAGAAAAAAAACCACGGATGAATGTTCAAGAAGCATCAGAAAGTGAGATGATTTACTTACACTCTGGATACTTAGTATTTCCGTGCACCTCGCGTATGTATACTGAAGGGCGCATGCGAGAATCCACACTGAATAGTGATTCTAGATCCTAGTTAGTGGGAGTCAGGGAAGAGAATATACGATACTACGACTCACCTTGATGTGCCTGAATTATTGCACGAGGATCCTTCTCTCACTTTGCTCCAAAGTGGATACGGTGCTAATGAAGAATGAGGGTCAGTGCCACTTAGTTTAATTCATATTGTTTAGGGAAACTCACCCTCGATTCACACTAGTACTCAAAATCATTTACTACGCACATTCATCTTTCGGACATGGCAGTCTAGTATTCTTATTATCTGACGGTCCTCGATTTGAGTTCAGCTTTGAAGGTGATCATGGAGAATAGGACACGTACTGCTGGGAACTGTCAAGACGCGGTGTTTGTCTGCCTTCCAGGTCCTCCTCAGGTCCCTAAGATAGAAGAGTGAGAAAATTGCGTACCATGTGTAATCAGGACTGACCTCCATGTCGACATCCTTGACCGAAGGTGCAAGGATGACTGCGGGGGCTCTTCCGATGGCGATGGAACGAAGGGCTCAGCAACAGTTCCTGGAGACTTAGCCTAGGCACATGGGTAACAGGTCTGACACCGAGCATTGCATCGCTTACCCTGACTGTGGGTGCTTCAGAAGCCGGCTGTGAAGACGTTGACGGTACCTCGCCCTCTTGCACACTAACAGGGAAAGTCGAGGGAGATGTAGGAGACTCTCCTTCTGCTTGTGAGATCGACGCTTCTGCTTCCTGAGTTGACGTGAGGACTTGCCAAAGAGCTAGAGTAGTAATAACACTTACCACTTCATGACCTACTATCGGTGTTCTGTCGCCATCGACATTGTGGGGTACACCATTGGCGACACTATTAACGGTTGTACCTGTATCACGAGTTGCTCCACTGACAACTTCTGCAGTGTTTTGCGGGGTCGCAGCATCATCAGGTGCCGTCTCCTCAACTCTGTCATCTGTTATCCTCCTCGCTACCATCTCGTCTCGTAGGACCCAAGGGAGGAGAGAATGCATCAATCTCTCAACATCATTGGGTATCACTGTCCCTCTCTCTCCTGCATTCTGGTTGAGGATTTTCCTAGCCTTCCCTCCCGCCATGAACATGACATGCGCCTGCATCGCAGGGGGGTATGCTTCATTTAGGACGGCTCAGGACGGGTTTGGTATAGCAGAATTGTTCGCGTATCGAGAGGTAGATAAAGTCAGAGGAAGAAGGCGGTGGAATAGAGGGGACAGGACTAGGTTCTCTATCGTGTGGTTGGCCCATCATGGAGTCATCGTCGTTATTATTAGGATCATTGTTAATTGCGGTGCTTTCGAATTCCCCGAGCTAGGAAATAATGAGACGCCAAAACATCTTCAAGCGCACCTTGCATGTGCCAAACTCTTCATCGCCCAGACACTTGAACCATGTCCTCAGAATTGTCTGCATCGCTCCATCGAGATATAAAACCTTGTACTTTCCCGCTTTTTGGTTTCTCGAAACGGGCGGGACATACTCCAAGACCTTGGCAGGCCAATACGACAGATGCGCGTCCGCTTTTCTCTCGCAAGCACCAGTTCACCTGGAATTTGGAGTTCCGGATCAGCACCGGGGTCCTCCCATAATTCCAGATCCTCTGCTTCATCGGTATCGGATATTGACAATCCTGTTTTTTTTTTTTCCTTTTGCTAGGAGAGACGGGGGCTGAGGCATGTGCACTGCGAACACTTAGTGCAAAGACAATGTCTGGTAGGTTGTCTTGTTGGTCTTCCTCCTCCTCTTTCGCCTGCAGCATTAAACGCAAGGCGTCGTGCCACCGTGACCTCATATCATCTCTATCCGTTTTCCGCTTCTTTGGGGTGATCCTTCCAGGACATCGATAGCTGAAGGAGGTGAGAACACGGGTTCGTTAAACCTGTTGCATCCCAAGGAGTCAAGGATAGTGCTCTATGGTAATTCGATTAAAACGCGGATTAAGGTTGCCGAAGGGTATCAGTGTGAGTTGATGTCCTATTAAGCGATGCTTCTATATACGGCATCAAAGTTTGTCTGTATATTGGCAAGTAGTGACTTGACATACCTTTGCTGGCCACCAGATATATTCCTTTTCATCTTCCTCCTGAAAGACGCTTCCTGCACTACTGACAAGAACCCATACATAATTTCCAAGGCCATCGAGAGACCATGGCATCTCGAACGAGGTGGAAAGCCTGCTCACTGACGACAAAGACCTTGTCGAGGCCGCCTTTGAACGGCTTGCCTTGTGAAACGACGTGGACCGCTTCACAGGTGTGGCAGGAACAGAGGATAGCGGATAGCGGAGACTCATCAGCATCCGACAGGTCAGAGAACGCGAACAAGTGTTTTTTCTTTGATGACGACGTAGATGAGTGGTGAGCATTTGAAGATTCCGGACCGGCCCCTCCCTGAGTCTGTATACGAGTCGATGTCGGTAGGCACAGTAGATTTTCCGCGACCTCTTCGACTTCCGCTGCCTCTTTCTCTTCCCCTTCCTCGTCCTGTACCTCCTCGCTGTCGCGACGGCCGTTCATATTCGTCCTCGGAGTTTACAGGAGAGTCGTCCAGTTGGCTAGAGAAACTCGAGCTAGCTTTCTTTGCAGCATTTCGTGTTGGAATAATCTTGTTCTTCAAAGGGGCTACCATCAGCATTCATCTTAACCTTGGGCGGTATGTGTACAACTCGCCACCATTTAACCCCCAGATATTCAGAGGCCCCGGTGGTGAGGAGAGCGTCGAGTACAGTGGGAAGCGAGGAGATATGAGGTCACAGCAAAGTCCGGGGATTCGTTGACTGTGTCGCTGGCAGCGGGATGAGAGCAGAAGAACTACAAAGGGAACTGCCGGCGGGTAAGCACACGTCGGGTCACAAAGTGACCGAGAAGACCTACTAGAGGTACAAAATGGAAGCCCACTCATTCCCCTCCTCTCTCTCCTCGTCTTCTTCTACCTCGCATCTCTTCTAGCACATCCTCGATGGGGCCCTCGCTGTTGCACCACCCTCCCCATGGTCGATGCGACGAATACCGTTACAATGGGATGGTATGGTTTTGGTCTCGTGACCACCATCACCTTCCTTTTTGTAATCTTGTTCATTGATTTACGACGACGACGACGTGGTGAGTTCGTTTCGTTTCGTTCCTCGTTGTTTGGATTTGTTCTGATGATCACAAGCAGACTCGCTACAACGGTAAGTTTTTGTATTGATCTCCGGTTTCCTTGCTGATGCCTTGCCTGTACTCTAGGTCAACGGTAAACTAGTGTATTCTCCTGCTGTATCGTGCTAAACCCTAGTACTTTCCTCAGCACTCAAGCTGCAATTTTATTTCAACAGAAACACGCTAGGTATACAACCCCAGCCACACTTTCTTTTTGCTAGCTAACATTCTGCCCCAAAGCGGTGTAGGATTCGTAAACGTTGTAAAGGATACCTACGATGGCGGGTAATTGTAACTTGAGTCATACATGACGGTACGCCGCCCTCGGTTTGTCGTGGTTGGACTAGCCGACGCGTCGTTTGGTATAGTAGGACCTAGGGTTCGTTCACAACGATTTTATTCCAACGGCGACACGCTAGGTACGCAGGCTTCGCCGTATTCTCTCGTTGCTCACTAACACTGCCGTTCGCGACGCAGGATTCGCAAACGTTGGAAAGTATACTGACGGCGGCGGCCTTCCGGTAGTTGGTTCATGCACCACGGTATGCGGCCCTTGTTTCATCGTAGTTTGACAAGCTGACGCGTTGTTTGGTCTTGCAGGACATCTGCAGACTCTGACTCTCTCGGAGCAGCTAATCGAATTGAAGGGCGCCTAGTCAAGGATGAAAGCCGTTACACCCCCTCGTCGTCGTAAAACCTTGGTGAGCTTTCATGTCTGTTGGTTACTAATTAGTCCGTGTTGACCGTTTAGTTAGCAGAACCTCAAATCCGGCTCCGCGTACGTATTCTGGGGTACGCTCGCCATTCTCCAAGCTGACGACCGTTTTAGTTGTATCACGGTTTCATCTACGAGGACGACCTCGGCAACGAAGTTGTGCAAGGTAGAAACTTTGTAGTACTTACTATTGTACATGTATGGACTAACGCTTCGCAAAGCTCTGTACAGCTTACGACGGTACCGCTTCGTCAACGAGTGTCGGGGGGGTTGTATTTGTTCTAATTAGTCAAGACTCATGAGGCTGAGAAGCGGCGATGCCAGAGGCAGGATAAAGAGAAGTGGAACCTCGACAACTGGACGGATTCCCAAGCAGTCGACCGTTTCCTCGTCCTGACGGATGAGTTCGAGACGACGAGGTACTCTAAATCGAAACCGCTGACGTCTTCAGGCATACCTTGGCCTGTGCTGACCAATCCTCGACGATTCAAGGTGACGGATCTTGACGATTGGCAGGCTGTGGATGGCTTCTTCAAATTTGCGAAGCGCTACCAGGAGGCGCATGTGTACAAGAAGATGGTGATGAGGGCAAGGCAGATGTTCCATCCTGACCGATGGAAGTCGAGGAGCTTGTTGAAGACTGATGGATGATTCAGATCGGTCTTCCCTTGAAGCAGCGGGTAACAAGGTATCTCAGGCAGTGAATGCTTTGTGAATTTTACCTTTTCTTTAGTCTTATCTTCGCCAATGCCCTGAAATGTATTTTCTATTCAATTTGTAGTATCACACAACTTATGCTGGCTACTTAATTTAACATCAAGCGTTGCAATAAGTTCGAACAACAGCTACTTCGAGCTGTCTGCGGCCTGCCTCAATCTCCAGCTTTTGACTAGCCAACTGCAAGTTATATCATTTTTATGTCAATGTTGAAACGTTGCTGACTTTTTGGAGTACTAGAAAAGTTTTTCTAGGACGTAGTACGTCACGTGACTACGTGGGGGAGGGGTTGTACAAGGGTTGTTCTTTTACGATGAACACCCTTTCCGGATACGAGGATGATAGCGATAGCGACGGCGAACCATTGTACCTATGATCGCGTTCTCCGACTCCAGAAGAAAATTTCAATGGTGCTGAAGGTGTAGATGACGTAGTTGAAGGCCAGAAGTATCTCCAGCATCACCAAAGTTGGAGGCCCTCCAGACGTTATCAGGCTGAATAAGAGACGAAGCATTCTCTGGATGTGGTCTGCTCAATCTTGGAAGAGACTCGGGATTTGCGGGCCATTGGTACACGAGATTCGCCTCTTTCGCAGACGTCGTCACGAGTAAAATGGCAAGCAATGTGTCCGCCATAATTTCAGAGCGTTATGCGATTGGATAGAATATAAAAATTCCAGTCTCCGTTGACTGTACTGTCGCAAATTCCGCTTGCAGAAAAGTTACATGGAAGGTGCAAAATATAGACAATGCGCCCTTTTCAGCTGGGAGAAACTTCAGGGAAGAGAAACACAAAGAAGTACGAATTATTTCTTACCGTAGAAGTGACCTCATGCACCGAGAGAGGATCCTACGACGCACAGAGGCCCTCAAGTGTCAGCGCATGTGGCGGTTGCAGAAATTGAAACACTGCCACCACCATCGGGCCGGTCGTCCGTCTCCCTCAGTGGAAGATTGAACACAGCCATCTATTTGTGCTTGGTTGGATTTTGCAGATGATGAATCGTCACTGTGGGTAGACCTTACTTCCAGCAATTGCAAGGTAAAGCAAGGTAACATACTGATGGAGAAACAAGGATGACGCGGACAATTATCTAACCGGATCGATCCGGGCCGACGCGCCGCTATATGGTTCGCTCCGGAGCGACGCCTGCTACTTCAGGTCATGAAAACAAGGTTTGAAGTCCATCGCCTGCATGTATGTAAATAATGTGCTGATTGCCAGTGCCAGTAATAAGACGACTACTACTGCGCGCACGATATGATACATACATTATCTGGACTGATTTTGGACTTGTATATTTATCGAAGCGAAAGTATTGAGGATTATGCGAATGAAAGTATGACTATACAAGTAGAGCTGTACTCAGTCAGGAATATAATATACTGTTTGGTGTTGTAGACGGGCATGTGCGAAAAAGACCGAGAGATGCCGTGATCGTGCGCTCACTGATTTCAGCTACGCCCGCCTGCCACTACAAGGTAAGTGTTCCAATGGATGAAGCCAGGAAATCGACACTCAGAAGCATATACAGGAGTGCCATGGACGATGAATTTGCGCAGTCAAGGTAAGAGTGAGCCAGCTTGGTGAGCAGGTGTTAAGAGTTTTCAGACAGGAAAATGCTGCAGAGCCGGAATCGACTGTCGTTGCGCTGCAAGGTGCGTGGTTTCCACGACCAGTGGAGGCTATTAATATATAGTGTGTTTGTAGTCGACGTATCGGACGTTGGAACGCGAACGCAAGGCTCGCGATCGGTTGTAACCTCTACAAAAGACGAAGTTGAGCGACTTCGAAGCGAGGAAGTGGATGTCGTTGAACGATGTCTGAACCTCGCTTTTAGAGACGATGGGGGGGCCATTTTTCCATGCAGGGAATATGGATCGCGAAGGCAAGCTGTTTATGGTCGTAGAGAGGTTGCGGGTGACAGACTGTTGGTGGAAGAAGGGGGCGCAGGGGACTTGAGTACTATGTTCTTGTCGGAGGACGTCATATCGGCACTATTCCGAGATCAAGACTGGCCTGCACTTCGGCAGGCCATATACGTCCCTAGAGTCGACCACACCACGATTTTACCTGAGGAGGAAGAAAGCGGCGGTGGGGATATCCAGGGCAAACGCGTGCGCCGCGCGCTAACGGAACGTGAACAAGAGCAAATGGGTTCACGACGCCAAGCCATTTACGTCGGATGTCTTGAGGAGCCGAGCGATGCCTTGCGAGGGTATCAGGAAGATCGGGAACCGGTTTCGAATCAAAGAGAAGCGGATGTCTTGAGGGATGGTAGCAGCGTACACGTAGGACCCCACGGAACGGACGAAGAGGTCGAATTGGATGGGGGCATCTATCAGAATGGTAAGTCTTTCAACTGCTCGTTGTACTGTCAATGAACTGTTGGGGGCAGAATACGATCCATCGGCAGTCCTGTATCTTAAAGCTGACTGTGATGAGGGTGGCAATGTTGAACTGATTTGAAAGAGGAACAGCCAAAAAAATATGTATAACAAACTTTGCAATCATATTGTTTTCTTGGGATTCTCGCTGATACACAAATAAGTCTAATCTGCGGGGAATATAAGTACATATATGGAAAAATTCAGAGAAAGGACTACCTTAATCAATTTCCGTCTAGGGTTGCAGATGAAAAACCCAGTGACGACCCTCTACCAACGCCGATTCCGACACCAGCGCTATGAGATCTCGGCAGACAATGCTATAATCTCTGATCAGCTTCTGCAACTGTAAGTTGGTCAAGGCAAGTGGACTGTGCGGCCTTTTGAGAATGTTGAATGCGCTGTCTTACGCCTTTCGCAATTCTCATCCCACGCCCACAAACTCCACTCCCATTCAACATTACTGGATGATCCCGCATGATCATAATTATGAGGTGCATGTACGTGCGATTTTGGTTGGTTCTGCAATAGGGAAGATATTCTCACGCGCGGAGACAGAGCGCGATGCGAGAGCAGAGAGCAGTTGAGCCTGCCTCTTCATCCCAGCAGCTAAAGACATAATCTATTTTCTCTTCTCTGTGAAGTGCGTCCTGGTGGCCCATGATGCAGAGAGCAGTGAGGCCCCAGTATATCGTGTTCATCCGGAGGTGCGCGTTAAGATGGTAGGCGAGATCATCCTTGCTCTTCAGCCAAAGTCAGAAGAGATATTTCGATAAGGTCAGATACTGACTTTGCCTAAATTCTGGATATAAGAAATGTGGAAGGGGACGAGCAGTTCAGCCGACATTGTGAGCAGGGGAGGCAAGTTCGGTCCGGGATGCCTCGCTCGCTCGCTAGCAACGATGTGAAGGGTAGGGAACCTTATGTCACGGCAGCTGTAAGTGCTAGAATGCTTTTACCAAGCGATTAGATATAAAAGATATGTACTGGGTTAGCGTATAATCCAAAGAGCTGTTCCATATGTGTGTCCGAGGTCGAAATCATGTTTGACATACCGACTCCGAGAACTAACACAACAGCATCTTGTACTTGGAACGGCGTTTTATAAGGAGCCCTGCAATCCTTCATCTCTCACTCCAAGTCGTCGACGTCCTCGTCTGATCCGATCCCCAGTGTTTGACACCTTGCGATGTTTGGTACTTCCTCTCTCCCAGGGCCCGTCACCCTTGATGCCGCAGGGCTCGTACCACTAGCCGATCTCTCTGCTATCGCCTTGAGGACAGCCCTAATGGGAAAAGCATCCTCCCTCGACATCCTAGTACTCGCAGCAGGAATGCACACCCAACAATCTGCCGACGACGTCAACCGCAGCAAGTTCCCCACGACTGGCTCGATGAACACCGGAAACATCTTCTGTATCGAAAACCCAGCCATGGTCAGATACTTGCAGTAATTGGTATCGGCGTCGTAAACAGTGACCAAATGAAGGATTTTCCGGCCGGGAGGACAACCTCCAGCAAATGGAGATTATGAGGACAGGAGCGAACAAGATTGTAAGGTATGAGAGATAGAAGTTACAGGAATTCCGTTCATAGTGATTGACATTCTGCTGGAGGTACGAGCGGGGAACGTCAAGGGCAGATGATGAAGATCTAGAGTCAGAATGATGATGGTGGGCTGCGTGGCTTCGGACCGTACAACCGAATTGCCGGCTATGGCACGCCCACGGGCCGCTAATGCCAGTCGGTCTGAGCGCCAGATCGAAGCGGGTCGTTACGCTAGACCTGTCCGCAGCATGTGGCTGTGTGCGGAGAACAGACCAAGTGCGAGGATAAGCTAAGTGTCGCTAGAGCGAAGGAAGGAAGTGAACCCGGATACTACTGTATCTAGGTGGTTTGTCTGAGACTTAGACTTCGCCAGGAAAGGTGAGAAGTGAGTCGGCCGAAAGTGAGAGTGGTGTGAGAATCTGGGCCGACTTGTGGGGGCCCCCGAGTTGGGATCCCATCGTGAAGTCTCAAGTCTGGAGCGCTCGGTGAAGCAGAGAGCGGAAGGACCGAATCCGGCAACACCAAACACTGAAGGGCGTAGGTGGGTGGGTCAATAAAACGAGTACGAGAGTCGAAATTGCAAGCGGATGAGCAGCGAGAGAGCCTTGATGACGCGTTGAATGGATTGGGAGGCGCGTATACTTTGGGGATTCAATCCCAGTGTTTACATATGTATCGATTGGCGGGCTAAGCCTTCTCTATATACGCTGCCTTAACTTATCCTCCGATAAGCCTGCAGCGAGGAACGAGCGGAGGGCTTATCTCGGAACATCGGAAACTCAAAGCATGCATACCCTGAGATGGTAATACCGTCGTCCCCGTGGAACCTATCACAAACTGAGTGCTTGACAACATGTACAGGGATTGTGACGGTACTAAAAAATCATGATCAATAGGTTTTGATGCCCTTTTCAGGCGCATTGATACAGGATATATGTACTACTGTGATTTCAACACTTTATCATCATGATCAACTATATATATGTTCGAACCCACTTCTCGATCTGGACTATGCTCCGCCGATTGGTCTGAACTCAGCGCTGAAGATGTCTGATCATGATCGGTTGCCGGAGGACTAGTGTACTCAAGGGCTAGGTCGGGTTCCTCAAAATCAAGCAAACCTGCTCCAATCCAGCGACGAAGAAGAGGATGGTCGTTTGCAATCCTCGTCAATACCGGAATCATATCAGCCTTTGGTCCGTCGCGCCGGATGGAAATTAGGCTACTCAATAAGTTCGAAATGAGTATCTCCATGCTTCTAACTTCAGAAGAAACGATCTGAGATAGGTCGAATACTACGGACTCGCAGTGTTGGATCTGTGCTACCTGAACAGCGACGGCTGAGAGGTGGGTGAGCTTGTGTCAGGATCTGAAACACTTTAAATTTCTTACCTTGTCTGCCACGGGAATCCTGAAATAGGATGTCAGCCAGTTGCTCTTGGTCACCAGGGCGGCAGTTCAATGATTCGCAGCGTCTGTCAAGGTCGCGGCAGCGGGTGCAAGAGTCCGAAGTACTAGTGCTAGTAAACTTGTTGCGGTCGCAAAACTTTCCCACACCAAATGCAAAACAAGAGTAACAGGTAGCTTGACGCTGAGGGAGAAGAACATGAGCCAACACGTCATAAATCACATGTACAAAAGACGAGTCTACAGACCGGACATCCCAGATCCATGATACGGGAAAGCAAGTTTGGGTCAAAGGAGGTTACGCTGGAAAATGATTCGTCATTCGCCTGTGGGAGTAGGATCGGCTTCGGATTTTGTGCGTCAAGACGAGGAACCTTCGATGATCGCTCATCGTCGTGAAATTGCTGAAACGATGCATCAGACGAAGGAAAATTGGCATGAAAATACAGATAGCTTACAGAAGGTCTCTTCAAAGTGAGCTGGTGATGTATGCTTTCTGGTGTCTGGACCTTGAATTGCCTAACTTTCCGATTGTTTTTGGCGGGCGTAGACTTCGAATCGAATTTGAACTGTGGGTCGCCTGCAGACTGCTTCCTTTCCTTCTCGAGTTTTTTTTTGGCTTCCAATTCTGCGGCGAGTCTATCGCGTTCCACCTTCTCACGAGCAGCTATGGCCTTGTCACGTTTCTCAACTGCGTTTTTGTATGCATCATTCAGTTTGAGCCACTCGGTCTTGTAGCTGAGGTACTGTGCCTCGCGACGTTTGTAACGATGCGTGCTATCAAATAGCTCTGTTTCTCCGATGGCCTAAAAAATGGGTTAGGGCATCATAAAATTGCAAAGGAGAACTACCTTTTCTGGGCCTAACGAGTCGTAGTCATCGGCTGCGGGAACCCAAATACTCCACTCCTTCATATTATGGTGGCGGAGAGGGAGCTGAGAAGCAAAATAATAGCATGTTTGGCGTAACAGGACGCCCATACGGTTGTCTCGCTGCTTCCTATTCTTGATTTCTTCTACATAGGCTACCTATAAGATGAGATTAATACGAAAGCATAAGAGGAATGCCCATAGTTATCTCACCAATAATGGATGGATTCGCTCCAAGATTGGGAGAATCTCTGAAGAAGTAGCACGTCCGCTAATGACAAGAAGAGGGCGAATGCTCTCCGAGATTTCGCGCGGAAGCTCGTATGGGTCGCCATATTGATCCTCAGTCAGCAATGGCGGGGGAGGAGGAGGAACGGGAGGAATGTGTAGCAGATCAGTTTCATTTACCGGCGGCGTTGTTGAAGTCTTGTCCATCTCTGTTAGAATGTTACATGTACAGATGATAGCGCCGGAACAGTGCGGAAAGCAGTATAGCTCAATAGAGAGGTAGGAGCTGTGGTACAAGCGGGGAAGGGTAGCAAAGGAAGAGTTGGAATCGTAGCGCGTATTTGTGAAGAAACTGCCAGGTATGTTCTCTTCCTGGAAAGGAAAAGAAGGCGGCAAATTTCCTAGGGGTCTGATGATGCACTGCCACAACAACATAAATAGAAGCCTCCACAGAATTTAGATGTTATTATGCGCCCAGGGGGTGTTTCAACCTATAGAAACAATGTTGGAACTCCTTGATTGACGCAGGCGCAAATATTATTATTGTGGCAGGATTTTCACTCGCAGAACATGGACTTTTGATATGTGTCACGGGTTATTCCTGTGCGACGCATTCCGCGCCAGTCGTCGATTCTTTCCTTGGTTTGTTTTCCTTGACATTCAGCAGGGAACAACAGGAAATATACGCTGGTACCGCTAATAGTTTCAAAAATCTGCATGAAACTCTCTTCGTCAAGTGGTCAGATGAGAACACCAAATTTAATATAGACCGTAACTCACTTGAACACGTCCACCGAATTTGGCCAGCCAACGCACGTGTCCGAGACATCTCCTTCGGCGATGAAGCCGTCTTCATCTTGATCAACCGTCGAATTCTTCATGGGCTACAGTGACACCAGCTTCAAGATCTAGAAACGCGGACTGTTTCGATTGAGCGCGTCATATTACAGCCATATAACAAAGCGACGTACCATTGATATTACGTGCGAGAGCGTGAAAAGGAGAAAATCTTGACTAGTATAAAAATTTGACGCGTGACGTGATTTACCACTGCAAGTTCGCGTTGGTTCAGACGCTTGTACCTTTACCAAGAAAGCGAAATTTATTCACGATACATACATGCAGGTACTACTGAATTCAAGAGCTTACGATGAGGCTAAGTAACGTCAATGGCTAGAAGGAAAGAGTAAAACTTTACATAATGTATTTTGCTATTTGGTAATGGACTGCATTTAAACAGCGCCGGGGAGACCCGCGAGCGCTTATTGATAATAATGATGACTCACATTGGGCGCTCACGGCTACGGAAATTCCCGGCGCCGTTTTAAACTCGTGCAGTTTTATTTTTGGCATGCATTACATAAGCTTTTTTCCCTTCGCTCAAGACCATTGCCTGGCGCGACAGCTATTACTACACTTCTTGGTCTTTCGTATTGCGCATCCTACGATGTGCGTCCTGTAGAATCCCACCATCATCTTGGGAATGGCTGAGATCCTCCTTCCCCTCCCCCTCCAGACCCTAATCGTCATCGTTGTCCTAGCAAACATTACAACTTTAAATTTGGTGCTTGTTCTGAGAGGGCGTACCTTGCAATAGCTACGCTGAATTGGGTTGTCTCCCTTCCACCTCGCACGTAAACTACTCGCCATTACCAGGGGATGGCATATCCTTGAATTATACTTCCCGCGCTGACCCAAAATAATTAGCAACTATAGATTTATTATCGCATAGTTGGCATCGGTGGCTAGCCGTTTCGCAAGCAGAGTTTGGAGCGAACATCGATGTGAAATCATTTGGACAACTACAACCACAGAACCCTAAGATATCATCCGTCGCCGTGCCTGATTTTCTGGCAGGTATCATTCATACGTAGATCTCAGATTTCTACATCCTTAGTCTCATAAAATTTATTTTACCTGACCGTCAGTCGCTTATATTAGTGGAGTCCGCGTGTAGACTATCATCGGAGACTACAACCAAGCCATAAGCGATGCAGTGATCGAGCAGTTCAAACGAGCCCTTCATCAACATCGTTCCCCGAAGATATTCACGTTCACTGTACCTTGAGAGCAGCGACCATGTGTCCATTGAATATGATCCAACCAGTCCAACCCTATTTCAGCAGTGATTAATCCCGATACGGATCAAGGGAAGCAGATGATACGGGGTGTAGAACAAACAGGTTTGCCAATCATTCGGGCTGCATTAGAAGGAATGAGGAACTGAAGCATTTCCTCCTTCTGTGAGGCTAATCGTCTGGGATATCCAGAATATTGCAGCGGGCCATTCACTAGGAGTACGATATCTATCTCACTACACTGAGCTAGATCTGGAAGAGCTTCAGGTCATGAATTTCCGCCTAATGCAGAGGCGCTGTAACCTTTTGCAGGCGCGAGCTCTGTTTCCGGTGTAGGGGTACAATCGTATACTCATATAGCTCCCAAACGTAAGGGATTCCATTTTCTTCGATCCAGGAAAGCCACTCGAATGACCGCATCATCTCGGAGGCGGATACAAGCTATAAAAGGGAACTTTCCCATTTTGGAAAGTTTTTTCGTATCACCCAGTGGCCAGTGCTCGCACAGAGGAATCATAACATCTATTGGGGACACGGAGGATGGATGACGATGTCATAGACGTCGTAGTCATAGATAACATGTAACTAAGCAGATCAAACATAAATGAGTCCATCCCAGCATAGATTGATGGATGCCTCGGTCGGCGGGATACAACGGAGAGCAAGAAATTAAAGAAAAATCGGTGAGAAAGCTAATTTCAAGAGATGAAAAAAGCAATGTTTTGAAGAGCGTCGGCAGTGAGAGCAGGATCCGGAGTTCCGCGCTCCTCTTTGATGGATACCAGTATTACTGCTGGCGCGCCGTGGAAAGAGCAAAGAACAGCGATGAAGACTTGGCCATGCAATGAAGACGAGGGACATGCTGCAGCGGTATTTGATCCAGGACGTTATTGCTGAGGGCGGTTTGATTACCGCCATCAGACGCGCCACTAGTACTACTACCAACGTAGGTTTGCTCGTTGAAATCTTCTTCGGACCCGACGGGTTCATGATCAGGAAAGATAGCTGAGCGAGACGGACTCGCGTCGTTCCTGTGTATTCTGATGCGACGTCCTCGTCCCTCCTCTCGCTTCTCCAGTTGGGTTTGCTCCCGTTCGTCCCGTTCTTCCGGTCGTCTCTGCTCTCGTTTTCGTTTGTAGGTTTTGGCCATCTTGAACGAAAAGAAATATAAGAAAACGGATGTGATGGTGCAGGTAGAGGTGTAGTTTACCGGGATCGGTGGGGTGAACGGATAGATACATTTTCCCGGTATATATGCTACACGAGAGCCACAGCATCAACGGAATCAATAAAACGGGCATTGTCTGCACAATAGCTCATTATTGAGAAGCCTTTGTGTTTCATCTCTAGCCAACACGACAATGTTCAAGAACGCGAAGCCTGATCTATCCTACCTTGCTGCTGATGGTGACTCGGACGATGTCTTTGTCGGGTTCTTTATGGCCGGATAGAAGCTTCGCTTCGGCGTCGGTGCTACTTTCAGGTAACAAGGCGAAAGGCTCAGATCTAGAATCTAGCCCAGGAACCGGAAGGGGCTAGGTCCGAAAGACGAGTGCCGGCGCGCGACGATGGCAAGCAGATCCAAATAGCGTTCCGAAAAAGGTGAGCATTGGCAGGTAAAAATCTGAATATATGTTGAGCGCTAGCACTGAGCCAGGAGATCACGGGCATCGAGGAGTAGAGAAAGGTTCTGAAGTAGCTTAAGCAGAGGGTATGCAGGTTGGACGAAGTCGTAGTACTGATCAGCCTAGCTTTACTACTAGCATATCCGAGTCCGCCTAGGATGCGATGTCAACGGAAGAGATACACAAAATTGCTTGGATCAATCAAGTCTAGCGACTACCACAAGTCGGCATTTCAGTGTGCCCTGCGTCTTGTAATACGCTGTTATGTCATCCTTGTTGAATGACTAGTTCATATATTGCCCACACTTTGGCCAAAATTATGGACAATGTGGAGCAGATGTGAGGCCTTAAGTTTGTGTCTTCACAGAATGAATACATGAAACTCCGCGAAAATATAGATTCGTCGAAAGCATCATCCGGCTTCCTATCTAAGACCTGACAGAAATGGACATTAAACGGAAGATCATTTCATAGTCATTCTAACACGCAGGGTAACGAGACTCAGTTGGTGCCTGATCTCTATGATAATACGTCTTACACGTTGAATAGAAATAATCTGTAGGCAGAAAGCGCCAGGCTTAAGTGACCAATTTCACAAGTCAGCAATCGTCGACCAACGACCCCACTTTATCGATATCCTAGTTTCCATTACCTTTGTCCTTAAGATGGAGCCCCACGGGTATGAATACAATTGCTTCTACCAAGAAACTTATTGGTCGTCACGCGAGTATCCCCCGAGGTTACCAAGTTTGTATGGGCTCGGGTATGCAGAGGAATGGCTCTGATATCTGAGAGACGTCGCCTAAGAGAGTTATCTGAATGCCATCGTGTACATGCTCTTAGAAAGGATGCTATCGGCTAATCTTCTAGTCTCTATGCTAGCTCTCGCCGTCGTTACTGAGTATTAGATTTTTTTCAGCTAGCAAGTATTCACTGAGTACGCTGAGTACGAGGTGCTGAGCCCAACTGAGCCTGCTCTTTGAAAAGTCAAACAGATGGTGCTGCTGAGAGAGAGACGCGTTCGCTACTTAGGATCGGAAACAATGTGTACTCGAATAATGTGTAGGCAAGGGCACCACGTTCAGTCGTAAATGTATTGTTCTTTTAGCGTGTAAACTGAATTCTGGTTGTTCAAAGGAATTCCCTAGTTGAAGGTACAAATTTGTGCACACAAACTGCTTTAAATTTCCCACGTAATTCAAGCTTTAAATTTTGCACTCCTAGGTCAATTCTCTCACCTCACCCTTTACAATCAACATGATTGCTCCCTCCAGCTTTCACGAATTCTCCCAAACCTATCTGCACCTCACAACTTCCAACTTCAGTCCCCTCGACTGTGAACACGAAGAGATCGACGTCATGCTCGGCGAAGCAGAAAAGACGATGAAGGACTTGAGAAGCCAACTGTCACTGGACGACGAGGAGATGGAACGGCTGATCGTAGCCTGGCAAGGTGATGACTGTTCGCAGGCGGCAGGAAAAAAGTATTCAGCATTGCACAAGGTGTATAACTTCATCAGACTCCATCGACCTGTCATGGCTACCATCCGGCGGGTGCCACCAGAGATCATTGGCGAGATTCTTCTTCACACTATATCATGGGACGACTGGAGATTCTACCCTCAGGTCCATAACACTCGCCTAGGGCCCTGGAGCTACAGTCATGTGTCCCGCCTGTGGCGCACCGTGGCGCTCTCTCTCAACCAGCTTTGGTCTGAGTTCAGCTTCAACGAGATTGATGCCGCTGCATGCTGTGCACCACCGGTTTCGACGTTGAAGCTGTGGTTGGACCGATCGGGAGATGCACCTTTACGGATTTTTGGTGTAGTCATGGGTAGCGCGACTATTCCACACTATGAGGCTATGGCTCGGCTGATTGTTTCTCAATGTCACCGTTGGGAGGTTTTTATGTGGGAAGAGGCTTCAGAAAAGCGCCCGCTTCAGCCCTCAGGCGACACCCGCGACATGACCATGGTGCAAGAAGACGCTCCTCTTTGCCTACAGGAAGTCCTTCCCGAGGAGATCTGGGATGGCGCAGAACAAGAGCTAACCCGGCCCCGACTGCGACGATTTCACACCAGCGGCACGGTGAAGAGCAATCCGTTCCGGCTTCTACGATCCGCTCTGAATCTTTCAGAACTTTCTCTGGTGCTAGCGTTGCGCATTCCTTCACAAATTCTCCCCCTCACTCCGATCATGCATACCGGGATACGATTGCTTGATGTCGTCTGGAACTCATTTCACATTATTGATCATTTGTCGTTACCACAACTAAAGACATTGGGCATCGCTCCTTTGAACTTTTCTAAGGTTGTTGCTTTCCTCCGTCGTTCGGGGTGCACACTTGAGACGTTGCGTATCCGAAATCCCCGTCCATTGGATGCGCGTTCGACTCAGATTCTGGACGCAACACCTCACTTGAAAAACCTTTCCCTGCGGTGGACCATGGAAACTGTTCCAGGAGCAAACAACTTCGATAATCACGTGTCTATTCTAGACAAACTTGTCGTTCAAGAAGATCAGCCCATCCTCCTTCCATCACTCGAATCCCTTTTGATCGAAATAGACGAAAGTTTCCGGCCACAGACTTTGGTACGCATGCTGAAGTTGCGGAATCGTCTTTCCACAAATACGAAAAATAAGTGCCAGTTGCTGAGGAACGTGGAAATAAGGAGGAGAGACGAGGACTTTTCGCTCGCAGGGGTGAAATCTTATATGTCGGCACACGGGAAAGAACTTTCAAACGTTCAGATATCTTACCTGTAAAATAGTATAGAGTCGGCTCAGCATACGGAGTGGATGTAGGTTTTGTGTGCATGTAATGTATCTTGAACAGTATGAAGGAGTGGAAATACGTCTCTTATATATGCTTCTTTTCCCTGACTCTCACTCTCACCCATACACTTCAACGCGTCCCGGATAATTCTATAACTGCCGAATGTCAAGATGTAAAGGCAATGTGACTTATGATGACGAAACCTTTCTCTACTCCTCGATGCCCGTGATCTCCTGGCTCAGTGCTAGCGCTCAACATATATTCAGATTTTTACCTGCCAATGCTCACCTTTTTCGGAACGCTATTTGGATCTGCTTGCCATCGTCGCGCGCCGGCACTCGTCTTTCGGACCTAGCCCCTTCCGGTTCCTGGGCTAGATTCTAGATCTGAGCCTTTCGCCTTGTTACCTGAAAGTAGCACCGACGCCGAAGCGAAGCTTCTATCCGGCCATAAAGAACCCGACAAAGACATCGTCCGAGTCACCATCAGCAGCAAGGTAGGATAGATCAGGCTTCGCGTTCTTGAACATTGTCGTGTTGGCTAGAGATGAAACACAAAGGCTTCTCAATAATGAGCTATTGTGCAGACAATGCCCGTTTTATTGATTCCGTTGATGCTGTGGCTCTCGTGTAGCATATATACCGGGAAAATGTATCTATCCGTTCACCCCACCGATCCCGGTAAACTACACCTCTACCTGCACCATCACATCCGTTTTCTTATATTTCTTTTCGTTCAAGATGGCCAAAACCTACAAACGAAAACGAGAGCAGAGACGACCGGAAGAACGGGACGAACGGGAGCAAACCCAACTGGAGAAGCGAGAGGAGGGACGAGGACGTCGCATCAGAATGCACAGGAACGACGCGAGTCCGTCTCGCTCAGCTATCTTTCCTGATCATGAACCCGTCGGGTCCGAAGAAGATTTCAACGAGCAAACCTACGTTGGTAGTAGTACTAGTGGCGCGTCTGATGGCGGTAATCAAACCGCCCTCAGCAATAACGTCCTGGATCAAATACCGCTGCAGCATGTCCCTCGTCTTCATTGCATGGCCAAGTCTTCATCGCTGTTCTTTGCTCTTTCCACGGCGCGCCAGCAGTAATACTGGTATCCATCAAAGAGGAGCGCGGAACTCCGGATCCTGCTCTCACTGCCGACGCTCTTCAAAACATTGCTTTTTTCATCTCTTGAAATTAGCTTTCTCACCGATTTTTCTTTAATTTCTTGCTCTCCGTTGTATCCCGCCGACCGAGGCATCCATCAATCTATGCCGGGATGGACTCATTTATGTTTGATCTGCTTAGTTACATGTTATCTATGACTACGACGTCTATGACATCGTCATCCATCCTCTGTGTCCCCAATAGATGTTATGATTCCTCTGTGCGAGCACTGGCCACTGGGTGATACGAAAAAACTTTCTAAAATGGGAAAGTTCCCTTTTATAGCTTGTATCCGCCTCCGAGATGTCGATCTCAGGGCTGACGCGGTCATTCGAGTGGCTTTCCTAGATCGAAGAAAATGGAATCCCTTACATTGTAAAAATGTCAATAAGAGAAATGCGGATTGAGCAACATTCCCTGTCCAGACGTGCCGCATGGCTTGAAATCGTCATTCGCAACTTGCCGGTAAGCCTAAGAAACGATTTGAGTTAGTGTAGTGTGGCCGGCTCAAGTTACTATCGATCACAAATATGTAAATGAAAGCCTTGCGAACATCAATTTATGAATAATATAAAACGATCATTTCACCAGCTTGCCAATTTTTTCTCGGTCTAGCAGTCAAGCAAATGTAGCCGGTGGAGTTGTCAAAATTAGCGGGGAAGTGTTAAGTGTGCTGCCGGCACCGGCTTTGCTGATGGGAGACCAAGCCTGAATACGGCAGTGTTCAGCGAAACTGTCTGAGTTTGAAACCCAGTCACAAGCTCTTGTTCTTCGAATCTTTCGAGCGTCCGTTCACCTAGGGTTTATTTTACATACATATCATATACTTGTTCGGAAAGTTTTGCTTGGGTAGATGACTGCTGTATTTCCGGCAGGATAAAAGAACTGGTTTTGTCAAGGCTAAACTCAGCTATACGACGTTCTAAGATAAATCGCTATATCTTTTCTGGTTGTGCTAGAAGCAAACGACTACACAGTCTTTAAGATAGCATATTAAACTATGCAGAATCAAAACAATAAATGTCCCCGTGAAGAATTGCGACATGGAAAATGAAAAGCACTAAAATTCACCCTTCTGGTCGATCGATACAGGCCTTGTCATAACACAGACAAGCCTCCAGCGTGAAGTAATAGACTATCTTATACACAACTAATTTGTACAGATATCGTTACGTCGTTTCAACAACTAATGAAGCCACTTCCTTTCCCTTTCCCTTTCCCTTCTTTCTAGGCCTCCTAGCTCCGTGTCGATCGCCTAAAAGCTCTTTGGGCTTGGAGACGGGCAAAAATCTTGGATCTCCAACATACTTCTGCGTGACAGAAGATTTATTCTGGAATTTATGTAGAAGGGAAGATTTATATCCTGCTTGAATGACTCGTATTTTGGGTTTGTCTCCCAGGTTCCATGTCTCCTGGATACTACCGCAGAAAACTCGTTTGGTGGAGGCTACATGAGTAGACAATGGTACCCCTAGGACGGAAAGAGAGTTCGCGTCCAGAACAGAGGGGGGGGATGCCTCTGCCTCCAATAGTATATCCTGCAAGCTCCCGTTAAAGGGTACGGGTACGTCGGACGGTAACAGAGTAGAGTTGAAAATAGGTCCGGGGATAGGTGTCTCGGTGGAAAGGAAGGCGGCCATTTGCGAAGACTGGTTAGGATAGAAATATAGAACCTCCCAGGTCATGTCCATGTCTTCCCGAAAATTGAGAGCATAGCGTTGGACCATACAAGGAGCGCAGCTTGGCGCATAATATTCCTTTGCAGCACCCCACGACATCACCTCTCCATATGACTTGGAGTCATGTAGAATCTTTTCCACCGAACTAGGGAGAATAGATCCATCAAGATAGTTTCGCAACTTGTAGCGCCATATCGTAACCAGCTGAACCCCTCCACCTTCATCATGAATAGCGAAGTCGCAAGCCCAGGTGAAGAAGCGGATTTCACGAGGCGTAATAGGGTGGGGCTTCCATCCTGGAAATTCTACCACCTGGGCTTTAGAATCGGCAGGGATCTGAGGAATTGAGGATATGGTCTCTGTCGCCACCCACTGAATTGCCGTGAAGTGGGTACTGTATGCATTCAACGCAACGATGTCTCGCTCCATGGAGGGTTCAGACTCCGCTGGGATATTCCGATTACGGTGGTATGTGAATACACCGGAGCTGAGGTAATCCAAGCGAGTCCAGCGGGGCCATAGATCCGTCCCTTCTGGGAAGAGACAGAAGACGCCGACATCATCCCTAACCCATTTTTCGATATTCATGTGTAGTTCATCCTTCAAAGGGAATACAACCACACCCAACTTCCTGCAAGACATCAACTTGTTGGTCGTTATGAAGGTCCATCCACTCTCAGGGATGCAAGAATGGCTTCCTTCTTCAAACGTTGAGATCCACCATATTATAAACCCACAGAGGTCAAGAAACACGTCCCGACACAGGTGTATGATGCGCAGGGGGAGTTCCGGAGAGTCATGTTCCAAGTACAGGACAGAAAGCGGGTCGAAGGAGTTCGGTACAATCATATTGGGAGGGAAGTGTCCGCAAGTCGAAATGCTACGCACGACAAGTCTGGCTTCAAGCATGTCGGACCGGACGAGATCCGCCCAGCTAGTCACCAAGCCGTAAGACACACCATCCGCTCGAGTCGTCCTCGTGAGCTCTGGAACGCATCGATCTTTAAAGTCAAAGGCCCAATGGCCCGTATCATCCTCTGCGGGACGATATACACGATAGCGATGGGTAGAGTCGAAGAATGCCGGTGTTGCAAATCGTGCAGATTCCATTGATAATCGCTTTATGTCTGGGATAGGTGTATTGAAAGGTTCTGTACTGGGCGAGTCTGTGAAGGCATAGAATTCGTGAATAAAGGTGTCGGAGAATCTTCTGTTAGGAGTCACTATGAAATGGCGAATGTCATCGAATTCTATGCCTGCATTTCGGTACATGCAAGGTCGACTATAGCCATTGGAGTCAGTGAAGTAATACTTCATGTCATCTCTGTAAACTGTGTTCAGGATAATCGTTGCCAGAAGTACTTGAAAGAGAAACCTTCTGTCCTCGAGAAGGTACGTCAAAGAGAGAGAAACAACTCAATGAGCCCTCACGCAAAACGAGGCTGCCATATGGGCGAAACGGTTGATACGAATGCGGCTTGTCTTCTGTGGCGCAGACTTTCCAGCCTGAGCTTGTGCTTATGGAGCAATCTTCAGATAATCTCCTATCAGGATCCCAGCACCAATGAAGAGGATGGAGAGGATATGCTTCTGCCAGATCAATTGATCGTCAAACCTTTAATTACGGTAGGACATCTTTAAATATAACAAAATTCGTCCACAGGATTTGCGGAGTTCAAGGTTACCCCGAACGGACATTGAATTCACGTACATGCAAACCTCTTCGCTTCCGGTATAGCCACTTATCAGTCCATCATACTCTTGTATATCGCGTTTGTACTCGGTAATATATTTTGCAGAAGACGACCTCTCATAGAACATGGTGATATGTTACACTGATTCAGCGAGTGATAAGAAGTCCCCTTAAAAATCCTATCAAAGTGAACAAGGAAGGTCCTGTCCGACTCTCGTTCTTAGTTTACAGTCCGAGGAAGCCTGCCAAGCATTTAAATTTGGCAATGATATCTTATTTGATAACCTTCCCGTGCAAACCTCGAGTCCTAACGATCAATTTATATCCCGGGCTTGTTTTTCACCGATTCTGATCCAGACTTTCGAACAAAAATTAAGTCGGGCACCTTTACGTCCTGATCCCCATCATAGAATTCCACCTTAGTGTTACACAGTCCATAGAGCCGATCAGTAGAATAGCATTACAACGAGCAGCGGTATAGACGTACATAGCTGTAGAGTACTATACCCCCATGTCTTCGCCCACCACGAGGCGTGTTGCGGGTCACCAATCCAGATCTTTCATCATCATCATCCTGATCCCCATCATCACCATTTATTGAGACACGAAACTGGCGATGTATCGTGTTGTGCTGTACTGATATGTGGCTAGTCTACCCATACTAGTACACCCCAATACCTGAGCCAATGACAGCTAAACGTTTAGCAAATGGTAGATCAGAAGCACATGTGAGAGGGTACAAAATTAGGATATAGTACCTGGAGGGGTGCAGTTTGCTGTAGCCGAATCATCGGGACTGTCGCTAAACATGGGGACGACACGGGCAGAATGTCCAGCGCCTAACGAAATACAAGCAGATACCAGATTGGTCAGCCGTCAACCCAATAAAAAGGCATCATCACATATATTTTAGGACCAGGAAAGCCCCCAATATTTCCTGAAGTGCCGTAACATTACTAGCATAGGCTCGCGTCAGTCAACTTTGGATCGGCGTCCAATGCAGAGTAAAACGAAGTAGCCCATATTTTGGTGTCTACTCGATTGGTTGTATGAAGGAAGATCCGTGTGTTTTCGATACGGAAAGTCAGACATGTACAGGAAAATAACTCATCATAACGGTTCCACGCCGGGTACCCGGGGGGGGGGGGGGGGGGGGGGGTTCCAAGTTTGAAGTTTCAGCAGCGTATCCAGCTCTCCGATCTTCTTGTCCTGGTGACCAATGGAATGAACATCCTCGAAGAACACCTAAATTGTTCATTGCAACTAGGATTTAATCTCCAGCATCCCAAGTCTCGACTCTGACTAAATCCGCCCGTTACACCCAACACTTTATCTTCGGCTAGACCTTCCTCCGAAGGTAGGAGTTTCTTAACGCGTCTATTTGAATCGTAAAGATTTGGCACTGAACCTCCGTTGCAGTATGTCCCATTCATTTCGCATGAATACTATTATGCCCATACCCATTGTCAACCGCATTCCTCTCGAAATAATTTCCTCTATTTTTCGTTTGGCTTATGCCCAGAGGAATACGGCCATATGCGACAATGAAATCTACCCAGGCCCGGTACAAACCACGCTATCGTTGGTATGTCGGAAGTGGAGGGTTGTCATCAATTCTTGTCATTTCCTCTGGGAAGACATCAGCCTACGGTACCAAATAACACCAGAGTCCCGCCCATATGATCCCAAAACCTGCCTTTTCTCATTATTCCTCTCGAAATCATTGGAATGGGGCCGCCCATTCACGATCAGCCTTGCGTTCCGTGTCGAGGTACCCATAACTACCAGCTCAGGACGCTTGTCTGCTATCATCAACGACCGAGCCCATACCATAGGGAACATGCTGAAACTTCAAGCAGCGTGGCTGAAAGGGTTCTCCCTAACGACCAGGCCGTGGGAGGTACATTCTGCCTTTTTGCGGGCACTGGAAGGCACGAACTTTCCGATATTGGAGAGTTGGAAATCTAGCTTCGATGGTGCAGATGCAGAAATCGTTCCTGACATGGCGGGACCAGAAGATCGGATCGATATCTTTCGAAACATGCACTTCCCGTCCCTTCAGCACCTGTACCTAGAAGGAGCACTGTGTCGCTGGAGTCACTTTCAACTAAATCACCTCACCTCTCTCAGTATCACTCAAATGTCTGACCCATTTAGGCTGCACCCTCGACGCCTCGAGCATATTCTCCAGCAAAATGGAGGTTCGCTACAGACACTATCCCTCCAAGGCTCTTTGTATCCGGATCCACAAACGTATGCTCAGGAGCTCTTTGACGATGACTTTCCAAAATTTTCACTACCCCGTGTCGAGGAATTGACTCTTGGTTTCTTAACGCCCCAAGAAATCACTCATTTCATGGCGCGCATTGCCATTTCTCAGCTCCGAGAGCTCATTATCAATAACTTGAAAAGCTCTATACCTAGGGCTCGCATGCTACTGGCCCTACTTAGTGCCATAGTGGCGGAATTTCCATCACTTGCCGCGTTGCAGAGGGTGACCCTGCGACGTTTGCGGGCAGGGAGCGGAGATGTAACCCTCACTCCTCAACAATGCAAGGATCTATTACAGGCCTTGGAGCAAGAAGCCGAAGATGATGACCAGGTAGATGATGTCGGAGAGAATGCTGATGCGGATGCGGACGAGGATTCAGAGGCTGAAACACAGGGACAAGCATGGGGATGGGATGACGATATAGAACTTGACAACGAGTTCGAGTGGGACACAGATTTTGATGTCTAGACGGAAATTTAGTGGAGTTAAATTCTGATAGACCAGTCAGTATATATATGAATTGTCCTTGGAGTCGGGTTTCGTGCCGTTGCCCTTGTAATATCATATTTGAAGATGGTATGCATGTGTGAGTTATAGAATATCTAATCGTATGGTAAGCCCGGCTTCTCATAAGCGAAATGGTACGCAAGGAAGGAAGTGAGCTTAATTATCCAACAGCGTTATTAGGCGAAAGGGCACTAGTGTCTGTACTACGAGCTCTGACGTATTCCTTCTACATGAATTGACCCCAGATGCGTGGGGGACTGTTTTCTGTTCACAGTGACTGTTACTACTTGGATAATATTAATAGACACGAACGGTTACTTGCCATGGCATTGATAACTTTCTAAATTGTAACACGACGGATTCCCCCTAGGCCGTTTTCAGATATATCATGACCAGAATGGCCAAAGTTTACTCAAAAGGGCCCGCCGTGGAGCGCATCCAAAAGACTGAGTTTGAGTTCTTCATTACCATCCCTAGGGCTTTCGGAGACGCTTGGATGGGTCCTTGCCCTCTTCAGGAGGCTGCTCCATCCATATTCGCCCACGGTTGTAGCATATAAGTCGGCAAAGAGGTTAGAGGTGGTCGACGAATCAGGCGCGACGAAGCCGCCTTCGTCTTCGTTTTTCAGAGGAGTGACGTGGAATTCTTCCAGGATCTAGAAAAGCGGGCTGTTTCGGGTGAGCGTCACATTAACCTTGATAACAAAGCGACGTACCTTGCGAAAGCGTAGACACCTAACTTCAAGTTGAAGAGCTGACACGCCGCATTTTCGACGCTGGCGAATTTTCAAGTACACCAAAGCTGAATTTATTCGCGGTACATGTATGTACGTACTACTGAATTCAAAAGCTTACGATCAGCAACGCAGGCACTAAGAAATGCCAGATGGCTAGAAGGAAAGAGGAAAAATCTTACATAACGTCTTTCGCTATTTGGTAACGGACTGCATTCAAACAGCGCCGGGGAGACCCGCGAGCGCTTATTGATAATAATGCTGACTCACATTGGGCGCTTATGGCTACGGAAATTCCCGGCGCTGTTTTAAACTCGTGCGTTATCAAACTTTTGGAGCCCATTATGTAAGCTCTTTTCGCCAACATCATTAATTACTGAAGTTTTCGAAGTCGTCGCTTCGCGCAGTCCATAGGTAACAAATGTACGCCTTTATGAATTGAACTGAAGTAAATGGTAAGCAGTGCGATAAGTACTCCTACTAGAGAGGCTTTGAAAGCAACGATTTTGGACGCCCTCAACTTCGTGTCAGTTTCAGACGTCACTACCGTTATCGAACGACGACAAGCCGATGGAACTGCCAAAATCAGATGATGACGCGCCATACGAAGAGCAGTCCAACGTCATTGCTTCGCCGAGGAAAAGGAAACTAAGGTATGCGGTGTTCTTATGGTTTAAAACTTTATATTACTTACTCGGGCTATCGTAGCGCAACCAATGATTTTCGCAACGCTGAGAACAGGTCCGAGCTAGGGAGTGGAGCTCCCGCTTCTGACTCATCCAAATGGCAAAAAGGCATCGAAGGGATCCCTTTGCAGATGTCAGACAAAAATCACCCGGCTTCACCTCCTTGGATTCGAATCCGATCTCCATCCATTGAGGTCATCAGTAATCCGTTGTCACCACTTTCTTCGGATACAGCTCCTTTGATCGACAACTATGCGCCTTCTGTTGATCATGATGTTCAAAGTGGCGTGGAAATGCCCTCCCGTCGTGTAACCGATTTCGGTGTCAATGCACCTGGTGTATACAGCGATGCGCCAACTGTATCCTGGCGTAGAATCCGCATCCCCCGTGACCCTTCTCCACCCCCGGCCCGCGTCGTACTCCCATACATTCCTGAGGGGTCCGAAAATTTACTTCAGCGTGTGGGTCCTCGTTTTCCTTTCCTATAGTTTCATTCACTTATATACCTGCAGCACGCCAACGAGGTCTACATGCATGCCTCATGCCACCCCATTCTGGAAGACAGCAACGAGCACATTGTCTTTATGCGCCCACCTTTCCCAGATGATATTGAACTGATCGACACCATTCTGGACCATCTGGCACACAATCGGGGTGTCAAACTAGAAGGATTTCGCGACCCCGATATAATCGAGGCTTTGATGGCAGATCACATGGCGACTAGATGGAATGTTCAGCCTGCACGACTGGTAGAGGTTCATGGTTTGTAGTTCTGGATATATGCCGTATCCTCCTGTGCCAAATTGGTGATATAGATACTTTCCGAGGCATGAAGACCCCCGGTAAACCGTTTAAGAGAATGCTGCACTCGGAATTTATTGATGGTCTTGTCGATCCAACACGTAACGAAAAGATTCTTGACGTTCCCATGTCGCATCGAGGAGCTCCCCCTCCTTTCGGGTTCGTACTCTGCCTTTCCAACCGCATTCTAATAGTACTGCTTCTGACAATCTGATAGTCTTATGGATGACGGCAATGACGCCTGGAATAATACCTCGGCACAATACGACTGGCCACATGGACTATCACGAGAACAATGGTCCGACTTGAACTGGGGTCTTCTTCATCACGCCCTCACTTGGACCGATGAACACCATGAGGCAGATGGTAAGATTGCACTCATAGCCGCTGAACAAGGCTGCAAACTTTGGGTTGCGATATTCCCTTCACTAGCCTTCCGTCGCAACCAGGTGGGTAAGTTTTTCGATGAAGCCCTCAATATCAGTGGCCCCAACGAGTGGAAAAAGATGTCTGTGGGATTTACTTTAGCTTTGCTACCGGGAGATTGCTAGTATGCCGCTTTCTGAGATTCTAGAACTGCATTGATCATATTGAAACACTCCACAGTTTCCAGCCTGCTGGTGCTGTCCACGCTGTATATACCCTGGAGCCTAGCTTCACCCGAGGATCGTCATTTTGGTCATTAGCCTGTATGCATCACGTCGAGGTTTCTTGCTTGTATGATGCCGAAGGAGGAATTTGGTCGACCAATCTTGACCATGATCCTGAGCGCGTGTATGAAGGACTAGTTCGGATGATGTTGTACCTACCGACGCATCCCGATAAGCGTATGTACCGATTTCCTGACATCTTATCTGTGCATCTGATGAGTTCCACAGTCCGCTATAAACGCAGCCTAGTATCCTTCTTGCTTATGATCTTGGATCCCGTGCCGTATGTACCAACACATCGCAGAGCATACGGTTTTCCTCTGGGCAAGGATAAAGCCGCCGAGAAATATTCGCTTAAGCTTCATGAGCAGGCTTTGTCCCGTGCACTCAGGAGAGTTTCTCAGTGCAAGTGGGCTCTCCTGGCTCAGGATTATGCTAAAAGAGTTGCTGCATTCATTGGTTTACCTGGCGTGGATGATCTGAAACGATTCCTGGGAACAGGCGCAGCCTTCTCCGAACCAGGTGAAAAGATCTCCATTTCCGAAGTTTTGAATGAGATATTGCAAGATGAGAAGAAGATCCGGGAACAAGAAGAAGAAAAAGAGCGGCTCGAGGAGGCTGAGGTCGAAGAACATCCGCCCATACAAGTAAAGACACCGCAGCGAGGACGTAAGGGGGGAAGGAAATAGAATCATGATAGCTGGTTGAAGGTCCACATGCATGTTTTCCCGTTTGTTGTTGTCGTTATATGACATAGGGGAAATGTATTAAACTAGATAAGCATCAGGTACCTACGTGGCGAGTAGGAGGAAGAAGCTCAAAAATTCAAAACTGAAAAGCAGTGCAAATTTTGTACTGTAATAAGGCACATGACTTTGTCGTTGAAGACGGTTGAGCGTCACTAGCTTTTTTCGTAGTTGCACATTTGATATCAATTCGCTTGGACAGCTTATCTCTAGATCCAGCTCACGTTGGCCTGGTGGGCGGGACTTCGACCGCAAAACGTCATCGGAACAGCATGTGACCTGCCTTTTGCAAGGGTGCGTGTGGTTATAGTTCCTAAAGCCCCTGAAAAGTTCGCCCAAGTACGTACAGTTCGGCAACTACGTACGGTTGAACTGCCTGATTTGACGCGAGGAAATGCCTGGTACATGACTGAAGGTTACCAAAAAGTCGTGCGAGACAGAAATATGTCATGACCCAGTGATTTATTCGCAATATCTGTATAGAAAAAACTGGAATTAGGACAATGAAATATTTGACCCCGTCAAAATACGCGTCTGATCAACTACAAAAATGGTGTGACCAGTTGATCATCTACTAGTAAGAACCGCACATCTTTCATGGCCAGGGGGCCGGTCCCTATCGCAAGCCCTAGTTGGCACTGCCGTAGAATGCGTAGTCTCGCTTAAGAGGCCGGTACGGGGAGCACGCTATGTGACTTATCTAGGTTAACATTTATCTTGTTCGTACGGCGACAGCCTACCTATGACAGGCTGAGGATGATGAATCTGAAGCTGGTGGCTGCTCGGACCTTCCATGAAGAGTAAGTGTTGGCCCGAGAAATAAAGTAGAGCATGTACCCGCTAAAGCTGAAGGAGGCTCTTGGGACCTTTGGGCACAATCCGGTTCCTCCGTAGTTGCATGCACATCTGAGCAGGAACCCGGTACATTGATGTTTGTAGCTAGAACCGCGACTGTCAATGGCGGTTCCCCCTTCTGTGTCTTGGGCCTCGCAGGCCGTTTCCTCTGTGTCTTCGATTCTTTGTTACGCCGCGACATCGTTCCGAACAATTCTATGTCGATGATACCTTCAGTTCTGGGACGCTTAGAGGGTCTTTCAATACCTAAAAAGCCTTCTAGTGAGCACTAGAATTTCATGCTCAGTGAACATAATCACCTCTAACGGGCGATATAGAAGGATCGCCCAGCATCTCAGGGATTGGCGTCGCAGGGAAGTTAGCCGTAATCTGCTGGGCATATGTATTGCTGTCTGTAGGCGGAGGCGTAGTCAAAACGGGATCTAGAATCGTCCGGTCATGAGTAATACAGAGGTATAGAGCTTTCCCAACAGACCTAGGCCGTCACGGCGATATGGAGAATTGAAGATCGGTGTTGGAAACCTTAAAACACAGATTAGCATTGAAAACAAAGTCAAGGAATACGAACGAACCCGACACCGACGGACATATCATACGGTGGGATTGTACCCGGGGAGATGTTGGCGAAAACCTCGTCGAGTTTGGTAGATAGTCGACCTATGATCTTATGCCCTTGGCGTATTGTATCGACGTCCCAGCCCCCCTGAGGCTCCAGCATCTTGAATATATGTTCAGCAGTCGCTTCTGCTTCAGCGTCAAGATCTGGCACAAGTTCAACAAGAGACATCGAAGGCGGCTTCTTTCAGATTCACTACGGTGACAAATATCCAGCAACTTGTATATGTACAAAACATACTTAGTTGCTGAGTTCCTTTTTTTGGGGGAGGGGGTCATTCAAAACCTCTGGTCTTCAATACACGAAGCATCCATGAGGCGTCGACACATTAATTTGTGACCCGGTGAAGGAGGGCAATTGATCGAGCGCAGAAGGAGTTCCAGCCAAGTTCCAGTGTAAGCCGTCGTCGTCTGCGGTTAGGACCTCAATGGAGCTAGAACTAGAGACCATAGTCCTGGTAAAGACTAGGCAGATTAGATCAAATGCAACACGTCTCCCGAAGACACGAGGTGAAGTGCAGATTTGAATTGATCCAAACACCCAGAGAACTTGTTACGTGCGGTTGATTATACCTAATAATATCCTGATGCATCACGTACGACACGGCTCGCTTCCATGAGGTTGGGTGAATAAACTTCAAAATATACATCCGACTTAAATTTTCTTAGTAGCCGGTGCTCCTGAACGGAAAGGTAACGATACGTACATGTGCTCATCAAGTCTTCTTTGATGCTGGTTCATTAAGCTTCTAGTAGATCATCAACTCCTGATTCCGACATTTAGTCCGGTGTGGCGAAACACACCCCGAAGTTCGGGGTTCCACCACCGCCACGCTTCGTTTCAACATAAGTTCTTGGGCAATTGGCGGAAAGCAGGGCTCGGGAGAAGAAGCAGAACAACGATTCACAAGAGAAATATAAGCACTCCAAAATACAATGAGATTTCATGATTCTAGGTTCCATGGGTAGTTATGATATCAAGAGAAAGATCAGTAAGGCAGGCTGAGTTCGGGTATTGATGAATGACGGATTGCGGGTGGCAGTGTTTCTTTCTTGCTGAAATCACTCGGGGATATGTACAGGAGAGTACGTTACCGTACTCAGGTGCTTTGCTGAATCGGGGAAGTTTCGTCATACATTTCTGTCAGAATTCATCTACTGGAAAACAGGGTAGGGAGAATTCTGTTCCTCGTTTCCGTTGTGGTGCCTATAGGACTTGACTGGATGATCGTTTCAATGGCACCTCGGCCCCGATTCCGATATGGCTATATTATTACTACATTTAGAAGGAAGACCGAGGAGTCCGGGAAGCAATTTTGAGCAAGTTTTGGGTGCAGATCATCGCACTAGTGCCCACGCTCTCCATGGCCAAACAGCCTAGTGCCAGACTACTGTCAGGATTTGTGTTACACTGCTCATTATTTAGCCAAGTTTCTTTTGTTCCTATGAACTTCCTATTAGTTTCTTTGAAAAGTCGAAAATGTCGGTATGACAGTGTGGGACACCCTTGTGTGTTTGCCTTCAACGGTTTCCTGTCCCCCCCTTATCCAGCAATGCTTTCTCTCCATATTAGTTGGTATATGAACACATCTTCATTGTGTATGGGGTAGTTTTCGACATTCTGAACCGCTTAAGCGAAGTATTAATGCCAAACAAAGGCCAGTAATGCCGGAAATTCACGACATATCTTTGAGCCATGATTCAGCTAAATGATGGTCTTGAGGCAGCTCGTTGGCATCTGTGAGCTACAAGTTCGGATGTTAAACAAAAGTGCACCTTTTACAAGTGGTCTTACCTTATCCAGTGGATACACCAACGTGTACCAGTTGTCCAATATATTCATGCCTTCCAGTCTAGCAAAATGCGATTTGATCTGTTCGTCTTCAATGATAAAAGGCTCTCCGTAAGTGTCTTGTTGACACAGAAATCCCATCCCAAATGAGAAGTACGGATCGCTCGGAAGAAGCTGGCTGTTGGCCAGCTTCAAAGGCGCTATTTGAAGTAATGTCCGACTCACAGAGCCATGCTCCAAGAGCGGGATGACATATGTTACCGTATAGATATCCTTTATTTCTCCGGCGCGAATTTGTTTCTCCTGACGAAAAACTATATCGGCATCTGCGGGAGAACGATCGCGGGTTTCATATTTCACGCCGTTATGGTAGATTCCCGTCAAGACACGGGCGATCGAGACCACTTTAAGACGATTATATCTAGCCGTGAGCCACAGTTGGACTTGGTCCCATGACAGCGACGAGGGTGCAAGCGGCACTAGTTTCCTGGGAGTATCGTTGTTTAAATGGGTGTCAGGACTTTGTAGGCTGCCCCTCAATGTTCCTCGGCTATCTTCACCTACGTTTGTCCTGTGCCGTTTGAGCATTCTGGACACGAAATTCGTCACAGTTGCATCATGACTGACCAAGGCGGCCACGTTTGAGATGCGACAGAGAGAACGCAGGAATGTCATCTCGAGTTCCCCTATGTTCTGAAGTATCATTTCTTTCCTGTCCAATGATAAAGAGTCTTACGTACCAAACTTGCTGTTTGTGTTCTGCTGTTGCATAGTATGATTTAAGCGCTCGAAAGCTAAGGTTCTATAGGCATGTACCGGGCCAAATACTCGTAGGAACTCCCCGGCATGAAGCGCCATATGATGGATAGGCTTGACGGCAACGTCCTTATAGAGTGTTTTCATTACGCCCACGTATCGTTTCGCGAAGAAATTGTAGCGTTGAATGTGCATGTGCGAAGTTACTCGTAGGTTGAGGATAGAAACCGCTTTTACCATATCCAAGAAATTGGTGAGCATACGGGAGAAACGAAGAGATTCAGGCGAACTTGGTGTTCCCCATATGCGAATGAGGGTGATGACCAGGTGCACAGTACATATCACCTTCCACTGGTCGGCTGTGAGCTTGCCACGGGAAGGAGTACCCCAGTCCTTGGGCGCACGAGATACCCACAAAGGTAGACGAGTTTTTTTCATGTCTTCGTAAACCGCCTCCATGATGGACCTTCCTAAGACATGCCTTTGGTTCTTCCCTGAGGCAAAATTTTTCTCAACTGCCGCCAAATTGTTGCGATGCTACACAGGATATGAGTAAAACCACACTACGGTGGAGCTGGTACCTACCCAATGAATCAACAGAGCTGCGAGTTCTTCCTTTTTCCCGTACTCAGGAAGACCTAATTCATCACACAGAGCAATAAGATAGATTTTCTTGTAGGCAACCAATGCTCTGAACTTTGACCGGCCTTCAAAAAACTTTTGATGATACCGTCGGTAGGTTTCATCGTCAAACTCGTGGACTTCCTTGAGCGCCTTGAGCTGGTCCCGATCCATCATTTGGGAACTGGTATCAGATGAAGTGAAAGAAGCGCGAGAAGCATCGCTTTCTGTTCCTGAGTCAGAGGTCTCTCCTTCGGCATCTGTTATGTCTTCCGTTCCTATTCCCAGATACCTAGCGCTTTCACCCTGTATCGGAGGTAAAAAAATCTGATTGGCTGGTGTTTTCGATCTCTAAACGAGGGGGAAGATTTAGACCTAGGTTTGGTAACATCGAGGCAAACGCACCCATTCCACAACTATTGATATAAGGGATTGTCGGGGAGCGTTGGAGACATGCCTGAGGCCGTTGTCGTTGCAGATATGCCACAGAACGTTCTTGTAGCAATTCCTTTGGCTGAGAGCCGACTTTAGCTGGTCCGGATCCTCTGTGCGACGTATAACTTCCAGCCAATGACGCATAACTGAATTAGCAGGTCGATGTATCGGATTCTTTAGTCTCAACGCGGTCCCGTCCCCACCTTCAATCTCAACATTTATACCCCAAACAGTGCGGCAATGATGCTGAAATAGTCCCAGGTATCCAGTGTGTGGAGCATCCACTACGGTATACAACGAAGGGTTCCAGTAGGGAAGGTCCAGAAGTTCAGACCATCTGATTCCATTTTTTTCAAAAACAGACTGCCGCTCGGCAGAAGTGTCCGCATCTCTCCAGCATTGTGCATGATGTCGGTGTTCGAATACATCCCGTCTAGGCCACCTATCAATATCTATGTTTTCGATTTCTTGGATGGCAAGAAGACATGCCGTGCAGAAGAAAGTGGATGTAGCAGACGAAAATCCGGAGACTTGGCGGGCTGCAAGCATATCGCAAATGACAGGTACTAGCGCCGCTCGATATATCCTTCCCTGTGGATACATGCTTGTTCGACTGTAGAATATTCCAGGATACCAGAAGCTCTTCATTTCCTGAACTACCAGTTTCAGGGAGCGATTCACTTCATCTAAAGATGGCTTGCCTGGACCTGGTATTACTCCTGCCACGTACAGATTCTCTGGACGATACCGCAGGTGCGGAGGGAGGTTAAACAGGACCAGATATATTGCAGTCGATGAAGCACTTTGTTTGGCCTCTTTCATATGAAACGGATTGAATCCATCCATTCCCAAGCCAAACATCAAGCGCCCAGGCAAGGACATGAACGGAGGCAGTCTTTTATCCCAGTCTCCGAAGCAGGTCCAAATTGGGGCATCCCAGATGTCCCGTAACAACGGACTTCTGTGTTGTAGAAGATGACTATCCAGGAGCTGCTCCATATCTGGCCGACTCAAAAGCCGGCCAAACCACTCCTTCAAACTTTGATGGAGATATTTTCTGCGCGGCACGCAATAGGTTTTACTCCTAATGACCTGCTCCCTCCATAAAGTATCCCCACATTCCTCTTCATCTGGGGTTCCTCGATACGTGCAGTGCTGCTGTGGGTGCTGATCGGGATATAAGGCATAACATGATGGGCAAGAAATGTAAGCAGTTGTCCGCGGTTCTACATCGTACTTTCGGATGATAGTCGATGGGTCCTCCGGAATAAGGGCAACCAATCCTGCTGTTGTAGGGATAGTTGCAATGACGTCACGCATACCGGCTAGAAGTACTTTGGTGGGACGCCGCGCAACTCGATACAGAACATGCAAGGTCAATACCGTGATAAATATGGCAACTAGGGTTGGATCATTGGGATGGTGTTGTCTGAGGTATAATTCTAACAGATTGTCAGTAGGGGGCTCGAAATAAATACCATAAAGTAGACATACCAGTGTTCACCACATAGCCTTCTTTACATCCAGCACCACGTTGGCGATTCCATTCCAGCTGCCGGTATTGGACTACCCGATCCAGAGCTTGAAGTACTTCTTCCTCTATTTCTTCAACAACGGCCTTCTGCTTGGTATTTTGCGTCGGGCCTTGGGGGAGGCTCTGAACTATCCTAATGGTCTCGTTCAACCATGTTTCGAGTTCCAGGTATCGCCAATTAAGAGATTTTGTGGGATCTAGGGCGGCTGGTACCTCATGCTCGTCGTTATCCGGAGCATGTACAAAAATCAAGGATCCGCTCAAACAGAAGTCGAGGGTGGATAATCTACAGTGGAGCTCTGCTCTTAGTAGTTCTACCTCTATGTCCATGGGTGACACCCCATGCTGAATTTGTGAGATGAAGGGTATACCTCGAGCGGCTGCTCCGGATCCCGAGTCTGAGATATCCGTTACGTATGGTGACTGGGTTTCTAGGCGTGCTATTCAACGAAGGTTGATTTATAATTGGGAACAACATACGAGTAGTAGGTTGGTCCATAAAGCGAGATGATGCTTCTGACAGAAGGGCGGTCTGTCTGTGTCTGAACGCAGTACTAGCCGGAATAACGCGATCCTCTGGATCTTCAGACGCCAGACAAAAAGGGCAGTCGCAAGCCTGATACGACATAATCGCTGTGTCTGGTGAAAGGCGTGAAACTTGAGGCAATGCACCGTCTATGAACTTGATGATAAATCTAGGAAGCCCTCTGCTAAGGCGTGTGTTCTCCTTATTTCATAGATCATGTACATGTCTAGATTATACCAGCACGGGGACATGTTTGTAAACCTAAATTTCGAGCACAACTGTAACGTTTTAGGATCATCATTTGGGGTCAACGAACTCACGTTTTAGAGGGTCTAAAATTCATGCCGCCCGCCAGAGATAGAATCTGTATAGTGTGAATGGAAGAGAATGATGTGCGTGCTTCCAAAATTATGTAACATGCGACTTAATTACTTGGTATACTGGGGCAGGGCAGGGCGTACTGCGTCATATGTAATCTATGGGCGAGTTCGTGCCTTGTATAGCAGTATGGATATCCTAGATTTACGATATGGATTGATACCATATTTGCCGTTCCCTTTCAGGGGAGAGTCAGTTGCGCTGTGGATGATCAGGTCTTGACTGGAGATTAAGAGCGGGGTGTTGAGTGTGCGGATTCGGCAGGATCCGTGCGAGCTTCATAGTAGCTACGCAGGGTGTGCTAGCCGTTCTAAAAGACGTACTATTCCATCCTTCTATCACAAGGCGGGAGAAGCATCTGCTAACGGCCCACCCCTCACATTCACAAGAGGAAAGGAGCACGTGTCTAGAACTACGGTCATGGTTAGGTCTTAGGCTGAAGTAGTTAGATGGACTTGGGGGGCGATTGCGTTGCGGTCCTTGCAATTCCGGGATCGCACCGCTTTGACTCGGAATAGGTGGCAGTCGAGCCTAGGAATACCAACTAGAAGCACCAGATCTATTTCTCATGATCCTCGTCAGGTGGTACCCTTATCATTCGATTACGCAGCGCCAGACACTGCGAGCTTCCTTTCCTTTTATTACGAGGCAGCGGCATCTGAGTAAGAGCCTTTTAATGACGATTCTGAGGTCTCATTTAGAGTGCGTAAATCGTAAGAATAAGCGGAATCGAGTATAACCATCAAAACCATTCTGCCTGACAGCGTGCTAACACCAGTTCCTGATAAAGGAAGTCATTCTCCGCGGGGAGGAGGCAGTGGTTACCTCACACATCTCCGCCGTGATCGTTGGTATCTATAAAGTTGGCTCGCCAGGCTATTGATTGAGGTAAAGTGTGCCTCCAGGATGTGCAACATCACGGATATTTCCTCCTACCGTAAGCCGAAGCAACGTTAGATCGACATCCATGACAAAGTCCAGCTTCGAGGAAGCGCCGTAAAGTCTGTACAAGAACTTGTGCGATTTCAGTGACATTCCGACGCGTATGTTGGCATCTGTGTCTGACAATTAGATCCGCACTAGAGCGAATTTGCCAATAGCTTGGCGCCCGTGGGCCATTGGCTTGGTTGCGTGCCAGTTGCGCGAATAAGCGCGAATTTCCAAAACGGTATTTCAATTATGTAACGATGATCTTATGGTGTTCCTTATCGGGACCGCATAACCTAACTTCTAAGTATAGGTACGGGAATAAGGCGGCCTCACATGGCACTACTGAAAGTCGTTGGGATTTCGGGATTTCTAGGTAACGAGCCCGACGATCAAACTTTTATTTAACAAAACTACAAAGCGTTGAACATACTTCCAAACGCGGAATGATGATTGCCTCACTTCCAGACTTTGAACTTGAATTCCAAAGGGGGGAATTATTTTTACGTTGTTATCTAGCTCAAATTACCGGTAGAAGATTTACAGAAGTCCCTACAATAGGTATGTAGGTAAGATTACATGGCACGAACCATCGGGGAACATAATAGAAGGAATGCTAAGTCACACCGGAAAGATGAGAATTTGAGAATATACGCACCAGGGTGGGATTGATCTTGGGGGAGATTTTACATGACATTCGTTTTCTCCCGAAATTTATCTCTGGCCGCCGTTATGGGATTTGGATCCTCCAAAATCCTAAACTAAGGTCCCAACAATTGCGCTCAAAATGTTCATCTTCCGGTGTGAGTATGCCCGAGTGTACATCGTGGAGAAGAGCTATTCAAAACCCCAGAACCTGTACGTGAGGCTAGGTAAGCCAAGGGACTTCACCTCATCTGAGATCACTGAGATCTAGATGCTTCATCGATGATCGATTATTGCCCAATCTATTTCTGTATTTTCGCCTCCGAAATGCCGGTCACTAACTAGAGAGATGTTAGTACATGGAAACTACTTATTCTGCACAATTATTAATTAATTGATGTAGATAGCTCCTCCCCACAAATATCAAGAAAGAAAAAGGATTTAAGGCTTTGAAGACATTGGTTCATCCTGGGCTTCAATCTTCCCAAGTTGAACTAGGTGGTCAATTTGTGCGGATTCGGACATCCAGTCGGGTGTGGCAAATCCTCCTCTAAGAGCTAATCTCCGATTTGAGTGCTTTTTTGAGGGGTGCTGGACCGGCGCTGATCTCTCATCTGCCTCGACCCAGCCTTCGCTTCCACCATGGTAGATAAAGATTTGGTAACCGTCTGCTTGAGTGACATGGTGAAGATAAACGTCGCCCACCAGAGGGCTGTCATGAAACGAGCAGGCATCAGCGTTCTCAACGAAACCACTGAAACTACTGTGATAGACTCCGAAGGTATCGGACGTTCCTCCTCCGCCGAGCTTTGTTTCAGTTCGTTTGAGCGGAAGGCTGGGGGCAGAAGACAGCGAGTAGGATCTGTCTGGCTTCCACAAGTACGAGCGGGCTTGGCTGTCTAGAGTTGCCTCGTGCCAAGGAGTGAAGTATCTACAGATCATGTCAGAGCTGAAGATCCGCGAACCTCAATGCTGAACACCACTGACGAACTTCCTGCAGCTGTGGTGTCTTGAGAAACATTCTCCGTCACAAATCTAGAAATATAGTACATGAGCAGTGACTTCTTGGAGGATCAACTGATACTGACTGTCGATGCTGCCGACCGCTTGAGACTGATTCAAAAAATCCGTCTGAGACTGCAGACGGGGCAGATGACACCGACGTAGGAGAAATTTTTGTAAAAGACTCGGCTGGCTGGGGTAAGGTGGCCAGAGGAACGGGCGTCGAGCTTGTGTTGATAAACTAAGAGTTAGTTGAACGTTTTGGACCACAAAGCCTACAAAGACCAACCTTTGATGACGATCTCGTGCCGCCATGATGGGTGACGAAGGATATCTTGGCTTTGAACTGGCGCGACTCATCAGAATGAAGCGTTACGAAGGATGAAGTCGAAGTGTATTTATGAAAGAGCCTGGGACGGTTTCCGAAGGGCGCCCGCAACCTCTCGGCACTTGATTGTCAACACTATAGACGAAGTCCGGCCCTCTTCCCGCAATCGTCCTTTTTTGCTTACCTTCTTACTAGGGACTCATTCGCGCGACATTCGGGTGGTAAATGTGGTAAAAGGAGATATCTGCTTGTGTAACTGTGTTTCGACGTCGGCATCAGTAAAGAAGCTGGAAATGATGGCACCTGTACCATGTCACAACTGGGTGGCAACTTGCAAGTATCAAAATCTGGGCACCTCTCTAATAAGGAAATGACTTGTAATTTGATGTTTGAAATCCTTAGTGCTTCGATGCTTCGTTCTTTGGCTTAAAGCTGCGCCCTACACCAGTCAAGCTAAACTACGGTATGCCTCCAGCGGAACCAGGGACACCGCTTGGCATCCGACATTGTATCTGTGGGCGTGTAGAGGCAAAATCTTCGTTCCTCGAAAAGTGCCTTGCAGGACAGCCGTTGAATAGCAAGGGTGAATTTCTGTTTAGCACGACATTAATATTCTCCTTCCTGTTCCCTTCAAAATCATATAATATGGATGAATATCGGCGAAAATGAAAATTTTAGATGGTCAGAAAGTTTGACTCGCCATGTGAGGGCTCCACTAGTACTGACTGAGCTGGTACATTAACTGTTTGTGTAATAATGTGCGTGATGATTGTCACCTTTTCCCCATCGTTCTTTGCAACGCTCCAACGGTCAATAAAAGCTCCTTGATAAACAACCATTGCCAACAGTAAAACTAGAATTGCGCCTAGCTTCCAAGGTGTTACCACCGCAGGCCAATGGCTATCAGGTCGAGTTTCCGTATATGGCCTGGCCCATATAGACACAGTATTACGATGAGCGGCAGCTAACCAGCCTCGATTGGTTGCTAACTTGGGATTAACACCATCTAGCTATGTTTAGTTGTCGATTATATTCGCATCATTCCACAACACACCTGGCTCTGACCGCAGAAAGTGCAGCCTCCATGATCCATCTTGGAGCATAGCAACGACTACGTCGGAGTCCGGAGTTGCATAAACAACCTCGGGGACATGAGATTCAGTCCATACGACATCGCATGGACGATTCGCTTGTGGAGATGCCTCGGGATAAGGGAGACATACGCGATCCGTTGGATTGTAACACCGTTCTTGAGGTTGCTGCATGCCACCAACTCGCTACGACGGAAGTCTTGAGCAGCTCGTCCACTGGTACATGAGTTTGAGAATCGCGGTCTCTTTTGCATCTGCGGGACTCACATTCGGTGACCCACAAATAAAGATCTTATCCACTGAGAGCTACTCAATGTGAAACAGCTGGGGAAATGAAGCTAACGTCTCCGTAATATTTTAAATGAGAAGAGAATTGCACGCACTGTATGTCCGCATCATTATATGCCACCATTACTTCATTTTCTGATGGTCCTCGTAAAACATTGACAGGTACAAGAATCTCTGGCAACTCCAGGTGCTCCGGTAGATTCATGACATGGTCTGAAACCCATTGGTGTGCTTTTGAAAGAATTAGCTGTCCATAAGCTGGTCTGCGATATATCCACTGAACGCACCGCGCAACCTGGTGAAATTATAAAGAAATGCCTGCCCTTGGCTTTCAGATGTATCTGTGGAGTGTTCGAAGGCTACAGCTAGCGCACGCCCAGGTGGGGAAAAGTATGATAGAGATATAACGGGCCCACGACATGTAGTATCAAATGCGAACGTCCACGAGATTGCCTATATATTCCGATGAGTCTGGAAAGCCCGTCTTGCGGGATTTTGCCTACCTGTGGTTCACTCAGAGACACTGTACCAGATAATACACGTCCCGTAGATAGCCCACAAAAGAGAAGATCGGAACTGCCATCTAAGTGGGGAATGGTCGTTGCAAACGTAACAAATCCCTCAGGGACTGCAGAGTAAATGGGTACACCTTCGTCGTCACCTATATCGCGGACAAAAAAGATGTCACCATTTTTCCAAAATACGGCTAAAGATTCTTTGCCATATGTGCATAGGGCGGAAATGATGTTCCCCTGAGTAACCCTTCGCAGTGTGTAGAACCACGAATATTTGAGAGTTTGGCACAGTATAAAGGTCGGAGGGTAGGTTTGGTCATTCGGTAAAGGATCCACTGCTTTGGTGATAGCCATAGATCAGACTGAACGACGGGTGCAGAAAGGAAGCACCAAGGCTTTCTAGGAGTTGCGAAAGATTATACGGACCGGGAGGTCACTACATGACTTAATCAACTCGTCCACAAAAATGTACATTGAATGCTGAGATGATCGAAGTTCATAAACGAAGCGTTAACGAAAGATGTTCCTTCCAGCAAACACGTTATGTTCCAGGTGACATAATCTGACCATAATCCGGATCTGAGATCTCTACTCATTGCGTAATCAATCAACTATTCGTCCTCAGGTCTTTTCTTAATTGGTCTGGTCAATAAAACAACCTTCCTTCTTTCCTTCCTTCCCAATCGAACTATGACTCACCTCACAGCCCCTATATGGAGGAGGAGGAGCTGATCACTGTCCCAAAGAAACTAACCAGAGTCCGTACTACACAGATCGAGATTCAATGTCCACCATGACAGCACTGACATTCAGGCATCAATTCCGCACCTCGAATTCCAATTGCTAGCATGGTCATGTTTACGACAAAAGAATCTTCTAAACGTCTGCACTCATCGAATGGGCTGCTGAGTTGTATATTCAGCAGCGTCACGCGCAGTAATAGAATCTCTAACTTGCGTCGAGTACCCAGGGCTCAGACTCAATTCTATCTGCGCCGCTGACTTTCACAGTTTATACTCGGGATGATCGTGTTTGGCCTTGTCTAAGTAGGCAGAGTCTTGCCAAATCCTGCTTCACATGTAGAACGTACTTAAGGGTTAAAATTTTGTCCATACCGCATACTTGTCTCCGTCAGGCCAGACTGACGAGTACAGGTTTCTGTCCATCTTCGACTTCTATATGGGCCGTTCCGCGAAGACTTACACTGTGAGCCTTGCCAAAGTTACAATTTGCTTTACTCACATACCTCAAGGACAGAAAAACTGTCACTTTACTCTACACTTTTTCTGGTATAAACGGTCCTAGGAGGGTACGTGCCCCTTCACAGATACCAAAACGGGAATCCATATGTAATCGGAGAACCATCAATTCTAAAGCCACGTTTGATGAGACAAAGCTCTCTGCGTGTATGCGCTCCAGTCAATCTCTCCTTCCGCAATTGCTTTCATTCAGTATCGACGGATACGAGTTCGCTGTCACAGGTTATTGTGAAAACACGGCACCTTCTAATGTCTTTCTCCGCGATCTCTGTCGCTCCATGTGTGGCGTAGACCTTGATTGGAAGGGAGAAATTTCTGTTGCAGTCATTGGCATTAGAGGCCTGTACATAGTCCCCCGTCCTTCCATTCGCCCCCTTGCAGACCGAGCCGCGCTGAGGTACGTCAATTGTGGCCATAGATCACATTACTATCTCATGACGGATCTACCAGGTACATGATTACTCGCATGGAGAGTAAGCTGGACTAGTTTGGACCGGGTCCCGCTGATAAATGTGATAGACCTTGATATTTACCCTACGGGGCATCGTCTCGTAATACCTCACGTAATCGTTAGTTCAATAATCGATTCATGGGGACCATACTATCGATCGCCTAGAAGTGTAAATCGACCTGTAGCACTTTGTTCAATTTTTCATCGTTCCGCCTCTTTGATATCCGAGACGCGAAAGAGAGGGCATGTGAGACCGAAACTTTGTATAACTAAATACCTCTTCTGCGCCGGATGAGCTCTGCCCCATCCTTACACTATCACCCCAAACTCGAACTTCCCCGTCGTTCATGGACCTAGTCAAAATTGTAGATGAACACCCGGACACAGAGCTTTATCCGTGTCCGTTTGAACTGGCTAGGGAGCTCAATGTCCAGTACTACCTTGGTACTGAGTCTTCCCATGATGATGACATTATTTCCAGTGTTTATGCCCTGCCGGGATCTTCTGCTGCTGTCATTGCGTGGAAAAACGGGGACGTCTTCTATCATCCAGACCTTCTCTCGGGCGATCCGCCATCTCGACACCGACCGTCGGAAGGCTTTGTAACCGCCTTTGCAACGGTTCTACACGACACACCTTCCCGGATTTTATGTGGTCTCTCTACTGGAAGAGTAGCTGTTTTGGATGTCAAAAATACGGTACTTGGATCTGGATATTACTTGTTCATTACTAAGTATTTATTCAGAAAAACTTCCCTGTTGTCATTGATACGATGTACCGCGGCCCTGTGATATCTATGATCTACACTGCTCCGCACAATCGTGTCATTGTAGCAGTGTTTGAGGGTTCTTCTGAGAGCCCGTTCGTTCAAGGGCGAGCCCATTTAGTAGTATTTGATCATCCATCGACTTGTAGGCGCTTCCGGTTCCGTCACATTCAAGTTGCCACCTGACGCTTGACTAGTTAGATGGGTTCCTTCTAAACCATTGGTTATTCCGGCGTTCGCCAGTGCGCTAGAAGAAAAGCTTCTTCCGGTCAACCTCCATCAATGCAGTAGAGACTCTGTTCTAGTGTCGTACAATAGTAGCGACGTACAGTAAGCCTTCATGCAGCGACGTCTCGGCTTTGGGTCAATATTCTCTAGTATCTTTAGCATCAGCACCTCGTCATGGGTTCGAAAGATTGTGGTTGGTCATCATATGTAGGCATCCATCCCATTCAATCATGAACTAATTAATTTCAGATTTAAACAGAGGAAGATCTTCATTGTCCAATGACAGTTGATTTTTGGCATGTTCTAACCTCACGGATAGCGTCAGTGTCATTGACCTGGACAACCCCGATCATTTGAGAGTTTTGTTTCCTTTCCCTAAAGTATCAGGTCAAGTCGCTAGGCCTTGCTCAGTTCTGTGGTTCAGCAATCAACAGCTACTTTTTTCGACTCCAGACTCGGATATTGTTGTGGTGTGTGTCAAAGGCGGTGCCTGGCACTTGCATATCCTTCGTTCTGTATCAGGTGAATACCCAAAGGATTGGGAGCTCCTTTCCTCATCCTCTCTTGTCTTTCAGAGGGATTTAATCCACGACTATCGGGTTCTTGCAATTTCATCGTCTCCGGGCACCGTCACTCAATTAAGGTATGGACGCCATCATCGCGACCAGAAGGTGCAGAATACTCCGAAGAAGTAGATGTTATAGAAACCCTCCAGGTAGCTAGCTATCTATCTTCACCCCTAAATCGTAATGTGAGTATGCAACAGCTATAGTATGAATATTTACAAGAATTTTTCATCTGAAGGTCACAACATTAATGTTTCTGATCTTGATATTTTTCGGGGTCATATTTCAAATTCTATCCTCATCTTCATACGATGGGGAAACGGAGTTGTTGGACTTATATCTCGAACACGAATCTCCTACTTTCTAGGATTAGTACTATGTACATCCCGCGTCAGTACGGAAGTGCCGGTATCGGTGGGAGCGTAGACGAAGGCAGAGTCGGACCGGATTACGTGACGGTTTAGGGCAGGTAGTCGTAGTTTTTCCCGTGTCGTAGTTAACACACCAACCGAAGTAGTACTGCCGGTAAAGCCCGAAGGGCTTATAACTTCCTCGTGGACTCCTTATGATCACGCGGCCGATACGTTCAACCGGACACGATATAGGGATATATCGAAATCATCACTACCTTCTAATCAACCTCATGTGTAAATGCCCTGTGTGGCAAAGAGTGATGACTGAAAAATAACTCGCAGCGCAGTAGCACTGACGTCAGTTTGGTCAATATGGAAGGTATCTGGCATGCATTCCTAGTCCGAAATAGTTTGCCAAGCTGAATAAGTTTCATCGGATACATTTCCATCTCCCAGGAATCTGTTTTTGGCAGGTAGAATTCTGTTTTAGACTTGACGGTAAACTGTATACGGCACCTTCTCCAGTGTTGCTGCACTCACTATACCGGTTCTAACCCGCGTCCCCTTCATGGGGAAATTCCTCGCTCCTTAATTATCCCAATTCTGGATAGCTCATAGAAGCGAGATGCGCCTCGTCCGCTGTGCAGTGTGATTATTCGGGACGGAAGTATTGGGACTGTTAACAAGGCATCTCCTCCTGCCTATTGTTCATTCCATGCCGACATATTTCATCTCAAGCCTAGGTGACGGCAGGGTATTATGGGGAAAGAAGATATCGTACCCAGGATGATGGCAGCATGCCCGGGAAAAACAATAGGACTTTTAATATCGAGATTCGGCCGGCCCGAGTAGAACCGCACACTCGATTTGACGAATCCTATGTTGACGATGGAGGGGCAGCTGGTACATAAAACAGTAAGTTTATGACAAACGTACTGCAAAAGCCATTGTCGACATGACCCTCAATCATCCCGGAAACGCCATCGAGCTGTATATCCGCAACCCTGGCGGAACAGAAAACGGTACCGATACGGATGGCACGGGACCTGTGGTCGTTAGTCAACGCTCAACTGTTTATGATGTTGACTTTACTTCTTGACCACTTTAGGCTAGTCAAAGCGACGACAGCTTGAGCGCAGTACGAGAGCGCAGAGGTTCTGGGCAGGCCATTGAACTCACTGTTGTGCTCAACGAGCACAGAAATTCCGAGGACCTTGGGATAAACGTTGTCAATGGAAATGGAATATTTACGGTAAACAGATAACCGAAGCCAATACGACAGTACTAACTATAGACTTAGACATCTCAGACGTTATCTATCACGATATTAATTGCGGCGATGCTGGTCTTAGCTTACGTAGACACGCAGGAGACCGGCTTCTATGGCTGGTCAGTGTTCCGATCTTGGTGGGACCTGTTACGGGTAGTCGGAAGAGCTGTGTTAGCTTGAACCCAAATTTAGGCCTAGATACGCGGCAAACGCCGAAAATCCCAAGTAATAATCCGCCTTCAACTTCTCGTCTTAAGTATGCATCGCTACGGTATTTACTTGAACATTCTCCTCCATTCCCTATGGTCATATACACGTATGATGAAACTGTCTACGCAGTCAGCGTAACCCGAGACGTTGCGCCTATGGATAGTACTTCCCAGGTAGTAAGTCAATTTAACACCAACTCAACGTACAGCCTATCATAGAGATTTGGATATTCACAGACATTGTTCAAGTTTGGGAGAGAGGACTCTCCCGTTGGTTTACCTTCCTTGGGTGCTTCGTGAGTCCCACGTTCCCGTGATACAGGACGCCATTATCATGGTTACTATTAGGGAAAGACATTCCGGACGTGTCACATTCATAGACCTTGACAGAGAGGAAGCTGTCACCGATGCTACTGAGAAAGTCGCACCGTCGTTAAACGCCCACGAGAATAATGAGCATTGCGACACGAGTATCGGAGATACGTCTCGAAGAACGTTGTCCAGAGCCTCACGCCCAACTACGTAAGACACAAACTACTCTCACTTTCGTGAGTTCACAATCCATATTTAGCAAGAGGAGCCTTGACGAACTGGGCCCGTACTTGTGGGAATTCGAGAATTTATCCGGGGATCCAGCTGTTGGTTCGAACATCACTCGAAATGAAGCGAAGTTCGGAGATGCAAAAAAGGCATTTGCCTACTATTACACTTCCGGAGAACATCCCCTAGACATCCCCCCTCAGGATCGCCTCGAAGGATCTCTTAAACCTGGAGATATTTTCTTGCACCGAGTCACCAACCTCGATAAATACCAAATATTCTTGTACAGGGATAATGAATGGGTGATGCGGAAGCCAGGTGAGGACAGTCATCATCCAGAGTCGTCTGATCGCATCTTGGTTCTTCGTGGATCCCACGCTTACCCTACATGGGTTAAGCCTGAGAGCGACCGCTCCTATCGAGAGAAGCAGGCCCGAGAGGCTGTGCCAGGATTTGAAAGGGCTAAGAGACACCGCTCGAATTCGAGGTATGGGACTGAGTATTCGCCAAGGAAACTTCGATAAAGAGGGAGGAAGTCATTATGCAGGTTGGATTCGGCGGTAGCGGGTAGCAAGGGGTTAAGTAGGATTTCTCTCGTCATGGCAGGTATTCATAGTAGCTACACCTTCATAAAGCGATAGTCTGAAGTACGACCAGGTAGACTCAAGTGATATTGAAGTCCTGCCAGAAGTTCGTACTATGAGTGGAGGTGCCGTATGTAAAAGAATTTAAAGCTACACCCGAACCAGCACAAACACGGCCCTTCAAATGGGCAATTTGCGCACACCTTTAGGCGATATCAGGGATGAGGAAAGTTGCTCTTTCTTGTCATCTTCCTCGCCAAGGACCGTCTTAAAACACTTTGAGTATCCAGCCGCGGCAGATCTAGTTCAGGGGAAATCCAAGAGCTTGATCAGACTCCCCTTGCGTCCGACTCGAACCCAGACTGCGTGGGAAAGGATAGGCAGAGATTCTGCGTTTCATATTGATTATTGAGCGGATAGGGCCGGATGATTGGATACTTGACTATCTGTCGTTAGAGGCGCGGGTTTCGCTTTTCCGTAAGCCTTGTTGCGGAAAAAAGATCCTTTCTTCGATCTTTCCTTCAGCAATCAAAGGAGAAACGAATTCCCAGCTCACTGGCTGGGTTTATTGCATACCCGGTCTTTATGTCGGTCTCAATCAGTACCTCCGAAAAGCCAATGGACTACCTCGATAAATAGAGCGGCAGAGGCTAGAGTGATGGCATCTAAGATGATACTGTATAAGAAATCGAATTGCATTGTATCAGAACCGATTGGCTTGGCCTGTCGGCCACGTGCAGGTAAGCCTTGAATAACGAGAGCGATGAAGATTTAGTATTTGGAGGCCGGAGGACGTATGCAAACACGAAAAAAGAGATGCATGGCCTTTTCTGCACACGCTGACTACTGACGAGGTCACGCATCAGTCTTTCTGGTGCCAGGCACTGAACATAATGCTGCGCCGGCGAGGAACTGTTGTGTTGAGACCATCGCATCACAACGTTGATGGAAAGGAGAAGAAGACTGACCATGATGTCATGATCAAAATCGATGGTGAAGACGCGAGGATGACACGACGGGGGTTCTAACCTTCTGAAGACGACAAGATAATTTGTATGGACGCCCATATAGGCGTATGGGCGTAATAGTGTGCAAAAATTCACGTAGGCGCGAGTCGCGTTTTTCCGGTCGCAAGTTGGTTATTAGCCCCCAAGTTCGCTTGTATCCTTCCGCAAGTTAGTAAATTTTTCGCAAGTTTGCTGTTAACTATATTTTCAGAAGAAGGCCTAGGCTGAGATATACAAATCTCTGTCCAGCTGTCAAGGTACCTGACATTGGTTATGTTCTGGGAAGGAATACAGTACCTACGGTCCTACGCTGTTCAGCCGGCCATGTCGCGAACCCTTGAACCCTCTGGAATGTCATTCTCAGCACGCCCCACTGAGCTCGATCTATCGCTGTCTGGCAGTATTCCGAGCATTCAAATCTATAGGGGAGTGACGAGTCAGTGGACTGTCTAGACTGAGAGGCTTTGAATCCAGAGAACAAATACCGAAGTGAAATGTATCTGAATTCATCACTTGAAAAAGCGATGGAGAAGTAGGTAAAACAGACGAATAGGACGCTGAAAGAATTCGGGCCATTACGGCAATAGCGGAACGACTTAGTCTCTCGTAGACAGACGACGATATCAACCTAATGACGGATAGGGTGGACGGTTGATATGTAGTCTGTTTTTAAAGTTGATCATTAACCGCGTAAGCTAGGTTATGACCAATCAGCCTACACGTGATCACGTCGCGTCCGTGTGTTTCCCTTTCATTTACCGTCTTCGACGTGTTCCCTGGCCTTCGATTACTGTGCGTCACCTTCAGGACTGTCAGGAACCTTTAAGAAATGTAAACACAGCTGTTTTTCGACCACAGAGCTTCTGTGAGGTTGGTACCAGCCCTTTGACCTTCAGCTTCAGTAAATGACGAAAGTTGAGGCCGCAAATATTGAAAAATGTCAATATCAACAGCTCGGGCTGCAAGATATAGCCATCTTAGAAGAAACTATCAATTATATGGTTTTACACGCCATATTCCCCGCTAAGCACAAAGTCAACTAAGTGTAAAAAGCCAGACATGTACAGGCTTTCGGACGCAATGACATAAGCTGACATAATTGTGAGATTGGTCATAACCCCCCTTACGCGGTTCCACGGGCGCGACAACTATAGGACTAGGAACGACTGGTGTCAAGCACCGAAATAATGTCGGCCGGTCTAGCCATCTCGTTTCGCTCCGAACCCGCCCCCAGATCTTATTCAGAGATCTATGGGAACAACTGATGAGATGTATATCAGGATAGGAAAACACTTAACTTGCGGGAGGGGATACGAAATTGTGCACTTAAAAGTAACTTGCGACTGGAAAAAGATAACTTGCGTTTATCCGATTTTTTGCACGCTATTACGCCCTACCTACCTACCTACCTATATGGGTGTATATGGGCGTAATAGCGTGCAAAAAATGCAATGAACGCAAGTTATGTTTTTTCCAGTCGCAAGTTACTTTTAAGTGCACAATTTCGTATCCCCTCCCGCAAGTTAAGTGTTTTCCTATCCTGATATACATCTCATCAGTTGTTCCCATAGATCTCTGAATAAGATCTGGGGGCGGGTTCGGAGCGAAACGAGATGGCTAGACCGGCCGACATTATTTCGGCGATTAGATATCACGAGTTTTCCTTTGTTTCCGTGGTGGGCCAAAATCCTTGGGCATTAAGTTTTGATTTCTTCTACCTTAGCTATTTCTTCGTCGTCGTTTCACGCGATGGAGTCAGATTTTTATTTGTCTTCGATATTTTGATCTCTAAGTTTGATCCTCAGTAGCAAAGTACTTTCAATGATTCGAATTTCGAATTCAAGGAAGGTATGAATGTCTTCTGTGTGATAATTGATTTCTGAACTGGAATGCCTTTCAACCTTGTCCAGACAGTTAACTCTGGATTCAATTGCTCTGCGAGCCAATGATAAACCGAGGTACAATAACAAAATTTCACGGAGTTCCAGGGCTCACGATACGGCCTGCTGAACGGCGTAGGTACCGCATTCGTTCCCAAAAGTTGACATACGTATGGCGCATAGTCCATAATCAGTTGTCTGGACCACGGCGGGACAACAAATCACAGACTCCTTACAACAGCAAACTTGCTTCAAATGTCCCTTAACTTGGGGAAAGATCTGAGTGAACTTGTGCACTAATAACCAACTTGCGGCCGGAAAAACCTCACTTGCACGGGCGTGAATTTTTGCACGCTATTACGCCCATATTCCTACCTACCTACCTATGCCCATATAGGCGCAACTGTACATTTCAAGGAAACAAGTTGGTTATTTACTGTCCCAAGTTCGTTTGTTTTACACAAGTTCGTTATTGGCTACAGTTTGGGAATAAATTCTGGGCCGTCATATGTAATCTCTGTCCAGCTGCTCGGGTACCTACTCCGTATGAACACTGACATACGCCATCCTTGTACTCTTCGTAGTTTTCTTCTCAGTACGTCTCACTGAGTTCTAGTTTGGCTCACTCACGGTATGTAGATCCAGATTTGACTGTATGGACGATATCAGAACACATGCTAGTTCAGTTCAGCATTGAGAGTTCCCAAAGGGTTCAGGCCTCGGAGAGTATTAGTATGGGGGTGAATCAAGGATCAGGTAGACGTAAATTTACATAAATCAGAAGCAAACTTGCTTACAACCAACTTGCGAACAGAAAAAAAGCACTTGAGTCTAACTGAATTTTATATGCTATTATGCCCATGAATTTACAATGACTAATTATAATTTGCTATGTTGTATAAAAGATCGCTGAGACACAACATGCTACTTCTCAACAGCTGCTACTTCATCACCCGACATCTGGTCGCAACCACGGAAGTTCAAACGAGTGTTTATGGATACAGAACTACTCTCTGCGAAGTCTGAACTGACATAGGAGTCATGGTCATGTGTTGGAGGACCGGTGAGGTTGAGATCTTCCGATTTTAGCAGACCTGCGTCGATCAAGCGCTGAAGAAGGGGGTGTTTGAGTGCCATCGCTTTCGATACGGGAATGGCATCACGTGGGGCACCGTCAGATTGGATGGAAGTCAGGCTATTCATCAAATTAGAAACCAGTACCTCCATATTGTCAACCTCAGAGGCAATGATCTGAGAGAGGCCGTATATCAGGGCTTGGCAATGTTCAATCTGTGCTACCTGGTAAGCGACGACTAAGGGATACGCTTGAACATGAAACCGGAATCAGAAAGGATGAAGCTATGAACATTCACTGCTGCCTCGGGCGGCTTGAAATAGGATGCTAGCCGACTGCCCTTTCTCACCATGATGAGCAAGTGACTCGCAACGTTTGTGACCGTTGCGGCAACGTGTGCAAGCGCCCGAAGCAGACTCGTCATGGTCACAGGACGTCCCTAAACCAGCCACGAAACAAGAATAGCAAACAGCTCGACACTGAGTTAGGTGTAAGCCAACGCGCCAGAGAATCAGAAGATAAATTTACGTACGGGAGGTCCCAAATCCAAGGCACGGGAAAGCAACACAGAACCAGAGGAGAATTCGCCAGGGAACGTGACATCATTCATCTCTGGATTCGAAGGTGCCAGTAGGGTTGAACACATGTTTGGTGTGTCAAGACGAGGAACTTTCGACGCAGAGTCGCAGCCCTGAAATTGCTGAAGCAATCCCTCAGAAGGAAAATTAGCATGAAAATACAGATGGCTTACAGAAGGTCTCTTCAAAGTGAGCTGGTGATATATGCTTTCCGGTGTCTGGACCTTGAATTGCCCGCCTTTCCGATTGTTTTTGGCGTGCGTAGACTTCGAACCGAATTTGAACTGTAGGGCGCCAGCAGGCTGCTTCCTTTCCTTCTCCTCGAGTTTTTTTTTGGCTTCCAATTCTGCGGCGAGTCTATCGCGTTCCGCCTTCTCGCGAGCAGCTATGGCCTTGTCACGTTTCTCAACTGCGTTTTTGTATGCATCATTCAGTTTGAGCCACTCGGTCTTGTAGCTGAGGTACTGTGCCTCGCGACGTTTGTAACGATGCGTGCTATCAAATAGCTCTGTTTCTCCGATGGCCTAAAAAATGGGTTAGGGCATCATAAAATTGCAAAGGAGAACTACCTTTTCTGGGCCTAACGAGTCGTAGTCATCGGCTGCGGGAACCCAAATACTCCACTCCTTCATATTATGGTGGCGGAGAGGGAGCTGAGAAGCAAAATAATAGCATGTTTGGCGTAACAGGACGCCCATACGGTTGTCTCGCTGCTTCCTATTCTTGATTTCTTCTACATAGGCTACCTATAAGATGAGATTAATACGAAAGCATAAGAGGAATGCCCATAGTTATCTCACCAATAATGGATGGATTCGCTCCAAGATTGGGAGAATCTCTGAAGAAGTAGCACGTCCGCTAATGACAAGAAGAGGGCGAATGCTCTCCGAGATTTCGCGCGGAAGCTCGTATGGGTCGCCATATTGATCCTCAGTCAGCAATGGCGGGGGAGGAGGAGGAACGGGAGGAATGTGTAGCAGATCAGTTTCATTTACCGGCGGCGTTGTTGAAGTCTTGTCCATCTCTGTTAGAATGTTACATGTACAGATGATAGCGCCGGAACAGTGCGGAAAGCAGTATAGCTCAATAGAGAGGTAGGAGCTATGGTACAAGCGGGGAAGGGTAGCAAAGGAAGAGTTGGAATCGTAGCGCGTATTTGTGAAGAAACTGCCAGGTATGTTCTCTTCCTGGAAAGGAAAAGAAGGAGGCAAATTTCCTAGGGGTCTGATGATGCACTGCCGCAACAACATAAATAGAAGCCTCCACAGAATTTAGATGTTATTAAGCGCCCAGGGTGAGTTTCACCCTTATAGAACCAGTGTTGGAACTTAGTTGACGCGCGCGCAATTAATATTGTACCAAGATTTTCACTCGCAGAACGTGGACTTTTGACATGTGTCACGGGTTATTCCTGTGCGGCGCATTCCGTGCTATGGCCAGTCGTCGATTCTTTAATTTCCTTGAATTGTTTTCCTTGACATCCAGCACGATGAGAGGACGAAAACAGTGATAAGTACAGGGAGCATCAATCAAATATACACCGGTACCGCTAACAGTTTCAAAAATCTGCATCAGACCCTCTTCATCAAGTCGTCAGATGAGGAATCTGAATCAAGCATAGACCGCAACTCACAGTGCTCAAACATGTCCACCCTTATCACCGAACTTGGCCGGCCAACACAGGTGCTGTCCGAGACACCTCCTTCGGCGATGAAGCCATCTTCGTCTTCATCTTCATCAGAAGAGTCGCCGTCGAATTCTTCATGAGCTACACCAGCTTCTAGATCTAGAAACGCGGATCGTTTCGATTCAGCGCGTCACAAAGCGACGTCCATTAATGAGGAGCGCGCAATTCCGGATCCCGCTGTCACTGCCAACACTCTTCAAAACATTGCTTTTTTCATCTCTTGAAAGTAGCTTTCTCACCGATTTTTCTTTCTTGCTCTCTGTTGTATTCTGCCGACCGAGGCATCTATCAATCTATGCCGGGATGGACTCATTTATGTTTGATCTGCTTGGCTATGTCTACGACGTCTATGACACCATCCATCCTCCGTGTCCCTAATAGATGTTATAATTCCTCTGTGCTAGCCACTGGCCACTAGGTGATACGAAAAAACTTTCCAAAATAGGAAAGTTCCCTTTTGTAGCTTGTATCCGCCTCCGAGATGTCGATCTCAGGGCTGACGCGGACGTTGGAGTGGCTTCTTAGATCGAAGAAAATGGAATCCCTGACGTTTGGGCTATTTGAGTATACAATCGCACCCTTACACCGGAAACAGAGCTCGCACCCTGAGCAGAAGGTTACCACGCTTCTGCATTGGGCGGAAATTCATCACCTGAATCCCTTCGATCTCATAGCTCGTAGTGAGATAGATATCGTACCCCTGGTTAATGGGCTGCAATATTCCGGATATCCTAGACGATTCGCCCCGCCAAAATCCGATGATTCTTCGAAGGAAATTCGGTTCCTCGTTCCTTCTAACACGGCGTGTGTTATGGATATTGGGTATCCGTTGATTCAGTGCATGAGTCAACATATGCCCGTACTCGGCCTTCTCGGTCTTAATACTGACTCACTCGTACTTTCTGTTACTTTCTCTATTCTTCATATTGATACTAGAATATTATGGAACATTGTAGAATAATAATGACTCGAACCTTTCCTTAGTATATAATCTCGTAGGTAACATTGTATTAGGAAGCCTTTAATCAATCTACTACTTTGGACTCACCATCACTGTGTGAACTCTCAGCTACGCCTAGCGCTTTCTGACACCAACCCGAAAGTTACGCTTAGCGCTTGCCTTCACCCTCGGCCCGTAATAGCTTCGCGCTTACAGGCTTTCTATATCGGTAATTGCTCCGCGCTTACCGCTACTTCCCCCAGTAATTGCTTCGCGCTTACTAGTATCCTTTATTTCACAAACCGGACCACTCAGGTCTCCTCACGAACCCTCGCCGGAATCCATTATATTCCCTAACGACGTACATCTCTTCTAATTACTCTTACCTCACTTCAATCACCACTCCTCGCCTCGTGCTCGCATCTCCGGATTTCGGCAGATCCATAACAGCATGAATAATTGGCAAACCTGTTTGTTCTACCACATATCATCCGCTTCCCCTGATCCGCATCGGGACTAATCACTGCTGGAATACGGTTGGATGGGTTGGATCATAGTCAATGGGCACACGGTCGCTGTTCTCAAGGTACAGTCAACGTGAATATCATTTGGGAACGCTGTTGATGAAGGGCTTGTCGGAACTGCTCGATCACTGCATCACTTATGGCTTGTTTGTTGTCTCCGATGATAGTCTGCACGCGGACTCCACTAATACAAGCGACTCAAGATCAGGTAAAATACAGTTATTTACCGGTCATTGGAACGCCGAAAAATGTTTTTTGTCCCATTCACCACACATCGTCTTTTTCCTCAAATAAAGTAGCTACAAATTTTTTAATATTGCTCAGTGATATCCATACAAAGTATGAAGTGGATCAAGGCATCTATTATTGAGATATTCGTAATTTACGGTGTTTCATTGACTGGTAAATGACCACGTGGCAAACCCCTGCCAAATTCGCATCACTGTTCGATTTTTCACAGGGTCAGCAGTAGCGCTAAAATCCCCAAAAAATCACTAAAAATCCATAACATCTATGCCTCCGATTATACAACACTGTCAGGCAGCGGAACTGGGGAGAAGGAGGCTAAATCAACTGTTTCAGTGACTGATGGTGTTGCAATGACCTGTCAATAACTGTACATTTCATGAGACGAAGGATATAGAAATCTGAGACGTATGAATGGTATCCGCCAGAAAATCAGGCACGACGACAGATGATATCTTAGGTTTCTGTGGGTGTAGCTGTCCAAATCATTTGACATCGATGTTCACTACAAATTCTGCATGCGAGACGACTAGCCACCGAGTGCCAAGTATGCGATAATAAATCTGCAATTGCTTATTTTGGGTCAGCGCAGGAAGTAGAATTCAAGGATATGCTACCTCGTGGTGGATCACGAGCACTAGTAGTTTCTGCGCGAGATGGAAGAGATATAAACCGATTCAGCGTAGCCATCGCAAGGTACGGCCTCTCAGAACAAGTATCAAAGGTGTGAACAATAGTATAATGTAAAAATAATCTCGCACATAGGTCTACATATACTACTAATGCTTGCTAGTACAACGACGACGATTTGGGTCTGGAGGGGGAGGGGAGGGGAAGGGGGATCTCAGCCATTCCCAAGATGATGGTGGGAGTCTACGGGATGCGGGTCGTAGGATTGGCGATACAAAAGAACAAGAAGTGATAGTAATAACTGTCGCGCCAGGCAATGGTCTTGAGTTAAGCGGAAAGAGCTTACATAATCTTCGCCAAAAATCTGAAAATGCTCAAGTTTAAAACAGCGCCGGGGATTTCCGTGGCCATAAGCGCTCAATGTGAGTCAGCATTATCATCATAAGCGCTCGCGGGTCTCCCCGGCGCTGTTTAAATGCAGTCTGTTACCAAATAGCGAAATACATTATGTAAGGTTTTGCTCTTTCCTTACAGCCATTTGATGTTATTGCCTGCGCCCCTCATCGTAAACTCTTGAGTTCAGTAGTACCTACATGTATGTATCGTGAATAAATTCGCTTTGTGGTAAAGGTACAAGCGTCTGAACTAACGCGAACTTGCAGTGGTAAATCACGTCACGCGTCAAATTTTTATACTAGTCAAGATTTTCGCCTCTCCACGCTCTCGCACGTAATATCAATGGTACGTCCCTCTGTTATATGGCTGTAATGTGAGGTGCTCAATCGAAACAGTCCGCGTTTCTAGATCTTGAAGCTGGTGTAGCCCATGAAGAATTCGACAGCGACTCTTCTGATGAAAATGAAGACGAAGATGGCTTCATCGCCGAAGGAGATGTCTCGGACAGCACATCTGATTCACCGAACTTCTCCGACCTATGTTCTCCAGCTTTGGACGGAGATGAATGGGACAGTCTCTTGGAGAGGGCAAAGACCCGTGCAAACTTCTCCGAAAGACCTTTGGATGGTGACGAAGGTTATAACCTCGGTCTTTTGGATGCCCCCCCTGAACTTTGGGTTCTATCATGTTTTGTGAGTAAACCTTGACCTTCTTCGTTCGTTTCTGATCACCTATGAAGCCGGGCTGGGAACAATCCGTCGTGTTACACATTGGGCGCTGCGCTCGACACGTACAGGGTGTGAAGGCCGCCTTCATTATGCCGCTCATGGAAAAGCAGGTGTGGCTAGAAGCCGATATGTCGGCCAGTTTAAAGAACTGGCTGGTCGATATACCTGGAGTCGTCCATCGCAATCAACAGGTCGTTCTTCATGCCGTCTCACCCCATGAAAGTCGGCGCGTGCTGTCTAGCACATTGACGCCTCCCTTCGTACCGGGTAGTTGGGTCAAAGTTCGTCGAGGTAATTTACAAGGTGATGTCGGGATGGTGAGCAAATTGTATCCCTGGGGGTGCAAGGTACTTTGTGTGCCTAGATTCACCTCCGGATCCGGTGTTATGAAAGCTACGTGACAACAACTTAGTTCCTACTCGACACTCAAGCTGTTCGACTCTACAGTAGTTAATACTGTGAAGAAGGGAAAATCATGCTATCGCTTCCAGGGATCGACGTACGAGCATGATCTTCTTGTCAGTCGGATCGTCTTCTCCCTGATTGAGATCGCGCGCAAGATCCCAGATAATCTTGCCACTCTTTTTGCGCAATCACGCCATCCTCAAGTTCGTAAAAACATATACAGCGTTCCTAGAATTTCCGAATGGTGCTTTCATGAAGGAGAAATGATCACTGACACCAGCAAGGGTCAATCTGGGACCATCCGTAGCATTGGCGAGCATGCCGTGGAGGCGGAATTTACCGACGGTCTCTTTCCCGTTACATGGGCCAACTGTCGAAAGGAATTCAACATAGGACAATATGTAGAGATTTCGGAGGGAGAGTCTGGGGATAGATGGTCCGGATGGATTCATGCCATTGAAAACGGGATGTTGCATTTAATTTCTCCTCCTGGGCGTACGAACTACGCAATTGAGGTATGTCATATATACAAAACTTCGCTCCCCTTCTTCTCATCTCGCTTTCCAGGCACGTGGCGTCCATCCCAACGCCGTCGTTGCGATCCCTGCGCCGGATGGTTTATATGATAGTCCAGCTCAAGCCACTCAAAGTCTTGCATCGACCCCTTCTGCGCCTTGGAAGGGGGTCATGGTCCTGATTACCAAGAAACGCCATCACTGGCGTGGAAAGAAAGGATATGTTATCGATGTTAACCCGACAATAGATCTCGATACTCAAAAAGCAGGCTTAGCAGTGCTTGTGGAGCTCGCAGTTTACGACCCTAACATCCCTTTCGGTCGTCTATGGTTCCCATATCTCGATGTTGTGGAAGAGGAATCATGGCTACCTCTCAATGAAGCACGACCGCTGGAAGTCGGACAAGAATTCTTTCACAACTTGGTGCCGGAAACTAACGTCCTGCAAAGTAAAGGCAGACGTATTCCAACAATTGTTCTTTCACAACAGCCAGAAGAACCAGGAAACGCTACTCCTCTGCCAGACCCTTCAGAACGATGCCTCTCTCCGGCATGGAATCCATCATCTCCAGACCCCCCGCTGCATTGGTGCCTTGATTCCCGTCTTCTCGGCGCTCGGTTCCGCGTGCAGTACAACGGACGCCAGATCGTGGCGTTGACGAAACGCAACTCGCGAAGGGATATAATTTGCGTCAGGAATGATACGTCACTGGAAGAAGACCTGGATCCTGCAAGAGTGCTTGCAATCCATCCTAAAATCCGACACTACGATATGTTTTTGGTAATTTCAGGGGAGCATTGTGGAAAATGGGTCAGGAGCATTCAATTCAGCAAGCGCTCATCCAGCGATAACACGGATATTGATTGGACTGTTGCCGTTGTTATTCCCAGAGCTCCATACCTCCCAGACAACGTGACCGACGAAAGGCTGATATTGCATAATTCGAGGATGACTGTTGCAGAAGAGACAAGAGAATCTAAAGCGTTGAATTCGACTTTGAGGAGGCAATTACGACAACCTTCGCGAGACTACTGATCGGTTGATGCCACCACCAGTTGATGCCTGTTTGAGTTGTTGCATTAGACCTGTAATATATGCTACATGTATCTTATGTTAGAAGGTTCCCTTGAGTAGTCGGTTTGTAAACCACAATGCTACCTTTTTGTCGTCCAGATCCTTCGAATCTTATCTCATCTGCATGCTCCTTTTGGCTTTTATTTTTTTTGGGGGGGGTGGGGGTAGGTATGAGCTCGGCAAGTACCAACTTCCTGTACATACTTGTTCATCTTGTTTTCTCATCGCTATTGTCTCCTGTCGCGATAAGCTTCTCAAGCAGTTTCGTTGCTTGCAAGCCGTATTTGTCTGTTTCGCTGGTCTCCTATGTATCGACCTTGTATAGGTGGGTCACATATGGAGAAGTTGCTACATGTACAGTGCTTCAGACACGTACCACGGACATGGTTTTGTATGTCGATGTGCACTGTAATATGCCTTCATTGACGGTACTACAATAGCCTAGAGCGTATTTCTACACAGAATATATGCTTCGATTATTGGTTCTAGTACATACTAGCAGGAGTGATGGGATGAGTTTTGTAGGGGGGGTGAAGAGAGGAGAGGAAAGGCCAGAAAATTAGATGATTCTGCCAAATTCATACTGTAAGGAGAAGATAGTGTGGACGCGTTCATTTTATGACAAAGCTTGTAAATCTACATCCAACCGATTGTAAGAAATTGGCATCACGAACATGGCAAATCTAATATGGGCTCATCACCAACATGCACCATAATTCCTATACCCATTTCACAACTGTATTCCTGCAAATCACATAACAATCCGGCGAAGTTGCCCAGAAAGCTTGAAATCGTCACAGACGGAGCTACCCTCAAACGAAAAGATTGAAGGACCGGAGTAGCAATGCTACGCCGTGCTAGGATCAGTTTCTGCAAGGATCCATTGGGGAGAAGCGCTCCTCCGTCGGAAGAGAAGATGTCCATCTGTCGTAAAGACGGAAGTACAGCTGCGTCCGCCAGCTCAGAGAAAATATAATTTCCGCTGAACCTATCCACCTCAAAAGCGAGGTGCTGTAATGCAGCCATAGACTTGGCCATACTCAACAAGCATGGAATAGATATGATGGGTATAGAATTTCGTAGTAGGAGCGAAGAAAGTGGGCAATCTGATCGTTCGATCAAAGAAATCACAGCCTCCGAGATATCGTTGTGAAGTGGAGGAAGAATCTCTAGTGTGGTTAATTTGGGCAATTGCACGTAGCTCAGAAAGCGTAGATCTCCGTCAATGATGAGGGTTTGTAAACGTGAATGCGAGATGATGGGCAGTGTTGGCGTAGTTCTGGGCGGGTAACAGACCACTCTGAGGGTTGTTAAGTTGGAGCCCCGGGTAAGCATTCCATGAAGGTCTTTCCAGGAGACTTGACAGATATCAAACACCGTTAACTGGGACATCGGTAAAGAAATATTTCCTGGGACATCCATGTCCAGCCTGACCCGCTCGAGCTGGGGAGCATGAATAAAGGCGTCGGTGGAAAAGCTTGTGCGGCGGGGCGGATCGTGGAGGGCGACTATATTAAGTGCTAGATGATGCAGAATTGGCAGCCTTCCTTGAACAATTCTCAGTTGTTCGAATAAGACAGGTGTTGGAATAGGCAGTATGATGGTTCTCCATCGATGGCTGTGCCTACAGAGTTCTTGTAGGAACACCGCATAACGATCAGAGTTGGTACGATTGCGAATGCCATTCGCCTTCACTACTATATGTAGCGGAAGAGCTGCCGATCGTTTGAGAAACATTTCAACCGCTGGCTGAAAACTAAAATGCTCCACATGGCGCTCATCGGCTTTCAGGACTGTCCACAGAAGAGGGCAATTTACACTGATAAACCTCCAATAGCTGCAAATCTGGCCCAGAATCCACGGAGACCTAGACGTATCTCTAGGATTTTTCCCCCTTGGAAGAAATTGGAAGATGCGAAGGAGAATCTCTTCTGGTAAGCGCCGGATTGGTGATAAGAGTGAACGATATTTCTTCACTTCATCTTGTGCCAGGTCCTCGTCAGCTGAAAGCACGTCCAGAATGGATCGCAGATGATTCATCTGGTTCTTCCGGCTGCGGATGCGCGACTGTAATTCTCTGATTCTGGCATGTACGTCGAATCCGACATCCAGAGAAGAATTTCCCTTCCTCAGTTGGTCTGCTACCGATGACAGGACCAGTAGCTTCCCGATGATGCTGGTCTCGTCTAACAAACTCCCACAGTTGGAACATTGACCGAACATCTAAAACTCTAGTAAAGCCGATTTTTCAGGCTTAAGAGAGAGTTTGGGCCCTACCGATGCGGCTGTTAACCAGGTGACAGACGGCAGCACAGTCCAGATTGTTGACTTGAAATTCACAGAAGGAAAGTGCTCCAACAGTGCCGAGGCAGGGTATACATAGGCAATACTAGATATCTGCGAAGAGTAATCGGGCCGCAGCGGAGTTGATGACTTGATTCGTAATAGGAAGTGACGAAATGAACAGACTCTTCCTTCTTGTACTTAGCTATATTGTAGTGATATGAAACAATGGCTTCCTTTTTTTTAGTCCCTTCGAATGGTAAAGGAATTTCCTTGCTGTCACAATGTCACATATAAGTATTTGACTATGGCGTTGTGCTTTCTGGGACGGTTGAAGATCTCCGAGGTGTCTATTCGGCATTACGCAGATTTGAAAGCCCGATCGGAAGCGAAAACCGGCATCTCCCGACAACTTCCCCATCAGTTTGTTCGTGATCGGCTAGAAAGCCGAAAGGACAACGAATACCTGCTCAAAAAAGGAAGAGCTACTGAAAAGCAGCAGTTGTGTAGCTAAACAGAGTGGCGATCCGATATACACCTGTTGTATAATCACAGAAAATTTAATGTATATGTATATAGGTGAACGCCGCTACTCTGACTACGCAGGAGATTCTCGAGCCCCGGCGTATTCAAGTTATCTATCTCGGCTGACGCATACGGATGGATTATGCTGGAGTTGTCGATGATCGATTCCGTCCTCATGGTAAAGATGCAGGTACACTTCCACTCATTTTTCCGTCGCTATTTATACCGGTAGTTAGCCTACGACGTCGTTCAATGTGGCGTAGTTGGTGATTTTAAGCCCCGAAGTTGCGCTATGCCCGCGAGGAAGAGCCCGATAGGGTACTATATGTCACCTTCGGGTCTATATTTGGACTCGAAATGGTCCCGTCACAAGGAAAACAATAATGGACCATTTCGACCAAGTGTTCACAAATTTGGAAAAGTTTGATCGAACAAAATACAAGAAATTGGAAAAATCGAAAGAAATTTTATTGGTACTAACCTTTTTTCGGGAACGTCACCCGTCACTGAACACTTGGTCGAAATGGTACAGTATGTTGACGTATTGCAACATTGTTCTCGTGGGTACTTATCCACCGTTACAACCAACTAGTTCTTGGCGGTAGGGTCTCGAATATACTACAGGCGAGCGTTAAGCTAGATCTGCCATGTATAGCACTCTGGTTTTTGGCCAGGCTGCATGAAGTTGATTGTCGTAGAAATGATTCAGGATAACAAGTACAGTCATCACCCGGTCTTTTGTACACCACTATTCCTTTGTACATTTGAATATAACTCCTCTTTCCGCTCTATTGTGGTGCCAATTTTATTTTTATATTCTAGAGGACAATATAGGTCATCATATCACCAATGAAATTCAAGTCAAGGAGCCTTGTATCGGTCAGGAAAAAAATCAATGATGAGTGATATGAATTTTAGAAAAACAAGAATACAGTATTAGAAAGAAGTGAGGGCATGGGGTTGCATAAATTGATGTCGCAAATCGTTTTACTAGTTATAAGGATGGATTTTTCCTGCAGAACCATGGGCCAGAGATTACTTGTTGTGGTGCTACAGGCAAAACGAACCAGAACCACTATTCAGAGCCGTGAGAAAATACTCCAAATTGGGAAACAGTGGCCCAAATTTGGCGCACGGAAACCGGTGTACAGAGGTGCCGGTAACCGGTAATTTTGGACTTTCCTCGAAAAAATTCACCATGCTATCAAATCATTATGGAATCACCTAAAACTCATAACGTATAGTCTTAAACATAGCTTTGACATTATTATATACTTTACTGGATGAAAAATGGATGAGGGAGGTTTTAAAATCCATCGGAAATTTGCCTGTACATCCGACCGGGTGATGACTGTACTAGTCCAATACATGAATATTGTCAATATCCACTACTCGTACCAGCGGAAGAGCGCTTTTCTTCCGTTCTGTGAGTGTACCAGTGTACCTCGACCGTGCCACCCCGCATAACTAAGAATCGCTTTTTATGTGCCGGATGTTGAGTTGCCACCTGCTTGTCAAGGGAAACTCGCCCCCCTTCGGTTTTTAATCTTGGCTGCTTGGCCCTTTCCCACATATTTCCGTTGAAAAAGAAAACCTGATATAAGTCAGGCGACAGAATGTGATGAACATAGATGTCTCCGATTGCGGGCGTGGCAGGATTCAGCCGATGAGTGGGTACACGGTGTAGAATGACGTCTGCTGCGCTCGCGTACAGAGTGAAAGGAACACCTTTAAATCTCTGGCGCTGTTGACCTAGTATTTCTCCTGAATCGGTCGTAAGCGTGACTTGAAGTTCTGCACTGGGTGACCACAGAGATTGTAAACCTCCCAAGACATTTGCCGTCGTTGACGCATTGGTACCGAATGCGGAACTGGTGCTACAATAATACATTAGAGAAATCAGACCATTACGCGAGCTTTTTACCTTGCCATTGGCCTCCTTGGATCTAAAGTGGAGCTTTTCCTTGATGGGTTGGAAAGCCCAATGGGCTTATCTCCGAAAAACGACTTTTTAGATAGATCTGGGGTCCTTTGCGATCTTAAGGTAGAAATTTCATTTTTACTACGTGAGGAGGGCTTGCTGGTGGAAAAAGGCGGTTGGAGTCCATCACTCGATGAGGATGGAGACAGAGGGGGGGATAGGCTGGGAAGCCCAGAACCACGTCAAATTTAGCGTTTCGCGGATCAATATTGAAAGTCTTACTGCTGTTCTTCCTTTGCATGAAAAATATCCACCCTCCGGGTGGTGGGCAATATCTCATTCTCACTGTCGGACTCAGAGTGAGGAGGGAAAGACACCGAGCGCGCTAGCCTCTCTCCCAATTTCGGAACCGATTTCAGTCTGAAAGTGTAAATTGATACAGGTGCCTGCCTTTGATAACTGATGGTCACTCACATTCCTGGAGTAGGTATAGCACCCACGTCTTGACGACGTGTGCTGAAGGCTCCTGGTGGTTGGGGTGTGCTAACAGCACTGATGCCTGACGAAGGCGCTGGTACTACTTGGCGAGCGGGAAGGCAAGGAGATCGGTGTATGGGGTACACTGTCTCATCGTATGTGAGTACTGAGCTTATCGGCATGTTAGCTATTCGTAGAGGTCGTATAGTTTCTGCAGAGTCCTCTGCAGATCTTGCTCTTATAGTCGAGAGAAGGTGCACTTTGAAAGATCGGTAGATCTAGACAAACGTTCCAATTACCAAAAATATGCAATGTCAGTCATGAAGAAATGTATGAACAGGAACATGGACAAATCCCATACAAAAACTAAGCTAGGAAGGTGGCACTACCCACAATCTAAGATCCGTGAGGTACCCGCTAAGCATCATCATCTGAAGATACATCGATGGCCTCTTCATAGCTTTCGTCCAGGGGATATCTGTTTAGCTCCCCAACGGACCATTTCCGGACGGGCCGCACAGTCGGGGAATCTTGGGAGAAGAAATACTCAAGAGGAGGGTTTGACCGCTTCTCCAAAGTAGAAAGTGTACCAGGATCTAGCCAAAAACGTTCCGCTATCGGGATGTGCTGGGAGCCCTTTCCAACAAATGACACTGAACAGATCCCAGACTTGGTGGGTATAATATCGACTTGGTGGTTTTCAGCGGCATGATGCTGCATCTGGCGGAGAAAGAACTTTTGAGATTCTAGCCCTCCTCATAAGCAGTACGTTACCACGCATGTCTGAAAGCCAGAGTAGGTAACTGGCAATTTCGGTTGGCTTCCAGAGAGTAAAGAATCCAATTCTCCTTCTTCTCTTCGGCTACGTCCCCCTCGCACGAGCCCATCGTAAAAGAAGGCCGCCTCATGATTCCCAGCTCCCGACCTTGATGTTACAAACCTTGTTACGAAATGATGGGTCCCGTGAATCCCTCTGAAGATACGAGCTGTCATGTCGTATGTGAAATCAGAAATATCGATCCTGTGAACTGCTTCTCTGCCCAAAAGACCAGCAACTCGTGCAGCCCGTGGAAAATTCCACGGACGTTCCTGATCGTCTACCACCACTGTCAAAATGACAGGTAAATTGCAACACAATCGTACAAGGGAAGCCGATCCGGCGCATAAGCGATGACCTTCTCTGAGGCACCAACAACCAGGAAGATGGGTTTCTTGAATCCCCATGAAGGACTGTAACCATGCTTGGAAATCCCCGGCATATTGATCGTATAATTTGTTTGCCAGATAATAGGCTGCCATTCCTGTAGAAGGTGGTACTAGCTGTACGTGTTCCTCGGTGAAGAGATCAGATCGATCACCAGTACAGCGTCGAAGGTCGACATGATGAAAGCTAAAAAAGGATATGCATGCACTATCGGTGTAGGAGAGAGAGCGGGACTTCTTGATCTTCGAAGTGATATTCATGACGTTCGCAAACCATGTCTACACATATCGGGCCTCCCCTGATGATCACCATTGTGCATCAAATAGAACTTGTATACTTACGAAGATTGCCTGGGGTTGATTTGAACCCGGCTGCAAAAGCTTGCGCTCCTGTTCCAGATATCGTCGCACTGTTTCACGCTGAGATTTAAGCTGCGAGGAAACGATTCCGATTGGACCACTGATGGGGCCCATGATCATAGATCGACGAGCTTGTAGTACCCGGTAGACCATGGAAAAGCCATGCGAATCGGAAGTGGCCCTCCTGAATACCGTTTCAACCTCTGGCCAGTTGCGCATGAAGGTCCAAAATAGAGCTTCCAGAGAACTATCAAGCCAACAAGAGTTGGCATGCCATGGATATCCTATCAAATAGTCCGCGTCCTGGGTGGTAGAAGGCGATTTCTCATGATCAAATTGAGGGTCCGATTTTAGAGACCGGAGCAAGCCACCATGATTGTCAACACGTTCGATCGACCACTGTGGGTTTGCCAGTGTCAATAAGTTTTGACTTACGAAACTTGTTCGAGACATCTTCCTGTGTTAGAATCCAGGTAGAGTCTGGCTGGAATGGATAATTTCACCGCACTCACATGATAGAAATATGGTCTCGGCCATTTGAGAGTAGCTTTCGAACTCCGGGACCAGTGAAAATTTCGTGTTCCTCGAATCTGGTTAAATGCAATTGATTAGTGTCAGTGAATAATATCACAGGACGGAACTTGACAGACTGCTTATAATTATCCATGATCTCTCCAGGTTTCTCGTCACGCAGGATTGTAGGGGGAGGCTCCGTAATCCCCAACAAATTGCGGACATCAGGATTTGTGAAGAGACTGGAAGAGTTCTTTTCGGCGCTTGAAGTACTCGCCTTTTCAAGGAACCGGAGGACTTTGGGACTAAATTGATGCGCTAAATTGTCGTCGTCAGAGTTCAAGCTCGCTGCCCTGGTACAGAGGGTTATTGATAACATCGACCACTAAGAAAGTATACAACTTGCAAGGGCCTTCGCTGAGGCTGGTTCCAGGTTCTAGAAGAAAGCGCAAGGCCTGACTGCCAAGCGGAGAGGAATAGTCTTGAGCAGACCTGTGCAGATGAAATTCGCACAAGTACAAATGACGTGGTAAGAGACGTACTGCATTCGAGCTCACAAATCCCAGACCCCACCTGTCCTGATTCTTTCCGAAGAACGAAGAAGAAACGAAGAAACGATGAAAGGCTGTAGTCTAAGTATACTTAGTAGTGTGGACAGCGCCTTTACTCAGGGTTGGCTGACCAATCATGATTTATCAGTGATTGGCGAGCATCGGCTTTGATATCGCTGATATCGATGCCGCCGTTATTTTGGTCCAGCTCCTTTTGGTATTATGGGTGGACGGTCCCGCAATGCAGGACTGAGTTACTGTACAGTGTACTCTTTCTGGTCTACAATTTCTTTCAATTCGAAGGTCACGCGTCAAAAAAAAATCTAGACTGCAATGAGTCTGACTACAATCATTCCCCAAGTACTTACTCGCAAAATGTGGATATTCCCACGGTCCAAGTTGATTATACCGTCACCTTCGATCTGGACCTAACTTACAATGCTGCACCGATGTCAAAACCAAACACGGCCTACGATATCGCGATCGCCCTGCTACAGGAACGCCTGGAAATCAGGAGGAAATGGACCCGTGATTGCCAGCAAGAGACGAGTGACCTGATGGATCTGAAATTGCCAGGGCTAAACCCCAGCTTAATCTTGGGTGGCGATGACACTCGTGGGGCCTTAAGGACAATCGATTCAGTAGCCATGATTCAACCTCGGTATCAGGACAATATTTGGCTTTGGTTCAGGCTTCCCTTTCAAGTCTACCGAGCAGGTATACACGGCCGCCTTCAATCGAGAACTTCTAGCACTTTAGGTGACGAAAGGCTTCCGGAGACCGTGAGAAAGGAGCTGAAGTATGATACGGATGATTGGTATGACCTTTACGCTCTCAAAATCTCAATTTGACGCTTATGACTATGGTTCATAATTATAGGATTCTATTCAACGAAAAGCACCTCCGCTCCCTGTCCATTATACGACGTCATCCAGCTATCACCCACTGGATGTATGGAGTAGTTTGGATCGAGGAGCTTTCGCAATGCCTTATCGCCGAAGAAATTTGCCTGCTGACAGATACAGCTGCAGAACAGAGCATCGCTCTTCAAGTGACACGCAGTTCCATTGATTCCATTCCTGGATATTCGGTGTTGACGGAGAAGCGAAAAATCTGTTGTTTTCCTACAACCAAATATTCAACGCTTCCGCTCGACCTGGGACGAGATAACCAATAATGTTTTGGATGGACTACAATGGGACCATGTCATTGTCGCTGGTGGCATAGTTCTCGGAACTCTGCTCTGTCCTTCAATCGCGAGCGAGATTCGTGACACCGCTACCGCTAATACGATAGAAGAGTGGCAAAGTTCAGACTTGGATGTCTATATATACGGACTGGGACCGGAAGAAGCCAACGAAAAGATCCGACATATTTCATCAGTGTATCAGAGAAACCTCCCCCCAGGCTTCCCATTTCTCGTCGTCCGAAACTCGCAGACTGTTACCTTGTACTCCAAATGGCCTAGACGGCATGTCCAGATAATACTAAAGCTTGTCCTAACTCCGGTAGATGTGCTGCTTAACTTCGATTTGGACATATGCTCCGTTGGATACAATGGAGAACAGGTTTTCATGCTGCCAAGGTTCGTATGCGCTGTAGAAAGTAAGTCGCAGATCAGGGCCCTTCTTCAGTTGACTTATTCTCTCCAGCGGGAACCAATGTATTCACGATGGACCTGGTTCATGGGCATTACCTTGGCGAAAGGAAGGCTACCTGAGATACTAGGTACTCTATTTGTTGGAGCCGGGGAAATACACTTATGAAGAAACAGGTTGTTCAAGTATGCAGACAAGGGATATGGTCTGCGCTTTCCTCCCTCTTATATTTCAGCGTTGGGCCACGATCCGTGTGCTGAATCACCCCTACTCTCCTGCATCTCGAAAAAATCCAGACAATGGACCGCGAATTGCCTGGATTTTTACCTTCGTATGTTAGGGATGCAGCACCGACTGGGCCAGCGCCCAACCTATTCCCATGCTCAGCTTAACAGCCAGATGTCTGGCGTCTTACCCCGCTCCAATTGTCTTCACAGTTTTGCCTTATTTATGAGACATGTCAGTCTTTGGGAACTAGGCTTCAGAGGAACAATCACGTAAGTAGTGGCCTCTCTCAAACAACTCCCAACATTCAAAGTCAAGTACAGGCTAAGCAACAACAATATGGCTGCCAGTTCGTATAGCCAGACTCGTGCACTAGAAGATTTTGTCTACGATGATTCACCCCCGTGGGTAATGGTGTTCTGTCATCTAAATGACGAAATTGATGATTGCGCCTAGCTTGCCGTGGGATGAAAACTTTGAGCTCGAAGCCTTTCGTTCATCTATTGACGCCTTTAATAGTCAAGAAACCGAAGCCTTCCTCGAAACCTTTCATTGGTATTCAGACCTCGAGCGCTATCCCAGCCTTGGGGAGCAACTTCGAACGAAGGAAGAAATCACGGCCGTTCGAGTGACCTGCACTGACGAAGTAGCAGAAGTATTCGATGAAAGTCAAGATCTCATTTTCCCCCTGATTGTCGAGAAAAATTTTCTGCGCTTTGTCAATGAAGTAATTCTGGTCGCTCTGGAGCGATCAGGAGTCTCCGATGTTGATGCTTCGGATAAGTGCATGCGGGCTTTAACCCCGGTTCATATAGACTATGGCCGGGACCGAAAGACTCGTCAGGATAATCTTGAAATTATTTGTCTTTGGCGCCTGAACCACATCTCCAACTGGCAGATGATGGATAACGAAATGGACGAGTGAGTAGTCTAATTGCTAGCAATTCCTCTTTAACGAAAAATGCGTCAGAATCCGGGAGATCTTGTGGTTTTTCCAGCGCAGCAATCAGCTGGTCGATCGAAAGAGAGTCATGTCAATGGAATCCCCTGACGCTGTCAAGCGTGCGCTCGACGACGATCGAAGAATCTACTCTACTCTCCGAAGCGACTTGGAGGAATTCGTCAAATGGGTTTCTGCTCCTGTAGCCAGATCCGAAGCCTTTACGTATCGGAGTTCCCCGGAGTCACACTAGAAAGAAGGAAGGAAGAATTTTTATTCTGATCACTGTCCCTAAAAAGGAAACAAACCAGAGTCCGTACGCGTGCATTACCTACCTAATGCACTACGCTATGGTACCGAACAAACACTGAGCCTCATTGACAGAGTCATGTCCTCACAAGGTACGGCCTCCCAGCACTAGCATCAAATGATCGACAAACGAGAGGGTCCAGAGATGAGTTCAATAGTTATGTGGCTGAAATCCAGGGTGATGATCTTCCGTGTTTACGCCGTTAAGCTGTCAAAGACACAGTTACGGAATAATGCATCACAGAAGCCCATCGGGGATCCGTACCCATGCCTTCACACGAGAAGCATTGCCCTAGAGTAGCAGGGCACTAGCGCTAGATCTTAGATCTGTGACCGGCCTACAACGAGCAAGCGTCGATGTATGGAGATAGAGGGAGATGTAGGGGGCCTGGAAATCTGACTGGGATTTGCCGAATCTAAGAACGGGGATCCCATATTTGGATTTTGGTGGTGCACCTCGACCGTGGCAATGCATTTCTGTGCCGCTGCTTAGCTTATAAGTACTGTAAGATTTCGACCGTAGCTTCATGAGGTGTTACGCATTATGGTATATCGCCAAATGACCATAGCTTCATTCACTGGGAGATGACATAAAGTTACTATACTTAGGATGTCCGGCGATATCCGGACCCGAAATTTGCCATATTGAGCAGATACTACACGCTTGTTAAGTTAAAGTTACGCGTTACGAAATGCGGGGAGCTTCACTGGCTTCACTTCACAGGTCTCGTTAATGTGAATTAATGGTCGAATAATGCAGTACTGATTTTTGAGTGGTAACATCTAGCAACATATTACTTATTGTGTTGTTCCGAATGGTGTGCCATCGGAACAGGTATTGTAAAATATAAGTACACCAGACTTTTTAAATGAATCTATGAAGCAGTAATGCCAAAACACGTCGACGCTGTCGCGGTGCATCACCAAGATCCAAATATGGGATCCGCGTTCTGGGATTCGGCAAATCCCTAAACGCATCAAAGGAGATTCAAAGTCAGATTTCCAGTCCGCTACACTTCCCTACATCGACGCTTGCAGGTCTAGCTAGAACATGGAGCTGATGATATCATACACCCATGTATCTCCCGTAACTCCTTAGAGAATTTCCTATTCTGGCGTCGTCTTAAGGCACGCAGATTAAGTAAAGCGAAGAGTTGATATCTATGACTTGTGTGTCACTCCTGGCAGAAGGCATTTTGGAGCCAGCCAAAGTGCAAGGGAAACAATTATAACACAGATCACATTTCAAGCTTTTGACCACAGCCTCGGCTTTACCATCAAAGGGAATCTTGACTCATTTTGCTATGTTCAAAAGCGTTAATCAGAATTTGATCTGTTATCCCGAGGTTTTTGTCGGATTGGAAACAGCCGCTTACTAGGAGTGTGTCTGCTCGTGCCTACCGGGCCTCTAGAATTTACTTGAATACATGTAAGGTTGGTTGTGTGCCTTCCTGAACGACAAAAACTAAGAAGTCCATCGATAGAGCTGCATGCAGCCGGTCAACTACAGGGACGCTAAACCTTGTCCATCCTGGTGTGAGTATCAACAGGATCCCGTTCGTGAGAGACAGCATCGCTCCTATTGGCATAATTATAAGCTACCTATGGATTCTACAGCTTCCGACAATTCTTCTTCGATGTTTTTGCGTCCGGTAAGGGCTTGTGGAAGCGAAAAGCGATTCAAACAATCACGGAGTTGTCTTACTTGGTAGTCATAACATTTACCCGGGGAGGCGAAAACATTGAAAAGGTGATCAATCAAGACAGCGGACCAGGAATCAGTCTCTCCCCCTGACAATGGAACCTCCTCCGTGGTGTGTAGTCATAGCTCCTCCCAACCTCTCGCCGGATCCCCCAGCAGAACACTGGGAACCGGGTGTGTTTGCGAACAAAATGTAAGCCACATAAAATCATGACTTGCTGTCCTCATGTCAACGCATAGGCCCTTCCTTGTGGGAGGGAAAAAAATTAGACGTTTCCCTCTGTCTATTGCTTGTGAAAGCTTAGACGATGCGGTACGCATCGATGATTGCCTTAATCCTTTTGTCGCTGCACACGCAAACGATCCCCTACCGATCTTCTTGAATACTCTCGCCCATCAAGAGGAATGGAAAAATGTTGTGGAATCGCTAACCGTTCCTGGACGTAATTTCTGGGCAGTGATCCTAGGCTCCTGGATAGGCATCTTCTATAACCGGTAAGATCCCACGAGTTCAGGTGTATCGCTATACATCTCATCAACATGTTCGAATTTTCACAGGGAACGGGTGGAAGCAAACCTTCGCGCTGCACCCAGGGCCAAATTACGAAGAGCAATCAAATTCGAGAGCATTCACATGGCATTGGCCTGTCAGTTGAGTGGCGGGGAAGACAGAACTGGTGAAATACAAGAACTTTCACGCTGCTCACCCCAACCATATCGCAAGGCCAAACAGGCGATCCCTTCAACTCCAGAAACACCGCTTCCATTGTTAGGTAAGTCCCATAAAAAATTCCTTCTAAGAGATCACTGACAATCCTCTTCAGGGCGTGGAAGCTCAGCTTGCCTGGAGAAAGTTATGGAGAGACTTGAAATTGACTCAGGTAATATCCTATACGCACTCCCTGTATCTACCATCAACATCCGATCAACAGCTGCCAATCTCTCCCCATCGGCCAGTTCAAGCAGGGGAAAAAGAAAGGCTGATGTAGGGGTGGTACTTTCACCCCTCCTGTCTCAATATGTGAAACTCCATCATGACGCCGAGACAAAATTTGCCATTGAATGCGCCCTGAGGAACTGCAAGAGGTTGGAGGATTTTGGGGATGAAATGCTCCTCGCTAATGTTTCCAAAGAGAATTCACTGTTTATATGGAATTTACATTTTGCAGAACTATGATACTCTATACTACATCGGTGCTCCCTAAAAGAAACGTAACGACGTCCGTACTACAGTTAGTTCCTCTGGAAAGGTATAACACTGGCTAGATTACTGTGAGAATAACTGATTGCTACAGGACAGAGCCTACGCCGGGCTCTGTCGCTTTGATAAAACCCTATCGTGAGTACTCCCTCACGGCGTCGGCGATGACAAGGTGAGAAATTAGAACAAAGGCACAGATTTCCATAGTGAAAACATATTGTGCACAAAGCTAGCTGTAGGATCGAGGAGATCTTTGGTCTCAATGGCGGAGAGCCCAGTCCTTTCAATGCGGGGAATGAGGCATAAACTGTGTTAAAGAACGCATCTCGGCAATGCGTTGCAGTACCGTGGAGGCATAGAAAGAGTACATGAATGACATCTTCGACGTCGTCATGACACATTCTGCAGAGTCACCATTGTCATGCAAACCCTACCCACTTTCCTCGTCCGACAGTAAGGTCCTGTGTTCCTGTGATAGCGCAGGTACGGGCAATTCGATGCAGATGTTGAGGTAGTGACGAAATGCCGCCGAGGCTGCTTGGCAAGCAGGGCTGTGGTTGGCGAGCCAGTTTTCAAATCTACAATTTGATCTTTCCACATGGAATCAATATCTATGATGACTTCATTCACTCATTCCGAAGAAAAGAAGATCCGATGCACCCACTGGGATCAGGTGGTACAAACGACCAAGAACCGAGGTGATATCACTAAACCAGATCCTCTTACCGATGTTCCATAAGCATCCAGCCCAAGGGGAGCGAGTTTTGAGCTACTTCGTTCTGAGAGGAGACAAAGGAGATATCACAGCATTTCGCCGTATTAGTATCATCCGACGGTAACGTATCGGTGTAAACCCCGTCTAAGAGAACAAGATTGTCATAGAGTGTTTATGCATGTGGAGGAGGCGGCACATAAAACCAATCTGGACCTTCTCTAAATATGAGTACTACCTGAATAACTGCAGGATGATACTGCCAGCAGCACCGGCGGATCTGGATCGAGATCTCATATTTTTTGCATATTTTCCAAAACCTGCAGGCCGGATCTGTCTTGGATCCATCCATGCTACACCTTAGTCGGCGGTCACAACAACAATTGTGTGGTAATTAGGTGAGTCGGGAGCATGGAAACGTCAAATTTCCAAGTACAAATCCTGTACCGAATAGTACATTCCATCCTTCACCAGCTCGGACGCTAGATAGAGACGGATGTCATCTACATCACCGCCTGTATCCCAGCCCGCGGGAAGTCTGGTGTGGTCTTTAAGTTTCAGGTCACCATGATACACATGCATCAGGTAAGTCAGCGTGAAAATCCCGCAATCGTAATTATTGTTTTGAAATTGGGGAACCTATGAGCAACCCACGGTGTTAGTATTAGATCGAGAGAAAAAGACACACCTACCGGAAAGTGTGGCTGGAATGTCCAGGTGCTCCATACCATTGGAGGCTGTTTATTTTCCCACAATAAAGCGTCTACGAGTCTTTGAGCAAGCTGTACAGCACTGAATCAGACAGCCTCGAATAACTCCATGATGTTAATAGCAATACCCAAACGATTTCCCGATTGTGGCTTTGCTGAACGCGCAAGGCAGCTGCGCGCTCTATGTCGGTACGACCACAATCCGCCGTGTTCCAGCTATCGTATACAATGATCGATCCAGCTTCAAAATCAACGCAAGCAGCTTTCCAATGACAGTTGTTGAAATTGATGGGGAAAACGAAACGCTTCCAGCTTGATGGGTCTGCGCCGCATTCCTATATAGTAGCGGTCAGTAATGGCCACAAGAATTATATCAAAATAAACCCGAATGACTTTGAGAGGGGTCCATCGACGCATGCATTTCACATCGAGCTGGCCACGTGTCTGAAATAGATGCTGAGTGAAGAAGTACGTGTTGAACACCAGGATATCAGGTCGCAATCCGTGAGGTGTCAGGAGAAATTTATCAATGAAGTGATTAATAATGTGGTCGTTGATCCATTGTCCGGAGCTTAAGCGAGCGATATCCCGTGGCCCACAACACCCTTTCCACACCTTCGAATTGACTTTGAAATGATCGTCTACCTGTGTAAGCTGAAATTTGTGGTACTCCACGTTGTATCCGAAGTAAAATGAGTCACCGTACCTTGTCCAGAAAATACAGCTTATCCTGTATTGGCGGGGATGTCTTCACGGTCAAACAAGTGGCGAGATAGTCGTCGATTGTCTTGGTACCCCTCGAAAATTTTTGACGCATGGATTGATCAAGGAGAATCTCCGAGATCTTCATACAGATACCTCTAACTCTGGCCAACACTTTATACGTGTCCGCCGTCAGGCTTGCGGGGTTTAGGTTTCCGAATGAGAGCGTCTGTAGGTCCGCCGTTTCAGGGTCCATGCCATTCCTGACCAAAGTCGCACCTTCGCGCACCTTCGAGGCTTGAATTCGTTGGCCTGTGGTTGGAAGATAAAAAATAAGATCTGCGAGAAGAGCTCTCACTTGGAGATCAAGCGACAGCATTGACGAGTCGTGATTCACAAGTAGAGTGTCATTAATGCAGGCGTAATGCTTAAAGGTCATTGTCAGGGACCTGTCGACATAGAAAGGTTTAGGGGAGGGAGAAGCCCAGGTAGCTGCGGTGTAGTTTCTAAACTTGACATATTCTCCAATTCTCTGTACCTCTGCACTCTGGGGTTGTGTTTCCGCACTCGTCCCTTGTTTGAAGAGGTAGGCCTTGGTTATTCGAAAGCCAGCTGCTTCCTTTCGTGCGCTGACCTTCCTACGTATAGTTGAGTCCATTTTCAGCGATTTGCACACTGGAATTCGCCGGACATACTTCTGGTACTGATCTCGACGAGCAGCGTTCCTTGTGGAGGTTCTATGATCCATACACTTGTATCGAGTCGAATGGCAGAAGATTGGCGAAGGTCCTCCCCAGAGTCCTGTATTCTCGAATCCAAAGTCGGGAATAGTCCGAATTATCAGGACCCTGGTTAGCCGAACCGTGGTGCTGCAATACCTACCTGCCTATTACTGTTCAACTCGCTTCCTAGAAAGATCTAGACGTCATCACTTTTCTGATGGGCAACGGCGGCTAATAATATCAGCTGCTTCTGAATTGTGGAACTGAGATCGTGCTACTACTTGTTGCCGAATCGGACCTTTCCAGTGGCACGACTGAGGTTATGACATGATATCAGCGTGAAAATGGAACTGCCGCTTGAGCGCCGCCATCGTTTCGCATTTAGTCTATCAGTTCATCGATCTTGGGTGCATCTGTCGTTTCCGGACGACTCGGCACCATTAGTACCCACCCGACAGTCGCCCTGGCCAACCCTCATCTTATATTAGTTCCCAATTTTACTACGGAGATACCAGAACTTGAATTTATTGGCAATTACATCCCGTCCGAACTCCGAGGGCCGCGTACAATCTCTAGTCAGGCCGGTATCCCCTCGTCAATGATGCAATTTCCTGGTCATGACTCGAGGTAAAAACCCATGAGAGTATAAGTGGTAGAAACGATACCTTGTCTCTGGAGCGGTCGGCAAGAATCCCAGAACACGCGAAGATATCTCTTTTAAACTCCGTACATCCAGGAAAATGTCGGCATCTCAGTCAGTCTTCAGGTGGGTATACGTAGTGTCACTCCATAGTTTGATACGAGGAACTGGGACTAGAGATCAACCGTCATATCGTCATGGAAGAAACAGCAGTCACACCAATGAGCTTCTGGGGCATGTTGCTCTCTGTGATGGTCATTGGTAGACTAAGAGCAGGTTGGTAACGAGGATTATATCCTGGGTTTGGCACGACTAGTCATGGGATGCCATCGATTACGGCAACTTCAATTCTAGTCAAATACCAGTTCGGAAGCTACTTAGTGTGATCCTTCTGCGGATAGACCGAATCGAGTGTAGCCAACAGAGTGTTTTCCGTTTTGAAATGATTCATTACACGTTCATTTGATGAATCTACCTGTATTCTATCACGGTGGACATCACTGTGCAGGTAACACCGCTTTCAGGACCCTCACTTCCGCTGTTGTATACAGCTGGAGGTAGGTAGTAGTAGGACCACAAGGCGATTATAACAGTAGCCAATGGTATGACAAACCACATTGTTTTCCGGTCTCCCTGGAGCATGAGCATACTCATACGATGCAATTTGAGTCGATTGTCCCGTCTGCGCCAAATTCTAACACAGTTTCGATGACCCACAGGTAGAAAGTATTGGGTACCCTGTTGAACTAGTCGCGCACAAAAATCTTCTAATCGGGATTCTCTTTTTAGCTGGTCGAGAATAGGAAATATAGTGAAGTCTGACCTGGTTGAGATCTCAAAAAGAACACCCTCCACATACCGTCCGTGAGGCTGAAAATACAGACATCGGCCTCAAAAGTTGCGAAGACCACCTCGCTATTTGATGTCCATACTATAGATCGTGGGCGATTCGGTCCCTTAGAAAGGCCACTAAACGGAAAGTTTACTCGATTCCCATCGTGTAACGACGCCACTGAAGCCGAATCCTTTAGATTGCCTAAGGTGGTAAAAGCGAGAAATTTTCCGTCAGGCGAGACATCAGAACGTCCGCTATATTTCCCCATTTATTGGATAGCAAACTAAGACAAAAACGGCAGTCTCACATGTATCTTTGAAGATCAAGGCATCTCTGCCACTGGAGGCCATCTCTTCGGAAGAAACTTGACAAAAAAGACAGGGTAATATGAGAGGAGACCTGAAATAGCACACAAGTATAATACTTACTGACAGATTCCGTTGCCGAATGTTACCAGAATGGTATCACGGAGGAAGTGGATGTCGGTTGGAACCGCCATGTCGGTGGTATCACGGTCTGGTATTAACACCTCTCGGAGATGGCCCAAGATGGTAACACCATCTATGTATAGTCGTGTTAACATAGAATGATTTTGATGCTGATAACGCGCGCGCACCATGTACCTCACGATCAGCGACTAATAACGTTCCAGATCCCTGCGTTTCTGATGTCGTCGAGGGTTCCTTGAAGACCGAGACAAGAGCACGGTGATACATCTCATCATATTTCAATGAAATGATAGGACCAGTATAGCGCTTATCATGGATAACAAACGACTCGTCGGGCTATTATCAAGTATATTGACATGGGTACGAAATCGGAATGCTGCAGGGCTCACTGGAAAATTGTTCTCCTGAATATCCTGTACTGATTGTAGCAGGACTTGGCCCTTCGACGTCCCCAACATCAGCCATGTACCTTTGGCATCCTCTGGTTTTGACGTCCTAAATGAAGAGGCCACGGCGCTAATAAAACCATGACGATCGTCGGTCCGAAAGGTGAATATAAGAAACCAAACTCCGTCTTTGACATCAAAAACAAAGTTGTCTTGGTTCTTCCAGCATACAACGAGTAGATTGGACGAGCATAAATGAATACAGGAGAGTTGATCTGACGGGTCCTCTCTGGGCAATCGAGAATAAAAAGAGCTCCACTCCAGCGTCTGAGCATGTTTGAAGGAAGGAAGGTACACAGATGGGTTTGGAAATGGGTCGATGGCTTTGAACTGTGACATGTATACATCCGACGGGGAGGCAACTTCAAGTACGAAGTAAAGGTCATGCTTCTCCGGGCGCAGCCCTAAGTAAGGTTTCAATCATATCCGGTTCAATTCGTATTTTAAGCTTGCAGAGCCGCTGGACTTTGTCCGACAAGTCAACAAGGATAGAAGGTGCGGAGAACACTATTGTGAATCGAGATAACAGATTGCATCAAGATCTGCTTGCAATCGATCCAAATCAAATTAAGTGCGATTTTAGATGTCAGTGTTATTAAATTCGGTGGGTGGCGTAGGTGATGGCAGTTATGTACGTCGTAGATTCTACTACTGTACTACATAATGTCTGCAACCGGCATTCAGTGTGTGAACGCCACCTACCTCCCTACCCGATATATGGAGATCTTTATCACTGGCCTAGCCCCTTCCCTTCTAGTAACGTCAGACTCTTGTTGCTGCTGTGGGCGCGTTGTTGTTACATGTTGGCTCGTAACTCCAGTGAGCGAATCAAATCGAGAGATCTACAATTCGATCAAGGGATCAACATCAGTGTTGGTTCTCCCGCCTCACATTTCGGTATATCTCCATCCGTCGGAGAATATATCATCTCAAGCCAAAAATCGTCCGTGCTCGTTCATCCCTCACACTAGGAGTATAAAGTCGAAACTGCAGTACCATTTACCCGAATCCATGAATCGTAGCTCTGAAGACAGCGTTTATACTACAAGATATGGTAAGCAAACCGTGCGTAGTCTTTTGTAGTCGTATCGGAGATTGCTTGTTTAGGACGTCGTATAAACCCTCTTGTACCCGTCGCTTCATCGTCCAGCTCAAAACCGACAGCATCATCATCTACAATAAGGAAGAAGGCACCTATACAGACGCCTTTGACCCCAAAAGTGAAGCCAGTAAACTTTAAGCACACTCAACCTTCTTCGGCAGACTCTAACCGTTATGATCATTCTGATTTGGAGGTGTGTGAGTCTCTACGAAAAGCTCTCATACTGATTAGCAATAGGAGCCTCACACTCCACATCCCGTGGCACTATCAGACGATGACCAAGATCCTACTCCAAGAGCAAAGGACAAGGGGAAGGCACCGATGCGACCGATTCCTGATCCGTTTACTGCAGGTCAGTCGGGATACCATCTTTCTGTATGAGTGATCTACTGTGTTCCCTCATGCACGATATTGATTCGAATTTAGCCCTCGGAACAGGCCTTGGATGAACTGGGACGAAATATTGGGGTTCAACTTGATGGTTTGCAAGAGACGTTCATTTCCTCTGTGGAAAAACTTTCCGGTAATCTCTGTCGTGGGTTTGACGACATCAGCGTTGCATTGCTTAGGTCTCAAAGAGAGATGTTTGACACATTCTTTCATGCTTCTTCTGCCCAGACCCGGAAGGACGCCGTACCTACATCCCCTATCGAACCTTCCGGTCCTGACCCTTTGAAGGGGGAGCACAACGATGAAGAGATCAATTCGGTTACATCTGAAATGTCGCTGGAGGACCTTGGTTCCTTGGCGGACGACGAAATGCCAGTTGAGGAAGCACCAGATGTTGAAGATAATTTTTTTGACTCTGGAAAATTTGATGGCCGGGAGGTTCCGAACCGAGATACTAAGCACCGCCCTCCTGCATTAAACGAGCTCGCGGTGAGAGCTTTTTCTACAAATTTCTGAATTTTACCAATATCTTAGCAGAAGGACGTACGGCTCGCAGTTGAGAAGCTCTTGGGTGGCAAGAGTAACATGTATGTCGAAAGGGTGACTGAGGAACAAGCGGCAACTTTTCATGAGCAATGGGTAGCCAGCAATGGAACTGCAGACTGCTGCTCAGCGGACAACTTCTCTATATGGCTATCCCGTGATCCCGCATCATCCTGGAACAAATCAGCTGGACGGGTTTTTGCCAGAGATATTATGGAAAAAATTCAAGCCGATCCAAACAACAGCAGGGTACGGGAGAACCTAGAAAGGCATTTTTATAAGAGGATGAAAAGTATTCATCGGACTTACATGGAAAAGAAGAAGCCCTCTCATGTGCAGGCCCAATTGAAGGACATCCGTGCTAAGAGAAACCGGCGTGCCTTGGCGAGTCGTTTTTTGTTCCATTCATAAGCGAGTATACTAATCATAAACATCTACGAACAGCTCTTTAAGCGACGCCTCACAGTCTGCGTTCGCCACTCAGAGATGCATAGACACGTGCAGATAATGAAGTGCTTGGGTTCGGATGGAATGTCCAGTGACGAACCAGAGCCGGGAATGCCTCAGACTCACATGACTTACCGCCGAAAGCTGTTGCCTTGGCATAGTGGGTCGCTGATGGCTTTGCTCCGCCTCTTCGATACTATTTACCAAACTGACTATCGACTTCAGCCTGACCACACACCTACTTGGGGAAAGATGCCTCGACTACGTGAAGGTCATCAAGCCTGCCGTAGTTCGGACTTGAAGTATGTTCCTGGCCTCCCTATAAATGCGTACGACAAAGGATGGATTCTCAAACGAGACCATGTGTTCCTACGTGATAAGGTGAAACCTACCAAAGAACAATACGACTTCTCGTTATCAGCAGAAATGGCGAACCTGTACGTAGTTTCCCAAACTTCAGGACTCATTCTAATTTGATCTAGATACACTTGAACCTGAGTTTGCTGTACGATCATGGATCGCTCGCGGCCGTGAATACGTTGTAGAAAAGACAACGAATCTGTGTTGAAAGAATCAGGCACGTCCGGTACATATTTTGGTAGTCTGGCGAGGTGACTGTATAGATACTCTCGGTACGCGTAACTGTGCATAAACTTTGTAACTCGAAATCGCGTTCCAACTTTTCTTGAATGGCGGGGGAAGAATGGTCATCGGATTTTCTCTCGATGTATGTCGCGAATTCTGAAAAAGTCAATGGTAAGCATACCAGAATATGACAGGACGTGGTAGAATAATAATGAATATCTTGTACCAAAGTATCGTAAAAAACCTAATTTTACCCACATCCTTACAGGGATATTCCTCTCGTCCTAATTTACGGAAAGCCAGGAAAGAGTGTTGGAATTACTGTGGCTGTACGAGCCGTCGGAATCAACCGGCTCCGAACCCGTTACGTACCGTACCCGCAGTTTTCTTTTCTTTACCGTTTACCACCATGTCGACATACTAGGTATAAACGAGTTGCTCATTTTCGTTCCCTCCCGTGCTCGAATCTCAACAAAGAGGTAGCGTGGCAAGCCATTTGATTATAGCAATCGCTGAATACGGCACATCAAATATCTCGAGTCCTTCAGCGAAAGCCAGGAGGATTTACGAAGCCGTAGTGTCACGCAACAACGAACAGAGAAGAAAAGAACGAGTCAAAGTGACTACATGATGGGTAGCACACGGAATTCTTTTTACGTTGCGAGGTCGGACCGCCACGAACAAGAGCACGATTTCAACTAGACCAGTTGCTCAAGGGATTCCACGAAATGAAGCGCCGCGGTGGACATGCCTTAAGTTTCTGGGGTACTCATATCTTCCATGAATCAACGTCATCGAAGAATTCTTTTTCCCTTCTGTAACGTGCTTCTTCTGCGAGTGAAAAGAGCGACGTGAACTTGGTCATAAGCATGGTTTCGCGCACTTGGAACAAAGTGTTTTAGGGATCTCAGAATGTTGTTCATGTCTTACGGTTAATAACTAAGTAAGATGCAAGACGCGTCCTTTCTCCTTCATAAAAACGTCAGACTGTCAGCCTAGCGAATAGTTAATGAACGTCTAATAGTAGCAGTAGTCGCCGTCGCAAGTGGTCCCTAAAAGATTACTATGTACTAGCATACTCCCCCATGAGTGATCACACACAGATGACCGGAGTTTTGAACCGGGTTTGATAACATCTTAGAGCCTGTTCGGTAACATTAATGTGGGAGTTAATGTGCAATTTATATACCGGAATGTAAATAACCCCAATGTGACACCTTTGTGACTTATCCGTGACTCTTGCGCTCTCGCCCAATTCTCCACGCATTCCTTCATCACAACTACTGCTATGGCACGTGGACGCGGCGGCAAAGGTGGCAGCACCCAAAAAGGCAACGATAAAACTTCTAGCACCACCAGGAGGCCCCGGGGACGCCCAAAATCCACTCGGAACGCGTCGCAAAGCCAGGATGGATCTATTCAGTCAGCTGACAGCTCCGAGGCCATCAGCACGGCTAACGACAATGCTTCTTGGATGCCGGCGGATGTAGAGTGCATGCTAGAGGTGTTGGATGGTCACAAAGCAGCTGCTGGAGACGGAGTTAGCTTCAAGGCAGTGGTCTGGAATGCCGTGATGGATGAGTGCAATAAGATCCTTACGGAGGTAGAAAGACTGCTACTGCACGTAAAAACAAGTATGGTCAGGTGCGTACTTCCCTCTGTCCCGATCTCTGTTTTCTCATGTGCATCTTGAAGCTTGTGAGGACTTTCAACATCATTTGCGACATCAAGCGTGTTTCCGGGTGGCATTGGAGCGATGAAACTGGTGCATCCATCAATGCTGAGAGCGCTTCCACATGGGATGACTACGCTCGCAAGCATAAAGGTGCTAAGCCCTTTCATAACCATGGGTGGCAGTACCTGGGAGCGATGGAGAAGCTTCGAGGGTCCTCTGAGCCGAAAGGAAAGTATATATTCCGTCCCTCGCAAGGAGATATTGGTGTGGCTAATGAGACATTGCGAGATATGGAGGCAGACTCTCAGGATCCGGAGGTAGCGTCTCAGCCGTCGATTGATGGTCGGGAGGGTAGTCAGGAGTGGGACGATAACCTCTTTAGTGGTCAGCATTCCACAGGTGATGATGGAGAAGAGACTCAGGTGAGCTATAATGCTTTATTAATGCATAGTATTCTATCACGTTAATGAAAACTATCAGGAGTCCACATCGCAAAGGCGAACATATTGGGTGTAGAAGGGAGGAGAGGATAGGGCTGTTACGATTAATTTGAAGTATCTATATCAAATAAATGAGTCACAAACACTTTCAAAGTCATACCAGGACATACTTAGCAATAGTTTCATTGGAACGTTGAAAACGTTCACCAACATGTCGTACAGACAGTCCTGTAACACACATATACAGAAAAATCGCAACCTGTTCCTCCAGAAAAACATTGCGAGTCTTCCAAGCCAGAAAGCAAGCGAAGTTCAGCGATGAGTTATATGAATACATGTAAATGCATTCCCAACTCCATCCTGATTCTCTCTGGATGCCCATGAACAAGCTCATTAACCCATGCAGCACCAGAAAGTGCTGATGTATGATAGAGCTGAGTCCAATAGGATGGAGATGCATACAGGAGGATAGCAACAGTCATGAGCTGGATATAGTATGAAGCTGCAGCTATTATGGCATGTCGACGCTGCATCTGGCCTGGCATCTGATGCGGCATGGTGAAGGAATTGCGTGACTAGGAGGTTGAATACCCGTTTTGGATGTCACACGGAAGATGCCGAAATCACGCTCTAAGGATCACATGGCATTTAAATTGCACATTAATTCGCACATTAATGTTACCGAACAGGGCTCTTACTTAGTATGGATGTCGTTACGCTCCCGCACTGGCAACCAAGAAAATTTACTTCCTTCCGATCTTCGATCAAGCTGGATAGATATACGTGATGGTTTGGCAAGATATGAGATATGATTAACCGCGCGTATGTAACAAGCTCTCCGGTGTTCGGATCAAATTTGAACTCCTGTTTCTGGAGAAGTGTTGGCATTTGATCCAATCTATTAATCTTGCACAGAACCATGGTCGCTGACACCGCTTCCGTCGAGGTCCTCAGACACAGTGGTACATTTGCACCCGTCCTCTTTTCTCTCACAGAGCCGACATCGACAATGCTTCGATACCCATACGATCACATCTTTCATCACAGCGTGCATGTGATTCTGGCGTCTTGTACGGTATGTATCGATCAGAGCCTGACGCCGCTTCACAGGAACATCCATACGCCATCATCTGAATTTGAATGAAATTGCAGCTATGGCGTTGCGGTACCAAATTTCTGCCTAAAGGGAATTCTGACAGATGCCAAAGAGTGCAGCCGTTGTGAACACATGTATTACCTGCTCGTCGTTACATAACGTAAGATAGAAGGCGAGTAACAAAAGACAAACATTTGACTATATATATTACGGACAAGTTCACCCGGTAGGTGGAACATGTCGCGAAACAGCAAGGATGTTTGGTTTGCACAGAAATAGACCTGAGACACGGTCCCTCGGTTCAATGAGCAAGCGTCTGCAAGCGTCGATTGTTAGTGCATCGCTGTATACACCAGGTGCATTGACACCGAAATCGGTTACACGACGGGAGGGCATTTCCACGCCACTTTGAACATCATGATCAACAGAAGGCGCATAGTTGTCGATCAAAGGAGCTGTATCCGAAGAAAGTGGTGACAACGGATTACTGATGACCTCAATGGATGGAGATCGGATTCGAATCCAAGGAGGTGAAGCCGGGTGATTTTTGTCTGACATCTGCAAAGGGATCCCTTCGATGCCTTTTTGCCATTTGGATGAGTCAGAAGCGGGAGCTCCACTCCCTAGCTCGGACCTGTTCTCAGCGTTGCGAAAATCATTGGTTGCGCTACGATAGCCCGAGTAAGTAATATAAAGTTTTAAACCATAAGAACACCGCATACCTTAGTTTCCTTTTCCTCGGCGAAGCAATGACGTTGGACTGCTCTTCGTATGGCGCGTCATCATCTGATTTTGGCAGTTCCATCGGCTTGTCGTCGTTCGATAACGGTAGTGACGTCTGAAACTGACACGAAGTTGAGGGCGTCCAAAATCGTTGCTTTCAAAGCCTCTCTAGTAGGAGTACTTATCGCACTGCTTACCATTTACTTCAGTTCAATTCATAAAGGCGTACATTTGTTACCTATGGACTGCGCGAAGCGACGACTTCGAAAACTTCAGTAATTAATGATGTTGGCGAAAAGAGCTTACATAATGGGCTCCAAAAGTTTGATAACGCACGAGTTTAAAACAGCGCCGGGAATTTCCGTAGCCATAAGCGCCCAATGTGAGTCAGCATTATTATCAATAAGCGCTCGCGGGTCTCCCCGGCGCTGTTTGAATGCAGTCCGTTACCAAATAGCGAAAGACGTTATGTAAGATTTTTCCTCTTTCCTTCTAGCCATCTGGCATTTCTTAGTGCCTGCGTCGCTGATCGTAAGCTTTTGAATTCAGTAGTACGTACATACATGTACCGCGAATAAATTCAGCTTTGGTGTACTTGAAAATTCGCCAGCGTCGAAAATGCGGCGTGTCAGCTCTTCAACTTGAAGTTAGGTGTCTACGCTTTCGCAAGGTACGTCGCTTTGTTATCAAGGTTAATGTGACGCTCACCCGAAACAGCCCGCTTTTCTAGATCCTGGAAGAATTCCACGTCACTCCTCTGAAAAATGAAGACGAAGGCGGCTTCGTCGCGCCTGATTCGTCGACCACCTCTAACCTCTTTGCCGACTTATATGCTACAACCGTGGGCGAATATGGATGGAGCAGCCTCCTGAAGAGGGCAAGGACCCATCCAAGCGTCTCCGAAAGCCCTAGGGATGGTAATGAAGAACTCAAACTCAGTCTTTTGGATGCGCTCCACGGCGGGCCCTTTTGAGTAAACTTTGGCCATTCTGGTCATGATATATCTGAAAACGGCCTAGGGGGAATCCGTCGTGTTACAATTTAGAAAGTTATCAATGCCATGGCAAGTAACCGTTCGTGTCTATTAATATTATCCAAGTAGTAACAGTCACTGTGAACAGAAAACAGTCCCCCACGCATCTGGGGTCAATTCATGTAGAAGGAATACGTCAGAGCTCGTAGTACAGACACTAGTGCCCTTTCGCCTAATAACGCTGTTGGATAATTAAGCTCACTTCCTTCCTTGCGTACCATTTCGCTTATGAGAAGCCGGGCTTACCATACGATTAGATATTCTATAACTCACACATGCATACCATCTTCAAATATGATATTACAAGGGCAACGGCACGAAACCCGACTCCAAGGACAATTCATATATATACTGACTGGTCTATCAGAATTTAACTCCACTAAATTTCCGTCTAGACATCAAAATCTGTGTCCCACTCGAACTCGTTGTCAAGTTCTATATCGTCATCCCATCCCCATGCTTGTCCCTGTGTTTCAGCCTCTGAATCCTCGTCCGCATCCGCATCAGCATTCTCTCCGACATCATCTACCTGGTCATCATCTTCGGCTTCTTGCTCCAAGGCCTGTAATAGATCCTTGCATTGTTGAGGAGTGAGGGTTACATCTCCGCTCCCTGCCCGCAAACGTCGCAGGGTCACCCTCTGCAACGCGGCAAGTGATGGAAATTCCGCCACTATGGCACTAAGTAGGGCCAGTAGCATGCGAGCCCTAGGTATAGAGCTTTTCAAGTTATTGATAATGAGCTCTCGGAGCTGAGAAATGGCAATGCGCGCCATGAAATGAGTGATTTCTTGGGGCGTTAAGAAACCAAGAGTCAATTCCTCGACACGGGGTAGTGAAAATTTTGGAAAGTCATCGTCAAAGAGCTCCTGAGCATACGTTTGTGGATCCGGATACAAAGAGCCTTGGAGGGATAGTGTCTGTAGCGAACCTCCATTTTGCTGGAGAATATGCTCGAGGCGTCGAGGGTGCAGCCTAAATGGGTCAGACATTTGAGTGATACTGAGAGAGGTGAGGTGATTTAGTTGAAAGTGACTCCAGCGACACAGTGCTCCTTCTAGGTACAGGTGCTGAAGGGACGGGAAGTGCATGTTTCGAAAGATATCGATCCGATCTTCTGGTCCCGCCATGTCAGGAACGATTCCTGCCTCTGCACCATCGAAACTGGAACACCATCTATTCAATATCGGAAAGTTCGTGCCTTCCAGTGCCCGCAAAAAGGCAGAATGTACCTCCCACGGAGTGGTCATTAGGGAGAACCCTTTCAGCCGTGCTGCTTGAAGTTTCAGCATGTTCCCCATGGTATTGGCTCGGTCGTTGATGATAGCAGACAAGCGTCCTGGGCTGGCAGTTATGGGTGCCTCGACACGGAACGCAAGGCTGATCGTGAATGGACGGCCCCATTCCAATGATTTCAAGAGGAATAATGAGAAAAGGCAGGTTTGGGGATCATATGGGCGGGACTCTGGTGTTATGTGGTACCGTAGGCTGATGTCTTCCCAGAGGAAATGACAAGAATTGACAACAGCCCTCCATTCCCGGCATACCAACGATAGCGTGGTTTGTACCGGGCCTGGGTAGATTTCATTATCGTATATGACCGTATTCCTCTGGGCATAAGCCAAGCGAAAAATATAGGAAATTATTTCGAGAGGAATGCGGTTGATAATGGGTACGGGCATAATAGTATTCATGCGAAATGAATGGGACATGCTGCAACGGAGGTTCAGTGCCAAATCTTTATGATTCAAATAGATGCGTTAAGGAACTCCTACCTTCGGAAGAAGGCCGAGTCAACTATAAAGCGTTGGGTGTAGCAGGCGGATTTAATCAGAGTCGAGACTTGGGATTCTGGGGATTAAATCCTACTTACAATGAACAATCTAGGTGTTATTTAAGGATGTTCATTCCATTGGTCACCAGGACAAGAAGATCGGAGAACCGGATACGCTGCTGAAACTTCAAACTTGGAACCACCCAGCGCGGAACCATAACGATGAGTTATTTTCCTGTTTATCTGACTTTCCGCATCGAGAACACACGGATCTTTATACAACCAATCGAGTAGACACCAAATTATGGGCTACTTCGTTCTGCTCTGCATCCGATCCAAAGTTGACTGACGGGAGCCTATGCTAGCAATGTTACGGCACTTCAGGGAATATCAGGGGCGTTCCTGGTCCTAAAATATATTTGATGATGCCTTTTAATTGGGTTGACGCACAAATCTGGTATCCGCTTGTATTTCGTTAGGCGCTCGAAGTCCTGCCCGTGTCGCCCCCGTGCTCAGCGACAGTCGAAATGATTCGACTACAGCACATGGCACCCCTCCAGGTATATCCTAATTTTGTACCCTCTCGCATGTGCTTCTGATCTACCTTCCGCTAAACGTTTAGCCCGTCATTGGTTCAGGTGTTGGGTACAACACAACACGATACATCGCCAGCTTCGTGTCTAAATGAATGGTAACCATGAGGATGAGGACGTGGACGTAAAGGTGCCCGACTTAATTTTTGTGATCGAAAGTCTGGATCAGAATCGGTGTAAAACAACCCAGAAATAAAATTAATTGATCGTTAGGACTCGAGGTTTGCACGGGAAGGTTATCAAATAAGATATCATTGCCAAATTTAAATGCTTGGCAGGCTTCCTCGGACTGTAAACTAAGAGTGAGAGTCGGACAGGACCTTCCTTGTTCACTTTGATAGGATTTTTAAGGGGACTTCTTATCACTCGCTGAATCAGTGTAACATATCACCATGTTCTATGAGAGGTCGTCTTCTGCAAAATATATTACCGAGTACAAATGCGATATACAAGAGTATGATGGACCGATAAGCGGCTATACTGGAAGCGAAGAGGTTTGCATGCACATGGATTCAATGTCCGTTCGGGGTAACCTTGAACTCCGCAAATCCTGTGGACGTATTTTGTTATATTTAAAGATGTCCTACCGTAATTAAAGGTTTGACGATCAATTGATCTGGCAGAAGCATATCCTCTCCATCCTCTTCATTGGTGCTGGGATCCTGATAGGAGATTATCTGAAGATTGCTCCGTAAGCACAAGCTCAGGCTGGAAAGTCTGCGCCACAGAAGACAAGCCGCGTTCGTATCAACCGTTTCGCCCATATGGCAGCCTCGTTTTGCGTGAGGGTTGATTGAGTTGTTTCTCTCTCTTTGACGTACCTTCCTGAGGACAGAAGGTTTCTCTTTCAAGTACTTCTGGCAACGATTATCCTGAACACAGTTTACAGAGACGACATGAAGTATTACTTCACTGATTCCAATGGCTATAGTCGACCTTGCATGCGCCGAAATGTAGGCATAGAATTCGATGGCATTCGCCATTTCATAGTGACTCCTAACAAAAGATTCTCCGACACCTTTATTCACGAATTCTATACCTTCACAGACTCACCCAGCACAGAGCCTTTCAATACGTCTATCCCAGACATAAAGCGATTATCAATGAAATCTGCACGATTTGCAACACCTGCATTCTTCGACTCTACCCATCACTATCGTGTATATCGTCCCGCAGAGGATGATACGGGCCATTGGGCCTTTGATTTTAAAGATCGATGCGTTCCAGAGCTCACGAGGACGACTCGAGCGGATGGTGTGTCTTACGGCTTGGTGACTAGCTGGGCGGATCTCGTCCGGTCCGACATGCTTGGAGCCAGACTTGTCGTGCATAGCATTTCGACTTGCGGACACTTTCCTCTCAATATGATTGTACCGAACTCCTTCGACCCGCGTTTGGAGATCCAAGGTTTTTGCCCATCTCCAAGCCCAAAGTGCTTTTAGGCGATCGACACGGAGCTAGGAGGCCTAGAAGGAAGGGAAAGGGAAAGGAAGTGGCTTGATTAGTTGTTGAAACGACGTAACGATATCCGTACAAATTAGCTGTCTATAAAGTAGGCTATTATTTCACGCTGGAGGGTTGCCTGTGTTATAACAGCCTGAGTATCGATCGACCAGAAGTGTCAAGTTGACCAGAAGGGTGAATTTTAGTGCTTTTCATTTTCCATGTCGCAATTCTTCACGGGGACATTTATTGTTTTGATTCTGCATAGTTTAATATGCTATCTTAAAGACTGTGTAGTCGTTTGCTTCTAGCACAACCAGAAAAGATATAGCGATTTATCTTAGAACATCGTATAGCTGAGTTTAGCCTTGACAAAACCAGTTCTTTTATCCTGCCGGAAATACAGCAGTCATCTACCCAAGCAAAACTTTCCGAACAAGTATATGATATGTATGTAAAATAAACCCTAGGTGAACGGACGCTCGAAAGATTCGAAGAACAAGAGCTTGTGACTGGGTTTCAAACTCAGACAGTTTCGCTGAACACTGCCGTATTCAGGCTTGGTCTCCCATCAGCAAAGCTGGTGCCGGCAGCACACTTAACACTTCCCCACTAATTTTGACAACTTCACCGGCTACATTTGCTTGACTGCTAGACTGAGAAAAAATTGGCAAGCTGGTGAAATGATCGTTTTATATTATTCATAAATTGATGTTCGCAAAGCTTTCATTTACATATTTGTGATCAATAGTAACTTGAGCCGGCCACACTACGCTAACTCAAATCGTTTCTTAGGCTCACCGGCAAGTTGCGAATGACGATTTCAAGCCATGCGGCACGTCTGGATAGGGAATGCTGATCAATCCGCATTTCTCTTATTGACATTTTTACAATGTAAGGGATTCCATTTTCTTCGATCCAGGAAAGCCACTCGAATGACCGCATCATCTCGGAGGCGGATACAAGCTATAAAAGGGAACTTTCCCATTTTGGAAAGTTTTTTCGTATCACCCAGTGGCCAGTGCTCGCACAGAGGAATCATAACATCTATTGGGGACACGGAGGATGGATGACGATGTCATAGACGTCGTAGTCATAGATAACATGTAACTAAGCAGATCAAACATAAATGAGTCCATCCCAGCATAGATTGATGGATGCCTCGGTCGGCGGGATACAACGGAGAGCAAGAAATTAAAGAAAAATCGGTGAGAAAGCTAATTTCAAGAGATGAAAAAAGCAATGTTTTGAAGAGCGTCGGCAGTGAGAGCAGGATCCGGAGTTCCGCGCTCCTCTTTGATGGATACCAGTATTACTGCTGGCGTGCCGTGGAAAGAGCAAAGAACAGCGATGAAGACTTGGCCAGGCAATGAAGACGAGGGACATGCTGCAGCGGTATTTGATCCAGGACGTTATTGCTGAGGGCGGTTTTGATTACCGCCATCAGACGTGCCACTAGTACTACTACCAACGTAGGTTTGCTCGTTGAAATCTTCTTCGGACCCGATGGGTTCATGATCAGGAAAGATAGCTGAGCGAGACGGACTCGCGTCGTTCCTGTGCATTCTGATGCGACGTCCTCGTCCCTCCTCTCGCTTCTCCAGTTGGGTTTGCTCCCGTTCGTCCCGTTCTTCCGGTCGTCTCTGCTCTCGTTTTCGTTTGTAGGTTTTGGCCATCTTGAACGAAAAGAAATATAAGAAAACGGATGTGATGGTGCAGGTAGAGGTGTAGTTTACCGGGATCGGTGGGGTGAACGGATAGATACATTTTCCCGGTATATATGCTACACGAGAGCCACAGCATCAACGGAATCAATAAAACGGGCATTGTCTGCACAATAGCTCATTATTGAGAAGCCTTTGTGTTTCATCTCTAGCCAACACGACAATGTTCAAGAACGCGAAGCCTGATCTATCCTACCTTGCTGCTGATGGTGACTCGGACGATGTCTTTGTCGGGTTCTTTATGGCCGGATAGAAGCTTCGCTTCGGCGTCGGTGCTACTTTCAGGTAACAAGGCGAAAGGCTCAGATCTAGAATCTAGCCCAGGAACCGGAAGGGGCTAGGTCCGAAAGACGAGTGCCGGCGCGCGACGATGGCAAGCAGATCCAAATAGCGTTCCGAAAAAGGTGAGCATTGGCAGGTAAAAATCTGAATATATGTTGAGCGCTAGCACTGAGCCAGGAGATCATGGGCATCGAGGAGTAGAGAAAGGTTTCATCATCATAAGTCACATTGCCTTTACATCTTGACATTCGGCAGTTATAGAATTATCCGGGACGCGTTGAAGTGTATGGGTGAGAGTGAGAGTCAGGGAAAAGAAGCATATATAAGAGACGTATTTCCACTCCTTCATACTGTTCAAGATACATTACATGCACACAAAACCTACATCCACTCCGTACGCTGAGCCGACTCTATACTATTTTACAGGTAAGATATCTGAACGTTTGAAAGTTCTTTCCCGTGTGCCGACATATAAGATTTCACCCCTGCGAGCGAAAAGTCCTCATCTCTCCTCCTTATTTCCACGTTCCTCAGCAACTGGCACTTATTTTTCGTATTTGTGGAAAGACGATTCCGCAACTTCAGCATGCGTACCAAAGTCTGTGGCCGGAAACTTTCGTCTATTTCGATCGAAAGGGATTCGAGTAATGGAAGGAGGATGGGCTGATCTTCTTGAACGACAAGTTTGTCTAGAATAGACACGTGATTATCGAAGTTGTTTGCTCCTGGAACAGTTTCCATGGTCCACCGCAGGGAAAGGTTTTTCAAGTGAGGTGTTGCGTCCAGAATCTGAGTCGAACGCGCATCCAACGGACGGGGATTTCGGATACGCAACGTCTCAAGTGTGCACCCCGAACGACGGAGGAAAGCAACAACCTTAGAAAAGTTCAAAGGAGCGATGCCCAATGTCTTTAGTTGTGGTAATGACAAATGATCAATAATGTGAAATGAGTTCCAGACGACATCAAGCAATCGTATCCCGGTATGCATGATCGGAGTGAGGGGGAGAATTTGTGAAGGAATGCGCAACGCTAGCACCAGAGAAAGTTCTGAAAGATTCAGAGCGGATCGTAGAAGCCGGAACGGATTGCTCTTCACCGTGCCGCTGGTGTGAAATCGTCGCAGTCGGGGCCGGGTTAGCTCTTGTTCTGCGCCATCCCAGATCTCCTCGGGAAGGACTTCCTGTAGGCAAAGAGGAGCGTCTTCTTGCACCATGGTCATGTCGCGGGTGTCGCCTGAGGGCTGAAGCGGGCGCTTTTCTGAAGCCTCTTCCCACATAAAAACCTCCCAACGGTGACATTGAGAAACAATCAGCCGAGCCATAGCCTCATAGTGTGGAATAGTCGCGCTACCCATGACTACACCAAAAATCCGTAAAGGTGCATCTCCCGATCGGTCCAACCACAGCTTCAACGTCGAAACCGGTGGTGCACAGCATGCAGCGGCATCAATCTCGTTGAAGCTGAACTCAGACCAAAGCTGGTTGAGAGAGAGCGCCACGGTGCGCCACAGGCGGGACACATGACTGTAGCTCCAGGGCCCTAGGCGAGTGTTATGGACCTGAGGGTAGAATCTCCAGTCGTCCCATGATATAGTGTGAAGAAGAATCTCGCCAATGATCTCTGGTGGCACCCGCCGGATGGTAGCCATGACAGGTCGATGGAGTCTGATGAAGTTATACACCTTGTGCAATGCTGAATACTTTTTTCCTGCCGCCTGCGAACAGTCATCACCTTGCCAGGCTACGATCAGCCGTTCCATCTCCTCGTCGTCCAGTGACAGTTGGCTTCTCAAGTCCTTCATCGTCTTTTCTGCTTCGCCGAGCATGACGTCGATCTCTTCGTGTTCACAGTCGAGGGGACTGAAGTTGGAAGTTGTGAGGTGCAGATAGGTTTGGGAGAATTCGTGAAAGCTGGAGGGAGCAATCATGTTGATTGTAAAGGGTGAGGTGAGAGAATTGACCTAGGAGTGCAAAATTTAAAGCTTGAATTACGTGGGAAATTTAAAGCAGTTTGTGTGCACAAATTTGTACCTTCAACTAGGGAATTCCTTTGAACAACCAGAATTCAGTTTACACGCTAAAAGAACAATACATTTACGACTGAACGTGGTGCCCTTGCCTACACATTATTCGAGTACACATTGTTTCCGATCCTAAGTAGCGAACGCGTCTCTCTCTCAGCAGCACCATCTGTTTGACTTTTCAAAGAGCAGGCTCAGTTGGGCTCAGCACCTCGTACTCAGCGTACTCAGTGAATACTTGCTAGCTGAAAAAAATCTAATACTCAGTAACGACGGCGAGAGCTAGCATAGAGACTAGAAGATTAGCCGATAGCATCCTTTCTAAGAGCATGTACACGATGGCATTCAGATAACTCTCTTAGGCGACGTCTCTCAGATATCAGAGCCATTCCTCTGCATACCCGAGCCCATACAAACTTGGTAACCTCGGGGGATACTCGCGTGACGACCAATAAGTTTCTTGGTAGAAGCAATTGTATTCATACCCGTGGGGCTCCATCTTAAGGACAAAGGTAATGGAAACTAGGATATCGATAAAGTGGGGTCGTTGGTCGACGATTGCTGACTTGTGAAATTGGTCACTTAAGCCTGGCGCTTTCTGCCTACAGATTATTTCTATTCAACGTGTAAGACGTATTATCATAGAGATCGGGCACCAACTGAGTCTCGTTACCCTGCGTGTTAGAATGACTATGAAATGATCTTCCGTTTAATGTCCATTTCTGTCAGGTCTTAGATAGGAAGCCGGATGATGCTTTCGACGAATCTATATTTTCGCGGAGTTTCATGTATTCATTCTGTGAAGACACAAACTTAAGGCCTCACATCTGCTCCACATTGTCCATAATTTTGGCCAAAGTGTGGGCAATATATGAACTAGTCATTCAACAAGGATGACATAACAGCGTATTACAAGACGCAGGGCACACTGAAATGCCGACTTGTGGTAGTCGCTAGACTTGATTGATCCAAGCAATTTTGTGTATCTCTTCCGTTGACATCGCATCCTAGGCGGACTCGGATATGCTAGTAGTAAAGCTAGGCTGATCAGTACTACGACTTCGTCCAACCTGCATACCCTCTGCTTAAGCTACTTCAGAACCTTTCTCTACTCCTCGATGCCCGTGATCTCCTGGCTCAGTGCTAGCGCTCAACATATATTCAGATTTTTACCTGCCAATGCTCACCTTTTTCGGAACGCTATTTGGATCTGCTTGCCATCGTCGCGCGCCGGCACTCGTCTTTCGGACCTAGCCCCTTCCGGTTCCTGGGCTAGATTCTAGATCTGAGCCTTTCGCCTTGTTACCTGAAAGTAGCACCGACGCCGAAGCGAAGCTTCTATCCGGCCATAAAGAACCCGACAAAGACATCGTCCGAGTCACCATCAGCAGCAAGGTAGGATAGATCAGGCTTCGCGTTCTTGAACATTGTCGTGTTGGCTAGAGATGAAACACAAAGGCTTCTCAATAATGAGCTATTGTGCAGACAATGCCCGTTTTATTGATTCCGTTGATGCTGTGGCTCTCGTGTAGCATATATACCGGGAAAATGTATCTATCCGTTCACCCCACCGATCCCGGTAAACTACACCTCTACCTGCACCATCACATCCGTTTTCTTATATTTCTTTTCGTTCAAGATGGCCAAAACCTACAAACGAAAACGAGAGCAGAGACGACCGGAAGAACGGGACGAACGGGAGCAAACCCGACTGGAGAAGCGAGAGGAGGGACGAGGACGTCGCATCAGAACGCACAGGAACGACGTGAGTCCGTCTCGCTCAGCTATCTTTCCTGATCATGAACCCGTCGGGTCCGAAGAAGATTTCAACGAGCAAACCTACGTTGGTAGTAGTACTAGTGGCGCGTCTGATGGCGGTAATCAAACCGCCCTCAGCAATAACGTCCTGGATCAAATACCGCTGCAGCATGTCCCTCGTCTTCATTGCATGGCCAAGTCTTCATCGCTGTTCTTTGCTCTTTCCACGGCGCGCCAGCAGTAATACTGGTATCCATCAAAGAGGAGCGCGGAACTCCGGATCCTGCTCTCACTGCCGACGCTCTTCAAAACATTGCTTTTTTCATCTCTTGAAATTAGCTTTCTCACCGATTTTTCTTTAATTTCTTGCTCTCCGTTGTATCCCGCCGACCGAGGCATCCATCAATCTATGCTGGGATGGACTCATTTATGTTTGATCTGCTTAGTTACATGTTATCTATGACTACGACGTCTATGACATCGTCATCCATCCTCTGTGTCCCCAATAGATGTTATGATTCCTCTGTGCGAGCACTGGCCACTGGGTGATACGAAAAAACTTTCTAAAATGGGAAAGTTCCCTTTTATAGCTTGTATCCGCCTCCGAGATGTCGATCTCAGGGCTGACGCGGTCATTCGAATCCCGTTCATAGTACCACTTTTTAACCACCTTTTAGATACATGTTCATAACGGCAAAAAAGATGTGTCGCTAGACGGGACTGCCAAGCACTTTATCGTTAGGGCCGAGCAGCTCTTTAAGTCTCATGAGGGGCACTGGGCATGCTTTTCTCTTTTGCTACGCCACAAGGTATTCCGTGCACCATCCTGTGAATCAATGTCGACGAAGCACATTTCTTTTTTTTTGCTGGAACTTCTCAATATGGTGTACAAGCCTTCCGTCAATGCTGGGGACGTCTCGACGATCTGAAAGTTACGCTTCTGCAGTCTATTCTCTGGCATGGTTTCACGGCAACATGTCCGCCTCCGAGTCATATTCAAACCGCGATTGAGGCTTCATTTCTTCGTTCTCACTACTCCTTAACCCGTGCAACAGTTAATAGGCCTAACACCATTTATGCTCGTAGTTCTCCATGTTATCCAGGTTATCGATGACACATTGTCCAATGCTTTGTTCGCCCTCCCTTTCCTGAAAATGGCGTTCTCAGTGACCAGCCATACGTATTGAACAGCACTTGCCCACCCCAGCTTCGTGGTAAAGGCTTTGCCATGCCTCACCGCAGTGGAATGTCCATTGAATATCTCAAGTATGCCCACGAAGAATTCACCCGCCCAGGTGGCAGCTGTAGAATCTTGTGATCAACAGCTGGAGAGGCTGTTGTACGTTTATACTTGAGGTCCTACAAGCATCGCTTTTCCTAACGGTTTGTATAGGGTATCGACTTCTCAGACGTTATGATTTGTGGAAATATGAGTCTTGCATCGGATGCATGTGAGGATGCGTAGCGAGGAGGTCGCGTTGTTTGTCGGATTGGTTTCATGGTCTAAACGAAGATGCATGACTTGCAATAGAATAACACAGCGTCCCTAAACAATGTATGCTAATTAGACCGTAAATAGACAAGAAAACATTGTCATAGCATACCAAACGAGTTTTGCTTCTTGTTCTTCTCGGATTCTGACGAATCAATAGTGATCTTAACACGGCCATCCAATTTGGCATGTTGGCTGCATCAGCGAACACTCCAACCTCCGGCTCGAGGTCAAAAATCGCCAAATTTAAAATTCTGGTGTCACTTCACCCATAGTAGGTAGGTAGTATTACACGGCACGGTCCAACTGGGAATGCCGGGCGTACTAGATAATACATGATTGGTAAACTAACACTCTAGTCTCACAATCACGTACTTAATTATCCACTGATACCCCCAACCGAACCAAAGGCCGAGCTCACGGTCAACTTTAAGTTGCTGGATAGAACCTAGAGTCCAGTTGAAGGCCTCCAGGACTGCCATCTGCAGTCCCTCGTTAAGGTCGGTACATCGGTAGCTTATACACATTTTTCAGCACTCGGTAGCAATATTTCGCGGTTACCTCGATAGACGGACGGTGAGCCACCAAAGATTTCAGTAGGGCTATATCCTCGTGGGGAGCGGAGGGTGGAGCCATGTGAGGAGCCATGTGAGCGAGATCATTCCAGAAGCTCTTGTGTAAGTCTTGCAACTTTCTCACCACCATCGCCTTCTCTTCATCTGTCCCCAGTTCGTCGTCACTGTTTTCGTCTCCGACGCAACGAAATAATACATGTTCGGGGGTCTCGACGTCCGCCATTCACGCTCAGTAGTGGGTGTAGTCCATCTTAGTTGTTCCACCGCTAGCTTGTGTGTCGATAGTACAATCGAGACAAGGGCGTCTCTGTGCTTCGGCGTTGTCACGTCAAAGTAATTTCACATTTTCAGAGCCACCTGCACTGGTGCCTTTCCCTTCCTTGGCTCCTTGCGACCATGGAGGAGGTATAGTTTCTCTGAGTTACTAATCTCAGTTAACACCCATTCTTCCATAGATCGCTCAACAATTTTCCTATAATCCTCTATGGTGTCAGGATCCGAGACGTCTAGAGGAATTGGTTGCAAGCCAAGTTTCAGCCGTCAATGTGAAATGACGCTTCGCCTGCTCAACCTCCTCAGAAACACTCTTACAAAATGGAATGGATGCTCCAAAGAGAGTTATGCGCATGATCTGGTATCATTTCGGGCGCCTGGATAGACAAGATATCTGGTGACGACGATACATCTGTCAACGGTGGTGGGTGAGCCCAGGATTGGCTGTATGCGGCTCATGCAGATTAACTGGGTATTCTTCAAAGAGTAAAAGACTAGGGAATGATCTTCAGGATACGTGGAAAGAGTGAACGGCTCCAAGAGCGCTATTTCGGAGAGAGGTGACATTGCATTTGATGGACTTGCTGAATCGTCGCTAAAATCCAACTCGAGCATCACTTCGGCAGATAAGACTGCGAAAATAACTTAACAGTATTCATTATTCTGAAAGACGGCTGAGGCTAGCTCTTAGAATAGGCTGAGAGGAACATATTAAAAGTGAGTAGACGAATGAACCATGGTGTTATGGATATCGGGGTCTTTTCCGAACTGAGCACGAGTCAACATATGCCTGCCCTCGGCCTTCTCGGTATTGACCTCGGCTTACTGGTAATTTCTCTTTCTCTTACTTTCTCTCTTCTTCTTGATAATGCTGGAATAATAATGACTCAATCCCTTACTATTGGTATATAAATACTGTACCTGTCCTTGTATTAGGATCTTATGCTAATTTTACCCATCTTCGAACGTCCACTTCACTATGTGATTTAAGCAACTCTGATCGGTTACGCCTAGCGCTTTTCGGAAACCCAGTCAGTTACGCCTAGCGCTTGCTGACGCCCTCGTTAACTATGCCTAGCGCTTGTTAGCACCCTTACGGATCCCTCTTGGTGGTTGGAACTCGGCTTACGGACATCCTCGCTCACGACTTGGGTTTTACTCGAGTACTCATTACCTCGTGTATTAGCTCAAATACCCTGATTCTTAACACATGGGTACTAGGACAGGCTTACCACAATCGTACAGGTGAGCTGGTAAGGGAATCTAGCACACATCAAATTCTGCACCCTAACTATCGTCATCCGCAAAATCAACCACCGGACGCGAAAAGTGTGAATGACGGAACTGCGGAACGAGCCATTAGGCTGTTATATGCTGAAGGCGGCCCATACTCCGTCAGATGAGACGCTTGTAGTAAGATGGTTCAGTCAGTGGAACGCCATACGTCCGCCATGATCTTGAATTGGTGGTCGAGTGATGTGAGTTGGCTCAGTGGGAGATTGAGTATATACTTGCCCAGTAAATCCAGTTATATTAGCACGCTGTCCAGACTCTGGTTCAGACGGACAGTGCAGAGCTTCGGTGCCAGGGTGAAGGTTTCTTGAAGCTGATTGTAGATCAGCCCTGTCTCCCTGGGCAAGGATGTCTCCAGGCTGTCTAGACGTCCGTGTAGTGCACGGAGACATTTCAACGCGGGAGGGCCCGGGACTCCGATGTTTAGATACTGAAGCTAGGGAGTGCTGTATCAACACCTTCACGAGTTACCAATCGATTGGAAGCGAAGAAAAAATCGAGGCTGCTTTCTTTGGATAAAACACTGTCCTCATCGTCGCCATCCACTAACGCTCTGAGCTCCCCACTGTCACCATGTCCAGAGATAGCAGATTGATCTCGGACTCCTCATATGGTGTCCATCTCTTCTGGATCCTGTATTTGAACCACACAGAGAGACCGAGGAAACGTACCAGAACGCTTTCTAGAGCCGTTCGAAGCATTATGGCAGGTTTCTTGATGGAGGGTGTTTCCCCGTAGGCTACGATATTTGAGATGTTTACAGACGACCAGAGAGCGCCGTACGCCCATGCCAGGGTTCTCCACAGTTTGCAGATGTGGGTGAGGAGCCATGGTCTGCTAGTAATACTGAAGACGTCATATTTGTCCTGGACGATGGAATGAAAGATCTTTAGAGTGAGGTCGGTTGGAAGTCTGGGAAATTGCAGTCGTCAATAACTCGACGCAAGGCGCGAATTCTGGCTTGGACGAGTACTATCTCATTCTCTACGAGAACTATGTGTTCGGATACTTGTGCGACATGGAATACAAGTGAGAAATCGAGGAGAATAGCTAGGTCACCTACCAGCAGTACAGAAGAAGAAAGAGCCTACCAGATGAGTGAGCTGTGACTGTTCTGGCATACAAGTCCCCTCGGCGAGGTCGCAATCAGGTCAACGATTCCTCGTCGATATACAGATCATCTAGGATTGCATAGGAGATATCACAGGAACGCAACCACCGTGTAATACCTACCTATGTACCGTCAAGAAGCATATCTAGAGATGCATCTATAACAGCCCAGAAGATCCACGGGCATCGTAGGCCAATAGGGTGTGGTTGGAAGGGCTCCGGAGGAGAAGACTTGATGATTGAATGTTTTCCCTCCGGAATGCGAGAATCCTCGCTAAGTTTGGAAAATGCACCTTGTGTAACCTTCGGAGAATTGGTTGTGCGTTGGGCCATCAGCGCATTAGTTACAAGAAACTCGATGTATATGTACAGTACGTTGGGAGTGAAATATTTGATACAAGGAAAGTACGTTCAGGTCCATGATACAAAGAAACTCTGTGAGGTCAACGATGACTACCAAGAAAAGAGGGGATACCACAAAGGGTGGCTGAGAGACGAATGAGCATACTAGTGGAACGTTCGACATTAGAGGGACGTACAGTGGTGTAGTACTGGGGATTTAACTGCTCAAGCCTACTGTCTCGGGACATTGCGACGCCTCTTGATTCGTATGCCGGAAAGGATCTTGAACACCATCCCCAGCTTGCGATTGACATGACCCCCAGGTACGGAAGCTAAGCCCAACAACCGTGGGTTTTCCGCGCCATTTTGTGTCAATTTAATGGTGTTAGCCTCGTTCCGAGAGGCGGGGGTGCACGCGTCCGTCTCTGCGGGGTTGAAATTGGGGCTTGCCTCAACGCGTGCAGCTGTCCCAACAAATGGGTTACTGTATGCACGGGATCAGTTATATTAATAGTGCAGGCGGAGACCGACTAAATCTCCCAGACTCACCTATCGTCGAGTGCCAAGTCGGAGGGTTCAGAAGACGCCGCCCTCCCACGGCACGATTGACGAAGGAAGCGGCGCGAGCCACTCCCCGTAGTAGGACCTAGTACTTGACCCATATAAAGCAACTAACAGAAAACTCTCGAGGAAGAGCGAGAAAAGGACGAAATAGAGCGAAGAAAAGTAAAGAAAGTAATAGTAAGAAGAAGCTGTGTATCTGGTGGGATCAGATGAGGCATGTTAATGGCCTTGATATGCACATACAAACAAAACTCAGTGAAGGGACTTGGTCTCAATGATCTTGGACTCAGTATTACAGTGACACCTATACTACAGAAATTCAAATCTGCTGAGTAGAATGCAAGGTTTCTTTTTCAATAATATTTAGTCTTAAAGTTCCACACGCATTGGACAAGCATTTGAGTACATCTAGCGAAGACGGTAGTGCTTTCCAGCTCATTTCGTTCCCGGAGGCGCTTATCCGGACCTTAAGAGCACTTACCATATTGGGGTATCGGGACGCTTAATTAGTCAGTATGCACGTGGCTAATCTGCGTTGCAGATTCTCCCGTCCTCCCTTTCCTATTCATACTGCATCCTCCACACCGCTCTGCCGATGCTCTCATCACCCACCCGCTTGCCCTCTAGGGTCCCAAGTCCAGCAAGAAACATTGTGCTCACCATATATAAGCAAATCAGCGAACTTTGTTTCCACCCCATATTGATGCCACTTCAATCGGCGAGCTTCCCAAATGAGCGACAGAATGTTTTTCAGAGACAACGGACTCATACCTCAAAGCGGAGGGTCCCGGACATCAAACACAGTTGTTGCTTTGGTAAGGAGCAATGACTTGGCGCAAATATAGCGGACCCGAGGAGGATTCGGACAAGCGGCAGGATGTCGGCGGGTGTCGGATTCACTGACAGTCCCTAGACCTACTCATGATGAACAATGTCAAATCCGAACCGTTCCTGGCGACTGCGGTGCGTATAGTGACGTCGTTTAATTATGATGCGTCTGGTGAGTTCACTGGGTCATTTTCCTAAGCTCGGCGGACTCGATTTCGATTCTCAGTTATTTAGAGACGTAATGTTATATTTATTCGAGATATCAGTGCTCCCCAGCCTTTTTCTGCACGCCTGCACGGACTCATTGGATATATCAACAAACTTCGGCAACATCGGTGCCCGAGCATGTTAAACAACTCCTCGATTCAGTAACATCCGGATTTCGGATGTACATGAACACGGGGAGAATTCAGCGAGCGACAGAATTCCCAAGTGCGGGGCTGTGATGAACAATGAGAACTGATTATACTCCCTCCATATCTGAGAGCTATTAGACTTGATAAGACTTATTTCATTGATGTATATACTACACATAGTATCTTTACATTATACTCAAAGTGTAAACTAAGTTCTAAGGAGCACCCACGGGTCAGTACATGCATCGGCACCCAACGACGACTCACTCACCGCCTACGATCCAACTCCAAGGGTGCGCCAACCTTCTTCACTGTTATATCACAGATATCCCTAATGAAGACGTGAGGCCCGACTACAAGAGCAGGAGGATAAAGATGACCTACCACTGGGCGAAAGCCTAGTCTTGCTCAATTTTGTGTCCTTAATGGATATGGATCAGGACAGCTCATGTTGCAACCACCATCTGATCTCACTCTTCTATTTCCTTGATAGAATTTTCACTCAACTATGCAAACTTTTACCTGGTGACACCTTTGATCAAGGTCAGAAACCAAGTCAGAACGCCAACCAAAAATTCTCATACATACCTCAGTTGGCGTGCCACGGCGTTCACAAAATCTCAGGCGCCTGTTAGTTTATCGTACAAGGCAAGTCAATCCAGACTTTGAATCGAGCGGAAATGTGCATTTCATGTCTGCAGTGAATCAAGTCAGTAAGAAGCGTCGATGGAAAGGAAAGCAACCTACGACGGTTTCTTCAAGGAGCATCACCGTATCTACTTCATCTTCGGCGAAGGGTTCGCCATACAAGCACTACAACAAACTAATCTACGCCCTCCTCGTCGAAACGGCGCCTAGTCAATGTCTAGTCAATACCGTGGCAACAACGGGGAGCTCAAAACTATGCTTACCTGTCGGACTCGTAAGTTCTCCCTCATTACAAGATCGCCCGCATCACGGTGGTATCCTGATAAACATTCGTTAGTCTGGGGAATGCAGTTGCTAGATAATAAACCTTACCCTTCAGCCCAAACTTACACACCTCGCCGCAGTATTCCCAGATTCCAGACTTGATATACGAAGACCTACGGCAGTGGGAGGGAATGTTAGTATCGATCAATGTTTCTAAAATCAAAGTACACACCCACTAATATTACCCCGAGCTCGCTATCCAGACAGACCCTTGGCGACTGTCATAATCATCCTAATGCACCCTCAGTACGACGAGGGGACGAGTCGAAAAAATTGCTTACCTTCGTATTGTGTCGTTCCTTTGCTCTCAAAGCCATAGCCGATCCTATGGCAAAGGATTCATTAGCCTCCGCTACCACCGCCGCAGGAAGGGCTTACCTCTGCAAGTGAGCGGAAGAGCTCGTCAGAGAAAACAAGCAAGGCTGGCATAAGGGCCGGCTCGTACTGCACCACCACCAACGGGTTATAAGTAGAGTAAGCAAACATTGAATCAAGGGCGTACTTACTGGGAGGGAAGGTCGACACGAACTTGCAAGCGTTCAGATAAAAAGCGGAAAAGGGAACTGCGGGCGAGCATTCTTCGTGTGATTCTCGTCGTAGCCAGGCATGGAGGAATCCTTAATAAATCTGTAAACCCCGTTAGCTTACCGAAAATCAACAAGGCATAGTACACGCACCGTTAACCGTGGATTCTTCTTAATATCCATCAAGTGGTGCATTCAAGCCTTCAATCTTGAGGCAAAGTAGAGTCCCACGAGCTAAGGAAGCCATTCGTCAGTATTTGAAAGGAAGGATGAGCGAACGGGATTACCTTCAGCTTTGGAATCGTCGATCAGAGGGGGGAAGGGGGATTTTACACTTGACGCGTAGAACCGTAGTCGGCTTGCTGGAAAGGAAGAGTAAGCAAGCGTCAAGCAACGAAAATGAACAGACACTTACCCCTATCAAAGGGTATCTTCAAAGCGAACCAAAAACCTACACGTTGTCAAAAAAGAAAAGAAAAGAAAAGGGTGAGAAACGAGACAAGCTCACCGTCAACTATGTATGAATGGTAAGAAAAACAAATCAACACACTCGGCACCTGATGACGGTCACGAGACACGGACGTCGGTACACGAGATCGAGGCGCTACCCTCCACAATGGCGGAGAATCACAACTGGTATGCTCAAACACGACCAGGCTACCGTGACAGAGTAGGGGAACGATATGAGAGAGAAAGGAAGGGGTAAGAGAAGAAGGGGGAGAGTGGGAGAGGAGGGAATGATCTTTTGCCCTGCATTCTGTCTAGTTTAAATACCCCAATGGGGGACCTTGATCTTCTAAGTTTCGGAATGCATACGACTGTCGGCATGTCATGTCAGATGAACTATATCCCCGCAGCCCGCAGTCGAGTGGAACCGGAATTTCGATGATAGGTGTACAAGTCACTTGGGATGTACAACCAATTCAATGAGCTTCCAGCGTCTCGGGATCAGTCGCAACATAGAACCGAAGATGAAACATACACCCATATCCCATCCTGTCCCCCCAAAATCGACGCTACACAATGAATCACCTAAACGAGGGGATTCTCTGCATGTGCATATCTTCGAGCACAGAGATTATTCCAAGGTTCAAACGAACAAGGGTTCAGGAACGGAGGGCTGAGGGTGCGGTGTGTTTTGATGGTATCCTGTCAATGACATAACAACGCATTTAGAGCGATATGAATTGCAGAACTTTGTCAAACTCCAGTGCCGGCGTGTGAAGCGAGTAGCTTCGACAACTATGTCTAGATTCCTCCTAATTCCAGACTGTCAGAATATGTCATGTGGATGGCCGTGAACATCATATCCGTAAATATCTTAGGTCGAAATTCCAGCCCTTGAATCAGCAGGAATGAGGGAATACTCACGAGAAGATTTCAAGGCACGTCATGGATCGGACGCGTTGGTATTCGGTCCGGGTTCCCTAATTGGTCTCTGACGTGTCACCCACCACCAGGGTCCTTTGACAACATGATGATGCCCGATGTCCTTTTCCCTCCATCCTGCGCTGTTCTAGCTGTCTTGCTCCAGAAAAGAGCACATTGTACGATATGCAGATCTTCGCTTTGTGCACGAGGGGGGACACGAAGGAGGGAAGAAGCTGAGCAGGGAGAGATAATGCAAGTCAGCGGCTGAGAAAGGTTTGATTTCAATAATGTCAGTATCGACTCAGAGTCTACTTGCGAGTGGTGTGCGTGCCAGTTCTGAGTTCATTCTCATTTCTTATAATTTCTTCTCAGACCTTCGATCTAATAATCGTCGAGGCACGACGTTGAACGGCATGCACTATGCAGCAATCGATAACGGGCACCAAAAACTCGCATCGATCCTCTAACTGATCAAGCCCGACAACAGGATCGAACTTCAGAACGACTGTTCGCAGGCCCTCGCGTTCCATCTTGTTACTTGTACATGAAAGAAGCCTTCTTTTCCTTCTCAAGTGCTCATCCTCATACTCGTTCAATTCCAGTTCAGACCATACCCAAATTCATGAAGATTGATTGCCTTTCTCTCAGACGCCAAGAGATACCGACGTGGTTATTGCTAGTAGGCATGCTTCTATTTCTCTTGCTAACATACATTGAAATGAAAGAACCACGAGAACAGCGGAGTGTCGTAGGCTCACGCGTTGCCTCCCAAGCATCTGTACCCCATGCCGGCCTGGCACAAGTAATTTCCCTGATATCCCTTTGGACTTCTCTTGGTGGTAGTGTTGGGTATGCTATTGCCGCTGCGGTCTGGACGTAAGTGATTTGTCCGTGATGATATACCGCCGCTAAATGTTTGTTTCTTTGCTGCTGTAGAGGTAAAATGGCTGGGTTAGGTTCCAAACAAGATCGACGCGGAGATAGCGAAGATATTTGGATCCATCAAGAGTGCTAGGAACCTCGGGACGGCAGATAGGACCCACGTCATTTATGGTGCGTACCAACTGTGTATGTAGTAGACTGTTGTTTATTCACGGTAATTCGCATAGCATACAACTACACGGTATATCTCTATCTTCCCCCTCTCATCCTTTGTGAGTCCAATATATCTCATTCCGCCGGAGCCCACAACCGATGACTTCATGCTGTCAGCCTTCCTCCTTATAGTTTTGTTATTCATGCGAAACTTCTACCTCGGTGAGAACCAGAACGCCGTGCAGAACATCGGTATTGATGGCCTTGCTCTGGAGAATAATCAAGCCGACGAGAGGAAGGAAGAAGACGCGGAGAAGGCACCGGCAAAGTAATTTGTCTCTTTCATGTATTAACATCTATTTTATTTAATGAAAGGAATGGTTGCTCGTTGTCACAGTATGGCTCATGCGTGTCAGTGGGAAATTTTAGTATACCACTGGCGAGTCGAAGGATAAAAACACCCCCGGTCGACAAGGCAGAAATAAAATCATACGGAAAACGAGTTAACTTATTATACCATCTCCGCGCAAGTTCTCCACATCCTCCTTCCCTAATCCTAGCATTTCCTCCAATACAACGTCCGTATGATCACCCAAAGCAGGACCAGCCCAACTGGGTGTGAATTCAAAACCTTCGATGCGGGGGAACGTTCCCGGGATCTCTACATTCCACCCCTCCCCATCTTTACCGTCCACCAAGACATCCTGGATAGCTCTGTGTGCTTGATTATGCTTCTCCACGATATCCCTCATGTTCATTACCCACCCCACGGGGACACCAGCTGCATTCATGGCCTCTATAACCTTCTCGACCGTTTTTTTGGCTCGTCCAATCAGAGATAGCTTTCTCGATTTCGGCCTGCCGAATGTCTGATTAACGCAATGCTGACTCTGCGCGCAGTTGGGTCCCTGGGACCAATCAGTTAAGTGTGTCCGATGGCAGTCATGAGTCGGTTGTATATGGTACTGCCATTCGCTCCGATGACAATGAACGTCAGTGTAGGACGATCTTTGGATGTGGAAAAGCCAAGAAAAGCCAGTCTGCCCCCCAGACACCCGATCAATTGCCAAGACTTTCTTGGCAGGGTAATATTTAAATATTCGCGGTTGGTTTAACCGGAGGCCACGATTTGAACTCGCGGAGGGAGTATTTTGAAAGTGCATTCAGAAATGTCTCACAAAGGACTCGAGGGAATAGCTATAGTTCTTTTTAAAAAATTAATCTAGTGTTCTCGGCCTGCTTTTGAAAGAGCTTATCTTGGATTAAATTGAAACATCTGAGCTGTGTAATCTCAGAATGCATGATATTGAATATTTATATTATTGTACAGGTATTATGACGAGGTTTTAGTATTGGACTTTTTTTCACAACTTTACGTGTTCTCAAGATCACCTTAGCCAGAATACAGTATCACTGCCGCAGTGAGTGAGGATCTCGGTCCTTCGAACAGCACTATGATGAGCATCCCGATCCACTGAATGAGTTATTCTGAAACCTGGTGCGAATCTCCGTTCTGCTGTTGCCGCAAAGAGCTTTGCACGAGCTTTAGACCACTTTCACGATTGACGTTCTTGTCACGAAATTAACAATCACTGTCAAAAGTAAACAGACTAAAGAGGGATCTATTCATTGGCTTCATGTGAATGCGCCAAAATTACATCTCTGTTTCAATCCTTCATTGCGTTTGACATGCCAAAGTTAGCACCTGCCTAGACTGATCTTTTTTCAATGTTCCAAAACCCTGATAGGATCGGTACAGCGAACACGATGCAAAGTCACGTCTAATTCAAATGCCGTCGTATGCACATGTTATAAACACTCCACGATACTCTCCTTTCGCTGCACTTGTGACCCGTTTGTTACATTCCCTGTATATGCATCTTTCCATAGCATTTATTCATGCGGCTAACATTCAATGAAGGATCTCGTATTCTCAAGCTCGTGAAAGTAATCCTCCCGATTTTTCGGTATGTATCTTAGATTAATATATTCGCTGTTCAATAACCTAACCTATATGCAGAAATCGAGCAGCGATATCCAATTTCTCAAGTTGTTTCCCTTTTGTCAATATATAATGGGTTCGTTCCAATCTTTCACATTTCGTCTTCCAGCTTAATGCCTCCCAAAGTCCTGCGAATCGCCACCATGAACCGAATCTTTATATTCATTCTTTTTCTCCTCTTCATCTCTCCTACCTTTGGAGCACCCATATCTCCCGGGGATAACCAAGACCTGCCTGCATCGTCGGAATATCAACGAACAGTTTGGAATATTATATGGAGCTGTCTCGTAACGATGTTCGCATGCACTTGGTTTGCCATACATCCCAATGTCCCAGGTCGTAACGTCACGACCAAGGGAGCAATTTCCTGTACTATTCAACGTGCAAGGCTTATGATTATGGCAATTCTTGCACCAGAGATCATTGTTGGATGGGCCACAACGCAGTTTACGGTTGCTTGGAGGGTACGCCATGGTGGGTATTTCATATTATCAGAAGCTATCCGAATTTACAATGGAGATCGACAGGAGAGAATATCTCTATCGCATCAGTGAAACGTGCTTGGAGAGAGAAAGCGGATGAATCAAAGCCGACACTCGCTCATGGATTTTTCCTCAGCATGGGGGGATTCTACTACACCCCAATGCCACCATCAGTCTATGAAGACTTGCTGGATCGTACCAGGAATCCGGACATTCTACTCCGATCCAAGTGTAGTTGGGATAATGAGGATATCAGAGGAGTACTTGTTGATGTCGAGACGCTCGAATCAGAACCAAGGCTAGCCAAGACCCTGGCGGCAATCAGTGCTGAAACAATAGAGGACAAAAGCAAAGGCGACCCATTTTCAAAAACTATATCTATCCTCCAAATATCCTGGTTCATCGTGAAATGCATCGCTCGGGCTGTTCAGCATCTCCCTATCACGCTCCTTGAAATGGCCACACTCGCATTTGCCGGCTTCAGCATCATCACATACTTCTTGTGGTGGCATAAACCACTCAATGTTCAGTATCATATATCGTTGGATGGATTGAATCTAAGCGAAACCATGCGAACGTTGGCAACCACAAGCTGCAAAGAATCTACTTCGCCAAAGGCATCCTCGGGAGACGGGGTAATAGATGCGTTGCCATGGGTTTATACGGTGGTGGCGAAGTTTTTCCTTCTCGGGCCAGCAGATGGACATGACAACATTGGAGACGGTGCCCTTCCACTTGACGCAGGTAAATCCAACTCTATGGCGGTATATATGGCCTGGGCGATGCCCCTTGTTGTCATGGGTTTTGTAGGATCATTTCTGGGGACTTTCCATTCCGCCTACATGGCTTCGTCATTCTACTTTCCATCTCACACCGAAATGGTACTATGGCGATTTTCATCTGCAGCAGCCACGATTGGATTCCTTGCAGTAGCCATTCTTACTTTCATTGATGAGGCACCTCGTCCTAAGTGGACGTCGAAGCTACCACGACTACTTCGATCTTGGTTGACGGACCCCTCTATCTTTCGGACCATTTGGAAGTCCTGTTTGTTTTCATTAGCAGTTGTTGGCATGCTTATATTCATTGTGGGGCGGATTATACTGCTCATCCTCATTTTTACACAGCTACGTTCTCCGCCACAGCTAGCTTTTCATACAATACAATTGACAATTCACATACCTCACCTATAGTTTCGGTTACATTGCGCTTTCCATATGCCAGGTCCTGACAATTTCCTTCGTTATCTAATATTCAAATCTCCTCCTTTGAATCCTCCGTATTTATTTAGCGAATGCATATTGTATCTTGGAGCCGCTGGCGACGCCGTTATAGATCCCTTGTCTCTGACATTCGTGACTTTTGGTATACGCTCAGGGTTCGTGGTACGATCTAAGTGCTGAGAATCCCCCATTCATTCAAAAGCCGAGCCTACCTCTCCCGTTACTACCCGCTCCCGTTCACTGCTCCATAATCCTCCCAATCAACCGGACCAAGAGCAATCCTTTATTCGACTCTGAGACCGACCTATTACGCGTGCAATGTACACAGGTTCGGTAATAGAGAGTGGACGAACTTCTAGGCAAAGTTAAGGTGCGGAAAAGAAGGTTCAGTGATGTGACCTGGTGCCTCCGCCGTTGCGAGACGCTAGTACAATGCACCAAAAGTATATACATGCTTGAAAGTAGCAAAGCATCATTCACAGGGAACACGGTCAATGGCAGAGACGAGCGTGCTAATAGTGATAGCAGAACTATACCTGTTCGGTGGACTGACATAAAATAACCGGTCTCGCCAGTATATCTCGACAAGAAGCATCCTCTTCTATGGGTGATACCCGCGGGGAACTCAGCTGGAGTGGAATAGAGTGTGAGTACGGCAAGTAGAACTATCGGCTGTGTAACGCACCTTGCGCGTGTCCTGTTGATTGGCATACAGGTAGAAGCAGGTACCACGGAAGTTTCAGGCGCGTACAATGATGAGAACGCGTCAAAATTCGTGGAAAGGCTATAAAATTCTCCGTCCGTAGCAGCGTCGCTGAAGTACGCTTATGGAATCACGGTGCAAAGCTGTCAACTTCGAGGGAAGAAGCACCTATAGGATCATCCGTAAACGACCGACGACTCCCGGAAGGCACTAATAACTGTACTTGTTATACGGGACATAGTATTCCAATGACGATGCAGACGGCGTAACGGCATCTTCTTAAACTGGCCGCAACATTTATTACTGTTCTCCATTATGAGATGATTCATCGAAAGTTCACTCACCAGTGCCGACCGCAAAGCCCTCTATGTTTATCTTCATTGTAGATGACAAGATATCGCGATAGAATGGATATTGATGAATGAGAATTCCATTGTTGTAGCGGGACGATGGGAGGATTAGTCAGAGCGAATCGCAAAATACAATGCAGATTTGTACATTCTTCTTCTGGTGTGGAAGCTGCAGAAGTCTGGATAAAATTCGGTCAGTAAGAGACATTTCTTTGAATGAAAGGCGCACGTCGTTTCTGTCTAAGGGCGATTACCGCAATATCAACGAAAGAAATAAATGAGTGATCGATTCAACTAGGGCCGTGAGATGGTAAAACTCCTGGCTTGTTCGACGGATGGCTTTTTCTCGCTTGCACGCGAGGTATTGGGAAAGGGAGCGAATGACCAGGTTCGGCATCCTCCATGGCAGTCGCACTATAAGGAACATCTAGAATGTGAGAACGTGTGTACTACCGGATAAGCTATACCAGAGAAATCTCGTATTATTGCAGGTGGTCGGCAGCACGAGAAGACAAGGAGCGGCGGCTCAGAGGGGGAAGTAAAAAAATGATGGCCAAGCAAGGGTCTGTGCGCATGAATGCATGATGGACGGAAGTTCAGTATTGCAGCAGGTGCTTAGATGAAATATGTATATTTCAGTTACTCTTCACGTTTAAATGACACGTCGTTCACCTTCATCGTCGCGTCAACAAGCGCGTAGTCCTAAGAAAACTGACGGTGGCTGTGCAATTCACGAGGGCTGCCGAGCCGGTGCCGGCCAATGGCAAACATCGACAATCTGGACCACCATGTCGTCTATCTCCCTTCTTCGATCCCCGGTCTACCTTTATGATTTGCGACACTCTTCTTGACCTTTTCCTCGCAATCTGTCTTACACGGGGGCCTGTCTATTCGCGCTGCCCAAGATGAAGATGGTTGCGTTACAGAGCCAGGTAAAGACGCAGAATCGTCTTGCACATCGACGGCCTAACCCTAGAGGCCCAAGGTATGATGCGCACATCAGCTAAGCTGAGCCTTGGATTGAGTCATTGTCCTTAGATGCATACCAATAACGCGAGCGCTTGAGCGCAATCTAGTGGAAGGACGAAAGGATCTATAAGTCTAGGCAGGATGTGGTGCGCTGGTCGCCCAAAGTGAATTCTTCTATTTACTGAAATTCATATGTGCAAGGCCAGAGGCCGAACCTCAATAGCAGAAGTTTTTGTGATCGCCAATCATGGCCGCCTACGGCCATTCTCCAATGCGACATGTTACGAAGATTCGACTTGCAATCCATGCCAATAGACTCGGCCCCATTCTGCTGGAAGTCACCATGTTCTCTTTGACTGCCCTCACCGAGACGGCAAAAGGAGGAATGCTTGCACCAACGTGTGACTAGCTGGCTCAGGTGAGTGAACTTCCGTTGGAACCGTACTTGAAAGTCTCATATGGTGACGGTAGCAAATACTAGGAGAGCTTCGCACTGGCCATCTTCCTATCAGAAAGTTTTTGTCCATCTACAGCAGATATCGTTATTCCAGCCTCGATGTGATATCCGGTATGTGTCTTTGCCGTTATTTCCGTATTCTTTTGCTTATCTGCGAAGAACAATGCAGGTGCTCTTACGCTTTTCTCGATTGTACTAGCACCAGTTCTATGTAAGACTACGCCTGGGAACGTTCAGTCCTCACCTACCAGTCACGCAAAGGTAATGGGTTTCGAACATCCCGGAGGTCATCGAAGGATTTCATTTTGTCGTCAGTATGCCCCGCATATATGACCGTGCAATTCTGAAATGTCACCGGTGACCAATCAGTGATATCGTCCGCATTGAGGCTTGAAGTTGTATTGAGATAAATATCGAAGACCGAATATCTTTGTGGCATTCTCATGGTTACGCTCCCTTTCCAGGTATGGATTTCTTCAAGTATGCCAGGCCGTCCACTGAGGGACTTATCCAGGATCGTGGATCGTTCTTCAAGATGTTCCGCCTTTGTGAGCGGCTTCGGAAAAGGGAGCACCCACTGTTAGATGGAATGAGGTACAACTGTCGTTCAGAAAGATGTCTCTCCGTTACTGAATTTTGTCTAGGACTCTGTCACTGTCGTCTCGTTAACAGAGTATGTACATGTAGGCTGTGCATCGCGAACGGTCCTGCCTACCCTTCACGTCATACCACGACAATAATTGAATTCTGAATCCTCAATATTCATTCCATCTTTTCTCAATGCAACGGGGGCATCTACAGCGAAGATATACAGAGAGGGCTATGCAGTCACATCAGGCTAGCTAGGTGTGGTAAGCGGGTTTCCGGTGGATCCCTGGTTCAAGTTATCTCATGATGCAAAACAGGTATAAATGTCGTGGCCAGCTTCAGAAAATGCCTTTACACGAGCTGCGTTGTTATTGGCGTACCATCACAAGTACGTTTATTACTACCTTCTGAGGGTCTTCGGTTGGTTTATGAGGATCGCATAGGTGTTTCCTCGCTTGCAGTTGGTACTTTTCGCCGCAATGTATTAAAGGGTACTGCTGCGTCAGCACAGAATATCATTTCCCTGCCTCGAACTTGACGTGTTCCCCATATTGCAAGCACCTGAGGTTTCCGTGGTACTACATACGCGTGAAGGTAAGGCGATACCGCGGATAGTTCTACTTTCCGAACTCACACACTACTTCACTCCAGTCGAGTTTTTCGAGGATAGAGGAGGAATCTTGTCAGATGTACTGGTGAGAGCGAGACAGACCACCAGGTATGGCACTGGTATTAGCATACTCGTCTCTGTCGTTGACCTTGCATTCTGTGAAGGAAGCTTGCAACCACGTACACCAGCTTCTCGCACTTGCGGAGCCACTAAGTTCTATGTATGGACCCGCGGATGTACACATCACCAGAATGAGACAATTCTTCCTCCTCTCTCGAGATCGTATACTATATATACCCCCCGCGGAACATCCTTTTCTCTCCATATACACCAAATGACAACATCTCGAATGGAACCCGCACTCGAAGCAATCAGACATCGACCATCTCGTCTTTTGCGTTTCGGCACAGGAGGCGGTGCATGGCACTGTCAAGACCATCGCATTGCGAAGCATTCTTTCCCGCACCTGCACCTGCACCTGCACCCCCAATTTTGACTGGAGATTCGTCTATTCACTCTGTATTACCCACTCGGGAATCGTGCCTGCACACGGAATGCGTCCATTCTTATACTCTTTGGTTGATTGGGAGCTGTGTTCTTTGCCGGAGATAGCGGGAGGCTATTACGATTGGAACAGGGGTGACCCTGATTTCCCAGCGTAAGCTCGGATTTGACGAACTTGTGGATTCCCAGGCTCGTCTACGCGCATATCAATTTTGCTGTCGGGGGGAAGTCATCGATCATCCCGGAAAGAACCAATATCCGTGATAGATTTTGGTGTCGCTAGTTTTGGAGCAACGGGATAGCGCCAAAGTGACTGATGCGCAACTGATCGGGGTCAGGATGTCAAGCAAACGGAATGCACCTCGTTTACCTGCCCGACCAATAGTGAATGCTGGCGTCTTTTTTTGATTCCTGGCGACAAAATCGGTAACGGTTCACGCAGCGTCGCTTGCTTTGATACTCATCTCACCGACCGATGGTTCTCAAGTGCCCGGTAATACTTGCTATATGAATTTCCGAGGTGAGTCATCCAGATGTCCTTTGTTCTTAAAATACTGACGTTCCCTTGTAGTATCGTCTCGTGCTGTTTCGGCATCATCAAACCCGGACATTTTCATCATCCGTCAGCTTCACGTATTATGGGAACCCGTCTTTCTTTTATTATCAATGCCGTCAATGGTTAACGAAGCTTGAAGGATAGTCTGAGAGCTCACGCATATACTCAGACAGCTCTATCTGTCCGCCAACATGCTGAATTCAAAGCGTGTTATGTTTCTCGCGGTGACGATACTACCTACGTACATTGGTTCGCCCATTCCACTCGTCCTTGTTCTCGCAAATCTTTGTAACACCTCCCTGGCGATTAATTGATTGCCGGTAAGCGCTCCGTTTCATTTACATCACAGATCTGATTCCCCTCCAGACTGCGAATTGATATTTCCTATGACTCACTTCGTCAAAAATTGTGCGTTCTGCATTGAAGCAGCCCGGTAAGACTCGTACGTTGTGCTACATTCCGCACCAAATTCATTGTGCTTAGTCTGCAGCGATATTATTCTCAGAGAGCATTAGCGGCTGCAACCCTTTCTTAGCAACCGCCGGCCCTCAAGAAAATCGGGTCGTCTATCAACTCCGGAAACAAGCGCGTGTGGGTGTGAGAGAATACTGAATGCTGTGCCTATACGCGTTCCGTCTTCTGGATGATCATCTTCGATAGGCAGTGCTCGCCCTTCCCTACATCTTTGGCCTACAAAAAGTCACATCTCGTTTCATTTTCCATCGATCTCAATGTACAGGATATGGGATATCACAGGTACTTACTCCCACCCCTCATGCGATCTTTATGCTAACGTGACTTTTGCAGTACTTCGAAGCGAAAGCCTCCACACACTCCGTTCAGAAAACTGCTGGAGGCCTGTTATTACTATCGAGGATGGCCGGTCATCGAATGTATATGAAGTTCGGCTCGGGTCGGATGGGCAGAATCCTGACCAGAAGGTGTCGGGGTTCCGATTGTGAGTGGTCTTCCTTTGTTCTCTGTATATTACTTGACATTGACGGTCGCTAGATACGAGGAAACTGCGCCTGTAATTACGATCAAGGCGTGGTATCGACCGATGGCGAGGAAGAGCAAGAAGAAATTGCTGGGAAGTGCTACGTATTCGCTGGTTGAGCTCGAAGCTCAGACACATAGTACGTACCAATCACATTCTGACTACTCACTCTTAATCACACATCTTTAGAAATCAAAGTCTCACTCATACCGCAGCGTAACAACATCAACACCAACTCATCCTCACCACCCATCATACTCCTCCGCGTAAAGCCCGTCACCGGCACTTCCCCAACAACACACAACCTCCAACTCTCCCCAGCTCCAGACATTGTGCACTCTCTACCGCCGTCTCCTGATCCTAACCATCTCAGCCCAAACATCCTCGGGCTTTCGATGACCCCGAGCAGCGGCAGTGTAAGCGGCAGCAGCACTCCCCGCGGAGTATACGACGACATCTTCGAACATCTCCTCTCCTCCAGCTCCCTCCTCAGCCCACTGACGGTCCCCAGCCCCCTCCCCCAGCACAGCGATATTGACGACCCTCTCCCAGAGCTCAACCTCGTGGAACGGCTGGTCTCAGCCTTTACGATCTATAGGGAACTGAAATGCGCGAGACTCGAGAAGGATTTCGAGGCGGCGTTTGGGAAACAGCAGGAGGAGTGGACTTACGTTGCTGGTTTGGTGCGTCTTTTACTTTTCTCTGTTCTAATTTAGAATTAACGCACGTTCCGTTCTGTAGCTTCTAGCACTTATTGCGTATGTTCCCATCTTACTTTCTTTCTTTCTTCTCATCACTAACATCTCCCCTCTCACAGCGTAAACACCGCCGTCTTTGCCATCACCCCCGACTCCCAATTCGCCGTGTCTTCCCCCGCCCGACTAACCGTAGCAGCCTCCGCCACGACCTCCGGCCTCGGACTCGTCTGCGACATCTGGTTCATCAGCCGATACCGCTTCGGGCCTACCTCCACTCTCACGCAGCGGTCCCTCGATTTCTTTGGGACGTACTTCTTCTTTGCGTTCTCCGCGCGTATACCGATGATTTGCCTGCTGGCGTCTTCGGTGTGGTTGCTGGTGTTTCTGGGGATTATGGCGTGTGTGGTTAGTGTGGATGTGGTGCTGGTGGTCGGGGTGATTGTTGGGCTTGGGATGACGGCGGAGGTTTGGGTGTGGGTGGTGTATTGGTGTGCGAGGAGGGTGGTTAGGGGGGTGAGGGTTGGTTTTGCGTAGTATATACTGCATTCATCCTGTAGATAGTAATTTATAGAGATGTACCTAATACAAACGGATTCCGCAATACTTATATTTTTGCATTCTACCACGGATTTATGGTGTGGCTGACGTTGAGAATAAGCAAGATACAGCACCTGTTCATTCTTTCCCTTTCCTAATGTCTTGTACCAGATTCCACCACTACCAAGCTACGCACATAGCTGTTTATTGTGCAAGTCGTCGACACTCGGCCCTTCTTGAAGAATCTATCCTGTTCCTGTGCGAAGGTTCACTTGTCGACGTGGTGGAGAAGACGACTTTGTGCGAATCTATGAGCAAAGGGAGTTGCGACGCGTTGGCTGAAGTTTCCGGCTTGGCCAGCAGGGATCAGTGTCGTTCGAAAGCTTTCTTAAGAGCATGACGCGCTAAGATTGAGATGAAGCCACAGCGCGATAAAAAAGTGCTACATCAGAAGATGCTTAGGACAGTCGTCGAGGGCGAAAGAAAGTCTAAAAATAGACTTACGTGCCCGCCCCTTCTGACGGTGATGCCTTCTTGGTTCGAACCACGATGGACACACTTTTTCTTATGCAGGCCCGCGAGCAAAGGCTTTTTCTGCGATGCTCAGTGTAGGGTTGCACACGAAACCTCCAGGGGGGGTAAGTAACCGTTTGTTACCGACCCCTCCCCAGGGGGGTGGTTTTGCTATGGTAAGTTACCGTTACTTACCTTATCACGTGCATTATCACATGACTAACACGTCGCAATTGCCGAATTTTTCCAAAACCTTTGTCTTCATGTTTTTATATATTTTCTTAATGTAATGCAGGGTAATTCAGTTGTAAAGACACTGATCTGTAAATATACAATCCAAATTGAAATATGCATGTAGTAGTACTAAATTGTTCTGCTCAACTACCTGTCACATGACAGGTAAGTTACCTCAATGAAAACCCCTCTGGTGAGGGGGGGTAAGTTACCAGTAACTTACCCCGGTAACTTACCAGGAATAAATCCAGGTGTATCAAAACCTAGGGTTTCATGTGCAACCCTAGCTCAGTGTCAAAAAAAAACAGTCCATTTCAGTACAGCACTTCATCTCGATATCATTCTCTTACTCCAAATTTACTTGACATCAACCCTATGTTCCTCTTTGCCCACGACACAAATGTCTCTGAGACGTGCCATAACAAGTACGCCTACAGCGTTCTTCCTCCAATGTATGGAAGATTGTATAGGTTCTTTCCAGCTTGGGTTTGACGGCTTTCACTATGCGGACTTAGATGGTGAAGATGTGGCAGGTATACAGAGTAATTGGCTGGTGGAGAACGGATACAGGCCAGCGATTAAGTTGTTGAAGATAAAAACGAGGAGAGTGTTAGAAGGAGAACCGAAAAGATCATCATGGATAAGGTTTTCATACCTTGGTTTGTATTCATGCGCCTGAACAGCAATGGAATTTATAAATTGCATGTGTTTCCACAGTACAAATGACTTCAGGAAGTGGGAGAGGCCTGGGAATTGGGCGTGGTCTGACTTGAAGAGGAGGGATAATGAACCAAAGCAAGAGTACATTGGGACATAAACACGATATCTTTGCCAAATGTATCGCATATACCAGGAAAGCTCCCTCTATATTACCACAGTATGAGAAGACTGTTAACACACTGAGAGAGGGACCATGTGCAGGACGGGGAAATGTCTGGCATTTCTACGTGTGCTTGAATGAAGTTTAAAGATATGTTAGCTACTGGGAACCTTTTGATGACGCATCATTCAGTATCGTCGTCATGTCAAAGAGGGAAAAGCCAGTGGTGGCTGCACAATGGCACAATTCACTCCCATGCTGAACATCCTGAATCTTTATTCATCCAATGGCCCACCATGTCACCCATCTCCAGTCCTTGACCCATGATATACCATGATAATCTTCTTGACATCCTATCTTGAACAGGCGCCTGTCAAGAAGAGGTCTTGGAAATGTGCAAATAAATCTGGGATCTTATCGACTGACAAGATAGCTGAGAGTTCTGTCCGGAGGACACCTTTGATCCAGTCTGGCACAAGGAGAAATAAATGGAAGGTTGTCATCATCGTTGGGTATGTTCCTATTCCAGACAATGACCTGATAATCTGTAATGTAGTGAAACATAGACCTCATCAGCCCAGAGAAAGGGAAGAGAGATTTTTCAAACTCTGCTGTCCTTGCGTACGTTCCCAACCACTCAATGGGTGAAAATAATGATTTATAGATAAGCCGTTAATTAGCACAGTCTGACTCGGTTGATCAGATCTCTCCCAAAATGCGCCAGACTCGTAAACAAACCAAAGGCCTCCATCGGAGTAAATATTAACATAAACATCGAGGAAACACTCCAGCGAAAAGGCTTCCTTGCATCCCTCTCCTAAAAACCCATCCTTTACAAACCAGACGGTACGAGGTGCAATTTGAATGCATATCAGAGGCAGTGTTTCCTCTAGGGAGACAATGATGTGCTCAGTAACGGGCAGCACGCAAATGAAACAAGCGTCTAGATTGTCAATCTAGATACTAAATCACACACACACACACACTATCACCAATGTATATAAGTTCGAGGGTGAGTACGATAGAAGCACTCGCGATGTACTTAGATTTAGATAATCTGGTGGGGTTTTGTCTGAAACCAACTTCAATTCTTCTTTCGATGTGTTTTACACAAAGTACACTAGTCTGCGATAGCGGGGTTTTATGAACTTGTTTTGTAAGGTATAGTCGAGCAAGTTATACTTGTTTCGACGTCGTCTAGAAGAGCTTCTAGCGGACACTTCAAATAATCAAACAACCAAAGACTCCAAGGTCTACAAAGAGTGCAAAATCACTCTACAAAGAACGCTCAGGTTCTGACTTCAAGTACAAGACTTGCAAAGAGTACACAGACTCTGGAGTTCCTTGAACTCGACGATTGTTCGAACTTAAAGCATTCTAGGGCTTATTTTACTTCAACTAGATGAGGTCTTCTGACTTAAAGTCGACTCAGCACGTCTAGATTGCTAATCTCGGAGAGAGAGAGCACGAGGCCTTTGTCCGTTGATATGCCGTCTACGTGTTCACACCTAGATTTTGCGATTTTATAACAATACTGTTGCAGGTCTATCCTATACTAGTCGTATATCAAGGGCTATAGTTGAGACTTCAGACTGATAGTCAAGTTAGCATGCTACTAGTCGAGTCAGGACTTAGGAATGATACCACTAGTGGGTCAGCCCTACCAGCCGACCGGACTAGCACCTCCAAAGCTAGTATGACTTAGTAAAATACGGTCACTAGTAAAGAATACAGCTGCTAGCGCCCAAACAAGAAGTAAGAACCCACACAGATCTCGACTATTCAGTCGCTAGTGGACCAATCTGGGCATGAACACCTAAGTCAGGATGACTAGTCACGTGAGCACTTCTGAAAGAACTTAGAAATGAACCAGTAAAGGCATAACCCTTAGCCCAGATCTGGCTAGTGTGATACAGATCTCATACGATCGGCACTAGTATAGCCGGGCTGCACCCCGATCGCGATCGAGCAGTTGCTACAGGCACGGTTACACGACTATTCATATAGCCATGTCACTAGTGGAGCACCGCTGGGCAAAGGGTGTGGAAATGACCCAATAGCAGAGTCCCTCGACCCGCTATCTGACAGAAAGAACAGGCTAGGCCGACTATTGCGTGATTATTCACCATAATTCGTGACTAGCCAAGATATCCTTACCAATATTACCCCTAAAGAATCTATTTATATTTATTCTGTACCTGTCTCTGTAGTATATAAGTAGTAGAAGGGGCAGCCTCGCAGGCCAGGCAAGCCATCCCCACGATTGTGACCTACTAGTCCATATTCTAGTGCCCCAATTAAAGGCTTTTGTGCTTAACCTCGACGAAGTGTCTACTAGTCGCTTAGTCACCTATAGTATTGAACAAATTGAAGTGTCTTAAAGTTACTATTCCATCTTGGAGTGACTCAGAGCATTTCGAAGTTAGTTAAAGTATTTGTTCTTAGGCCAAGAGTGCCACTAGTCGAGCCTAGGGTGCTGCTAGTCAAGTGTAGACCGCTTGTGAGACCCAGTATTTGGCCCAGAGTGCCACTAGTTTCGAAGTATCAGAGTTAGACCGAGCGCAGTTGCTCAACACAAGTCACTATTCATCCAATCGTATCTTAAAACCCCGCTAGTGCAAGTATTACCTCTTGTGTAGCTCACTAGTACCAAATATACGTCTTTAAACAACCTTTCCCTGATTTGTTGAAGTCTGCAGAGTGCTTCTATCGTACTCGAAACACCCGAACTCAATAATATTGGTGATTAGTGTAGAGTAGTAGAGGGTTTTGGTGTTGTGGTGTTCATATCCATTCACTAGCCTTTTGTCACTCGTCGTTACTGAGCACATCACCATGGAGCAGTTCAATTAACTAGCAAGGTGCAAACGCGGGGACAGCTCTACTTCCTACTTAACTCTTCTAGATTACTGTAGTCGCCCTTATGGGTTGACTTTGGTAACTTAATTCACTTCAGTTGAGGATATGCAATAAAACCAGTGATTGATTAGGTAGCTATACAGGCTACTAGCACAAACGCGGGGGAATGCTTTCCTGCCGTTATGCGTCTAGTCACTGCTAATTTATACGATTCGTGTTCTAGGTATAGGAGCCCGTATCTACAGTAATTATGGTATGAGCTTTGGAATTAATACAAACGGTGAGTCACTATCCTACAAGTATCGCGCCATTCCATAGTTTCTATTCAGTTCGACGCGACTGCGCCGTGTTATTCTGTCGCCGAGGAGTGCCCTACTAGTCCGTGGGTGCTCCTTCTTCCATCTGCAAGGCTTGCCACGTGCCGTATGTATGAAATACTGCGGTATGCGCAGGATCTCGAGGATGTAACCACCGATCGCGATCGACTGCAGGTCCAAGATTATATTCTGTTGATCACTGCGCAATCAAGGTCGGTCATCTCGGTACCCAACATGGCTATTCATTCTTCCAA